GGGAACAATTACGTTCAATTCAAATGCAAAGACTCGCACTTCTCACTTCTCAGTATGTTGATCTTAGTACACACTTGAGGTTGAAGGTATTGTTCCAATCTGGGAGCAAGAACTTTTGACTTATCTAATTACAGATGAAGAGGAAGATAACTTTACACTCAGAATAATTAATTTTGAGTAACTTTGAATTATGTTGGCGGTCCATTAGTTCAACCTGTGGTTCATGTACTTTCTGCTGGTTTGACCATATTCAAGTCTTTGAGCATGGGCTAAATTGGCAGATGAGATGGTTCCTGGGCTATTGGTCTGGTCTGGTTTTTTGAACCTTGTTCCTGACCATGACCAAGCGAGTGATTAGTTGCTAGTAATACCTTTCCTTTTTCCAATCTGAACTTCTTTCCCTCTGGGTATTTGATCTGAAATCCTGTGCTAATGCATCTGTGTTTATTTGATACTTGTTGAGTGGTGTGACAGTAAACAATTAATTTTGGTAGCCTGCAGAATCTGATTAGTTTCGTGATTTTCTTTTGCACAATTTATATGCTTGGGCTATCAATTTGTAGTTCAGTTCTTTGTCGTTTTGATATATTGTTGGCCTCTGATGGCAAATATAAATTCAATTTGTAGTTGATTTCATCAACAGACCGGCATAGGCACTCCACTGATCATCCAATAAAGTTTATTTCGAGAAGGCAACCAAATGTTTTGAAATTTAAGATAAAACCAGGTAAATCTCGTGCTCATATTTGATTCCAGCTTTTAGTGACTCTTGCACATGTCGCTACATGAAAGCTGTGGTCTGATCATAAATATGCTATTCTTGTTTGGCTTCCACTTCTGCTGCAACTAGATTTCTTGATCACTATTTGATTCTTTTTCACAAATATATTACTGCTTTGGTTTCATGACAGCTCATATTGCATTATAGTACTTCAGTCTATTTATGCCATAGATCATAGTTGTTCACTTTGATGCTTTAGTCTGTCTGATTCCACTAATTACTCAATTAGAGAAGCTGTATGATCTTTTGTGGAATAAAATGGTGAATCATTCCATATATTTTGATCTACTGTTTGGGCACAGCTGAATCAAGGAGATTTTTTTGACATGGTTTTACTGGACACTGATTTGTTTGATGTAGGACTCGAGACTAGTGGTGCCGAAGCAAGGACAAAAAAAATATGCTCGTTCCTTTTCCATCCATACTTACCTATGGCACTTTCCATCCAACAGACATACATGCAACCAACTGTTGTGAATCTACACCTGCGGATGTAAGGTACATGTGTTTTCTATCTTCTAACAGTGAATGCGAACCGAGCAGCGCTGCTTATTGGAAGTGTTGCCATCATAGCAAGAATTCAAACATATTGATGATTGTTTAAGAAACTCTGTGACTTTTCTGATCAAGAGTTTTTGGGCGGTTGCAAATTAGGATCTATGGGGACTACAACATATCCAAACTGTGGTCTGGCAGCTTGCACCATTTTGGCGTAGAACAATCTTCACATAGTATGCAGTGATTTTTTCACAAAACTGGATCTCCTGAAGGAACACTTGAAAAGCTTGCCAATGGTTATAAGAAGTTGGAGCACATTATGAGTTATAAAGATTAAGGGAAAGACTTCCACCATTGAAATCACATGAACAACTGAGGCCTGTGATAGTGATTATAGTCCAATTCTCATACTAATGCATTATTTATAAAATGATAGTAAATATATGTTGGTCACAACATAATTTAAAAATGATATTAGTAATAATGCAATGACTAATATGAAGAGTTAAATAGACTCTGTTGCATTTGCCGGTAGTGAAGTATCTTAGATAGACAATTTGGCCAGACAGTACTACAATGTCCATAACTGACAAGGAATATGCATTAATTATGCTATTACATATGGGTTATAAATTAAAACTATACTTTTATTTGTAGGATCTCATGTTGGACTAATAAGAGCTTGGTTGATCCCTTTTTTTTGGGTCCTTGGTGTGCTAGGATTGAGGTGGTCCTCCCTATCCGTTAGGCTGCATCATAAGGTTAGCCATCGATATTGTTTAGCCAACTTTTAACTTCTTTCAGCTGGTCTCGATAGAATTTGATCCCATAGACTATTACAATTTTGAAGATTAGCTGGACAAGGTATTAATTAAGTCCTTTACATGGTCAGAAATGTTGATGTGGCATGTTGACCCCTTCCTTTCTTTGGTCTTCCAATTTTTTTAAGCATCGTAGACTATAGCCTACTCAATCAAAAGGCAGTTTGACCATTGGTTAGCTTTCCTTGGCACTCCATTCATTTATCTTGCTCCTTCAATGATATTTGTTTGCACCAGTTATCTTGGTGTCTTGAGTGTTCTTTGGTTTAGTTTCCTGTGATCTTTGATTGACTGAGCATTCTATATGCAGTATGACTTCAACTATGCTTGGTGCTATAAATTTCCACAAGTTATGATTGTAATTGTTTCACATAAGAAAAGACCTTCATGTGCTATTGAATCACTTTAAAAGTTAGCACACGCATAAAAGAAGATGTTTGTTTGATTCAGCTTTTAATGTGGCACCAAGACATCTCGAATAAGCCAAAAATGACCAGCATGTGACTAGTCCAGTGTTATGTTTGTATCCAGAGACAAAACCCTATAGTAAAAGCTGATATGCGCTCATTTGGCTAGGACTTAGATTAAGTCCACCATCAGGATCCATCCAGATCAGATATGAAAAATAAGTTGTTACAAGGAAAATTATATGTCCTGAACTTATAATTGCCTAAGTTGGTCTATCTGGAGGAATCCAAAATTATTTGACGAAGGGTGTATAAAGCTAGATTATATCTAGTGCATATCTTTACAAATCCTCACTTCTCAAATCCACTATCATCTTAGTTGTATCTAAGATTATGTGGTGGTTGTAATTTTTGGAATCCTTATACCTCCTTGCTTCATATGTGGGGAGATATAAAGAAGTTGTTGTGTGTCAGGACTTTTAGGATGAATGTAAATTCTAGATATTTCATTGAAGATGATACTCTAGCACTAAATTGTTATTTCAGGTTTTGTAGAACATGCCAGCAATTAGGTGCTACTGGCCAATTGAGTTGACATTTGACTTGAGGATGATCTAAAGGAGCCACAGATTGTTCTCTTTTTGCTGCAAACAGGGGCTGATAGGGTTTTCCTGAAAATGCTGATGTTCAAAGGGCAAGTCGAATGAAAGTATTCATCTGTCATATCATCTTTGGGGTAAAAATCGATTTCATTTACTGTTACCCTTTGGACTTGTATACTAGTATCCTTGGGCTTGGTTTAGCTAAAGGCAAAAGTTAAATTAAAACTTTATCATCGCTGATCATGGGTTGAAAGCAGCAATTGGGGCATAGAACATGTTTTTTTCAAGATTTGTTTTGTTAATTGTTGCTATTAAATTGTTGTGTAGATCGATGGAGCTTGAAGTTATTGTAATACCTGTTAGGATGTTTTGGATTGAAGGATTAGCTTTAAGGGACTGAACATGAGTCAGCACTTTTCTCCCTTTCTTCCAACTATGCTAAATTGATATCAGTGTTCTTATTGTTGTTCAAATTGGTTAAATTAAATGAATCATAGTTTAGTTGGAGCCATCGTGCTTACCAATAAATCTTTTATGTTGTCCCCTTGAGCTTGAGCCTTCCTCGAAGATAATCGGCTCAAATGTTTGATACTTGCTGAGTTGATTTGGAGGCCAAAATGGGTTTTGGCCAAGCTTAAATTTTGTGTGAACACACTTTGAAGATCTTTCGAATCCAAGCCTTTGATTCTTCCCTTGTTTTGTAAATGTAGAAGGGAGGGGTTGCCTAAGGTCTTCCTGGAGTTTTAAGAGTACTCCTTCTATAGCTTGACATTGCTAAATCATGCTTTCTTAAATTGATTTCAGTTGTAGGTGCAGTTGAGAGCAATCATGCTTATCACCATATCCTCCCATATTGTCCCCTTGAGTTGAAGATAGGTTTGATATTTTCATGCAGTAATTTCTTAGTTTATAGATAATTAATCCACTTGAATGTTTTCCTACTTGTAGGGTTGACTTTGTACGTGTAAAAGAGATAGGTTGGACTGGCCTACCTAAAGCTATAGAGTGGTTTGTTTATGGTTTGAGCCTGTCAATATTGATTTCTGTGGAAATATAGAAGTCACCATCTGATTTCCACCATTCTCCGTGCATATCTTTGAGTCGTTAAGAATTGCATGGAAATGTTTATTCCCAATTGTGACTGTGTTTGTTCTCATCGTAAGCTATGATACTAAATTGATATGCCATCTTTCTTATTTCAAGTTTATTCTTTCTTTGAATGAAGGATGGAGGCGTCCTCCAAGAAAAGGGATATAAATACGAGAGAAAAAGAAAGGATCAAGGAAGAGAATGAGAGTCCTTTTAGTGTAGAGAATATTACTGAATAGAAAGGGACTTGTTGACCCTTAAGCATCAAAATTTATATGAAGAAGATCTAATTTTTACCTCCCCACAAAATCTCTATGATCTCGAACTATATTCTACATTAAAAATTAGTGGAGCATGAGTATGCTCAATAAAACTAAGCTTTTTGTGTGAAGAATCTATTGGTATATATAGGAATGCATGACTTAGGGATGATAATACATCTATAAATCATCTTTAGGAGTCCATCAATATGATAAGACATCAGTGATCGGCAACTCCAATTTCTGGTAGAAAAAGGATGCATGAGGGCGGCAGTGGCTTCGGAACGCACTTCAGAGTTGCTTACAACAGTGGATCTGTTGCATTATTACTGTCGCATTTATTGCTGTCGTTGAAGGCGATGAAAACATATTGTCAATAAAAAGGTGAAATATTCTTTTTTTTCCCCAAGAAAATAAAAGAACAAAAATTATTAGTTAGGTTTAAATTCATAAATGTCCTATCCGTTATTATATGTTTATAATTTAGCTTAATATGCTTAAATCATGTTTAATTATTCTAATAACTTGAAATAAGTTGGGATTCGTACCTTCCGTCGGCGACCGTGTCGTATCTTGCGGGCATTTATCGGAACGGGTACACGACACGAGCAGCAATCCACAACTGAGCCCATGGCAACGGCGACTCACTCTGCGCTCGCTTCGTCTTCGCCCGCGAAGGGCCGCCTCCTCCTCCTCTTCTTTGGCGCTCCCTCCACTCGCAACGCTGCCCCCTCTTCCTCGGTTCTCCTTCCTATCTCGAGCTCACTGCCTTCCTCTCCCACCAGGCTCCGCTCTTCGGCCCGTCCGCCCTACGATCAACAACTGCTGCCCAATGATTGGGAGCTGCGCCACCGGACCCTCCTCGTCGACTCCTTCCACCGGAACAACGGCCTCCGGGCCTTACTTGGCGAGGTCTCCGGCAGCAAGGGCTCCGGCCCTCTCCGGCTCCTCACCAGAGATGGGGATTGGCCTGACGATCACTTCTGGGCCGTCGTCGCCTTACTCGTCGAAACTGGCAGGGCCGACGACGCCCTTAAGGTTTGCCGTTCGACTCCTGTTGTTGGCGTCTCGCGTGATTTCTTTTATTCAACATTGCCTGGAATTGATTGATTGAAACTGCTTTTCTCTTCCGTTCTCTTCTTACATTTAAGTCGTCTGTGTGTAATGAGCACTTTGCATGTCTTGCCCTAATTCGTCAATGCGAACCATATGTTAGAACATACTTAAAACTGTCCATCTGAGGCTCATATTGATCACTGTTTTTGTACTCTTGTTTCATTGGCCTGATTGTCCCAAAAGCCTATAATTGGCGGCTTACAGAAGTAATCGCTCGTGATCCTTCCATTTTGATCGATAGACATCTTAGCTCTCTTCGTCTAATTTAAAATATTATTGCAGACAACCTCTTCAATTGAGATATTACGATCAGCAAACTGTAATTCTGAGACTTGGATCAAGTGCATCTGTAATCTAAGGAGTTGCCCATTTTTGTTTCTAATGGTTAGAATAAGTTTATATCAGTTTGCTGATGGAACCTTTGTGAATTATTCAAGTTTATGTTCTACGCTCAAATTACCCTTTTCGATGTAAACCATTTTGGCCGAAGATGACAAAACGTCTTTTTAAAATTTATGCTAACATGTATGCTTGTCAAGAAAGGCAAATGGGGGTGTTACTAGACATGCTAGGAGTTAATTTGCTGCTAACGTTGGATGAACAGAAGCAAAGCAGGTACGCTTTATTCTGAAACAGTATGAAACGGAAGCTGAAACTGAAATTTTGTATAAAGCTTCATCAATAATTTGAATATGCACCTCATGTAGTACTTTTGTAGTCACTGGAAGTTTGATATGCACCTCATGTAGTACTTTTGCCAAATGTGAATTAGGGCATTATTCAGCATCAATAATATTATAATATGCATGGCTACATGCAATACCACCTGAATCTCCATGCATTCATGATCACGACTCTTTGGATGCTTAGAAGGCAAGGAAATGAACTACAGTTGATGTGTGACTTTGAATATGTAACTGTTGGTATTTCTGGAACTCTACCGATGTAGTATAAGTTAAGTTGTATAATCTGTTGATCTTCATGCAAATTAAAACTGATGTCTTTCATTGCATGATAACCAGGTATTTGATTCTTGGAAGAAGATTGAGATGACTAGAACCAGTGTTGCTAACTATTCAAGAATCATAAAGTTGTTTTGTAGAGGGAATTTGATGAGTGAAGCAATGTCAGCATTTCAAGCCATGGAGGAGTGTGGTCTTGTCCCATCTTTGGCCATCTACAATGCTATAATACATGGTTTTGCTAGAAAAAAAGATTTCGATAATTCAAATGTCACTTTTAGAATGATGTTGGAAGCTGGTTTGTTGCCCACACCGGACACGTATAATGGGCTCATTCGAGCTTATGGAAGTTTTGGACTCTATGATGAGATGAGCAAATGCATGAAGAGGATGGAATCCAGTGGTTGTTTTCCGGATGAGGTCACTTATAACACATTGATTACTGAGTTTGCCAGAAGTGGACTTACTGAAAAAATGGAAGGAGTATGTAGAGTTCTCAATTCTAAGCATATGAAATTGCAAATTTCTACTCTAGTTGCAATGCTTGAGGCTTATGCTGACTTGGGGATGTTGGAAAAGATGGAGAAGGCTTACCATAGAGTTCTGAGATCTAACGGCTTCATAAAAGAGAATCTGATCAGAAAACTTGCTACAGTTTATATCGAGAACTATAGGTTTGCACAGCTAGAAGACTTGGGAAATGGTATTAGTGCTAAATCTGGCAGAACTGACCTTGTTTGGTATATCATGCTCCTTTCGAGCGCTTGTCTTCTCAGCAAAAAGGGTGTGGAATCTCTTGTTCAGGAAATGAAATTAGCCAAAGTAACAGTCAATATAACTATCACAAATATTCTTGCACATTTTTATTTAAAGATGAAGGATTTTAGATCTTTGGATATTGTATTCCTTCAAGCGAAAGCAAATAAAGTTAAACCTGATGTTATGACATTTGGAGTCTTTTTTGATGCATGCAAGATTGGTTATGATGGAACCTGGATATTAGAACAATGGATAAAGAATGGTTCTCTTGAAGAAGCAGTTGGACTAAAAGCTGATCAACTGGTGGTGACTGCTTTTGGAAAAGGGTTCTTCTTGAAGCTCTGTGAAAAGCACTACTCTTCTCTTCACCCTAAGGAAAAGGAGAAGAAACGTTGGAGATACAGTGACATGATCAAACTTGTTTTCAGAAAGAAATCAAAAGGAAAAGATTAGTCAGTGTAACATATCCTTGTCAGATGTCTATGCTCTAACTCGATGATAGTGATATTTAGTTTTCAGTTGGGTTTGCTACTAAATATAATACATTTATCTGAAGGATTTTGTTCATTTACAATTGCATTGGACATTCATGCAAAATAGGATTCAACAAATTAATAGGTATACGCTGTGAGAATCAGAATGTTGTTTGTTTTTGCACATAATATTTCTATATTATGTTCAGATTTATTTTGATCTGTACTGCTGTAGCTGTTGGCTAATATGCCACGAGGATCATTTCTGTACCAGCTAAATGACACAGATGGCTTCTTAATCCGTCTTTCCAGAGAGTGAAATTTGATGCACATATCTATCTTTCGGCATGGGTATCTTGTGCTTGTCATGTGATGCAACATCGATTTTGGGCAATAAAGCAGTGTTTGTTGTAGCAATGGTTATCGCTCGTACGTGTACCAGTTTGATAAGGGAGATCATGTACCGTTATATGATCTTGTATTAGATGATACGGGAAAGGTACCGATTGGTAATGATCAAAATTTGATCGTTATCGAATGATATATCGGTAATGATTATATTTTAATTATTACTGACCCAAGGACTAAGATTGTCCTATTTCAAATGGTTAAATGGTTAAATTGATCGTTTGAACCATTGGATAGGGTTTTTAAATCTTTTTTCCTCTCATCATTCAACTCATTTTACTCTTTCAATCACTTCAATTCTTTGAAACGTTTTTTCACTTATATTTCTCTCTCATTTTCATATTTTCACTTAACAAAATTATGATTTGTGAATTGAATCAAATTTGGGAGGATTAAGAGGAAGAACACTCAGTATATATTCTCTTTCTAAATTTTTATTGATTTATGACATGATTAAGTTTATTCTATATGGTTAATAACTTAATATTTAATATGTTGTTTGATATATTTTTGATGGTAAAATAGTATTAATTAAGGTGTAATTAAGGTATTTAATATTATAATTAGTGCAATTAGTATGTTTAAACGGAATAGATACATGATGACGCATGAGATTATGCTAAAAAAATAAATGAGAGTCGTTATCATTGACAATACATTTATTGTGACTACATCGACAAGGGTGGAGGAATCATTCGTATGAATATGCATTTGGTCAATATGTATCTTTATGTATCTCGATATTACAAATTGCAAGAAGGTTCTAATGGAGGTCTGTAAATCTTTTTAAGACAAGTTACAATAGACAAGAGAAGATACAATAAAAAAAAAGATAAAAGCTAAATAAGAATACCATAAGGCTATGCAAGAACCAGTTTATGACGAATATGAAGGTCACGATGATGAAATCGATTAGGGTGTTAGAGTTGGTATTCATGCATCACTAGAGTATTAGTACATGTATGAGAAAGCAATGAGATATCGATAACCTAACTTATGATGGGAGCATGGCAGTGACAGTGATAGTGGCCTTATGGCAGAAGGAATCTAGAGATCAGTCAGCAAACGTTGATCATAGAACTGAAGTAGTGACAATGAAAAGGGCTATTCTTTCTTTTAGATTTTGGGATATTATGAAAAAAATCATAATAGGAGTAGAACCATTTTACGTTATCCTCCAAAAAAGTTGATACAAGCAAACGTCCCCAAATGTTTTATCTTAGACATATACTAATTATAGCAAGAGATGAGATTAAGAAAGCATTCGTAGATGATTTTAAAGTTAAACAATATTTACATATCATTGATCATAGAACTGAAGTTCATATGAACCAAGATAACCATATGTAAGTAAATTCATATTTAAATAATCTTACTAACAAAAATTCGATCATTCAATTTCGGTATAGTCTTAGAATACTATTAGATTTATTATCAGCACTAAGAAATGTTATATATTGACTCTTGCCAAATACTATCGATGTAGCCAATGCTAATATAGAGGGCCAATTACTCCGAGAAATAATTGGTTCATTCTCCGACATTGTAGTGTCATTACAATATGAATCATAGTGAGAAAAAGTAACACATGTTGATTATAAACTATATTTGATATTAATTATTTATTAAGTTAATAAAGTTCTATTTATATCTTTTTGTAGTCGAGTGATGGTTACAATTTGGAGGGGACGTAATAAATTTAAGGAAAATTATCATTCGTGTACTTTCGTAGACGATAACATCTAGTGGTTGCGAATATAATTGGTCAACGTTCGTATTGATTCACATGAAGATCTACAATAGACTATTGTATAGATAGTTGGATAAACTAATATATGTCCACTATAACATGTAGCTAAGATTGTACTGTGCTGAGCTAGACAAGGAGCCAAATGAAATAAAGATTGATTTCATCAACCTCCAATTCTACAATGAAAATTCAAAGTCGATGTTAGAGTGGGTCAAAGTAGTGAAGAACCAAGAGGATCCTTACTTGATAAGACAGGAGATCCTCATCGTCTTTTGTGTTTTATTACTGAGACAATAGAAGAAGAGGAAGCACATCTCTAGCAAGAGGAAGATCCCCCTCGGTTAGAATGTAGTGGAAGGAGTCGGATAACATCGAGTCAAACTATTTAAGGAACTAGAGACACCCAAGTGTCACAGTCGTTTACCCAACATGCAAAGGTAAATGCAGCAGCATTAGTTGCATTATTGAAAAGAATCGGGTCGGGCAACAAAACACATTCTCAATCACATTCAACAACCCACTCAGTCCAGAGACATGGTGGCAATGTGGACAACAGTATGATTAGTGATAGCAGCGACGTCGAGGAGTTCATGGTCCTATCTACAGAAATTGAGGGTAGTGTTTTGATCGAGGAGTAGTATTTTATACATATCACCCAAGATTCAGATCATAGAACTTGACGAGGTACTGGTCAAGTTTATACATGGAAGAGTGAGGGAAAGGTAGTGGATGGTTTTGAGCAAATGTGATAGTCTACACAACGTAGACTTAGAGCGAAGCTTATTGTATTCATAATCATTATATTATGTAGAATCTTACGACCAATAGTCATATGATGATACTTGATCATACTTCTTCGAATAGTGGTATGATGATCGATCTTATGATACGAAGTAGCAGATCAGTGGCAAAAGTAGAAGTTTCGACATTATTCTCAATGCTCTACACCAATACATGCCTTAATTGTAATTTCCTCAAGAGCTGTCTTGTACACGTATGATTCATGACGATCAGACTACGACTATCACTATATTAATGCACCAATGACATATAATGTATCAGTATATTATATTGTCGGATCAATCTTAGAATTTGGTTCGACAAACATGTCATATTGATATAAAGATACATATGATCGAAGACTTCGATTCATCGCCTATGGAGTCTCGTCATTCTTTTTTGTGATAGAATAAGATATATCCTGATTACTTAATTCATTTGAATTATAAAGTTTAAATTGTTTAAAAATTAATAATTTAAATAATTTAATATTAATAGAGGGACGATCCAAAATGTATCATAAAACTACTTCTTAAGATACTAAAAAGATATATATCATTATTCTTTCTTAATTTAGATATTTTTACTAAAACTATACTAAAATTATATTTATTTTTGACTTTAAAATTTTAATCTAATATTTTATTTTTAAATATTTTAAAATTAATTTTGATTATTTTAAGTGTATCTTAGGTACACCTCGATATGTATCGTACCCGAACTTTGCTGTGAAGCATCATATATTCAATTATACATCAAGTGACCACAAGTTATCAGCAGAGAAATAGTATTAAGAATGCAGATGATGAAAAACTCCAAATGGCCTCTTGGAAGCAAGAACTATATCTTTATGACATGATGTGTCCAAAATGTGAGCCTCCTTCAATCGGTCATAGCAGATGTAACTAAAGGGCAGATTTCTTGCAAAAACAAGTGTATGGCTTGTATCTATGTTTTCGACTGTGCAAAATCTTGTTATTGTTTTTTCCAAATTGATATATATTGATACTTGCTTCTCCACCTTTTCTCCACTAATAGAGTGAAGCGAAGAGTCCATTCATTGTGAGCATGGCATGCTGTATTTAGTAGTGGTAATAAGGGTGGATTGGTGGCCATACGAACTTGGGACGATTTTACTTGATTCTTCATTCTTGGTAAGCATTTCTGAAGCAAATATATTTTTCTCTCGTGTAGTGCCAAAGATGCAATCTATGTTCCAACATTTCACATGTAGTTCACTAGGGACATATTATAAATAAACCAAGGTTGCACTCGAAAAATGACATAAGAACTCGACATCAACAATTTAACCATGAGATGTCCTATTGAGTCCTTAGTGATGTCCTCCCAAATTCTTATATCTATTGCATTTGAGGACTCCGAAGGAGATGATAATTTCATACTAGTTGTGTACGTACCTATAGACGATCACCTCCCATGCGATTCTATTTAACATGAGGACTATACATTGCTTAGTCAACCGCACTTGCAAGGATAGGAATCCCATTGCAAGAGATGGTCGCCCTTCGCTTAGGCGACCAGGCTAGTTGTTCAGCACCTTTATGATTCTAACAAGACAGGTATCTTCCTTCCATGTCCATGTGTTATTCTTTGGTTAGTTCGGTTTGAAGGCCTTGAGGTTACAATAATGATATCGAATGAAAGAGACAAAAGAGAAAGTTTACCCAGGAAAATGCTGCCAGAATGAAGTTTGTCACGCTGTAAACAATACTTCCTTGCTGCATGAGAAATTGGTTTCCTGGTGATTCGAAGATCTTGATGCTAAATTAATTTGACAGTTCTGCATGATTCAGACAACCGAGTAATGTTAGAAGAAGATATATGTCAACATGGCTCCATCCTTCACCAACATTTTCTCTTCAGAAAAAATAAAACAACTTTACACCAATCCAGGAGATTAAATGCTTTTATAATTCTTCACCAAGCAAAATAAAACTGAAAGTTAATCATTTGCAACTCTTAAATAAGTATACAGTGAACTTTCACAAATTGCATCTAGAACAGCCATCAAGATTTAGGAGAAAATTTCACCACAGGTATCAGAAGCCAAACTTTTTAGACCAAGAACATGAACAGAGCAATCAGTAAAACATTTGTGGAGTAGCAAAACAGGTTGTTGCCAAATGCTGCCTCCAGAATAACTTAATGCACAAAGGTAGGTAGGCCAATACCTACAAAGTATGATCTCATCACCAAGGACTGTCATCTGAAGACTGAGGGTCAGTGAAGGCCGTTGCTGATGGTCTTGCAGGTTGGTTTCTCCCTTGAGGAAAATTCCAGAATGAATCAGAATTCTCGTAGAGTATGTAAAACACCAACAGGGAAGCCATGAAGAAGCCCAAGAGTAGCAAGTAGATCTGCCACTCTGAGAGAATAAAATGGAGACAAGACAAACCAAAAGGTCACGTACTGCTTGCTATAGAGACGTTAGACAGAAATTAAAACATGCAATAGAATGGTATACCCTTCCATTCTGCTGGTACATTGAGTTTTGTGACCACCACCCCCCATTGATTTGAAGTAGAAAGAACAACCCTGCATGCACCGCAGACAGGATTCAAATTATTAAGACAATCATCTTCAAAGACACATCACATGTGATAAAGTGCTTTATGAGAGAAAAAACCACCACTAACTGAATCTCCACATTGTTATTATTTTTTTAATATATATTTTAAATTAATCCATAACCATCAAAGCAGAGTGTATCACACTCATTACAAAAATTAATAGGGAATCACTATTAATTTTTCTGAAATACAAGAGTTGAGAAGATGGTTGGGGATAACATTGATAACAGAATTAACAAGGACAATTTTGCCAGCTTGGGAGATGTAACCCTTTTGCCAACCCTAAATTCTAATGAGGATTTCGTCGACCAGCTCACATTGAAATATTTTTGGTAGTCGACAAAATGAAACGTACTCCCCAAGGTATTTGAGAAGTCAACTCCCCTCCTTGAATCCTAGGGTGCTTAATGGTAAACGGGCACGATTTAGGGAAAAGGATCTTCGACTTGGCTTTGTTAACCTTTAGATTAGAAAAAGAGGAGAAGTGATCAAGAGATTTGAGAAGATTTTAACAGGATTTCTTGTTTCTTGTTTCCCCTAATAGAAATGAGTACATCATTAGCAAACATGAGGTGAGAGACAGAAAGCTACTAATACATGCAATATGGTAATTTCAAGATTGAGCAGATTTGTCTTTAGAAAACTTGACATTATGCAAATTGCACAAATATTTCTAAGAAGTGGTTGTTCTTTAATACTAAGTTAGGATTATCTTGATTTCCAAAGCATCCATACTTCTTTCTGCTCTGGATTCCAAGGTACTTAATAATGAAGCAACAGATACCAATTTAAAATATTTTGCCTAGCTTGCTTTATACATGTTCACATAAGCACTATACCTTTCTTTAGGGCAAAATTCCAGCAACTTAATGCGTGTGCCAAGATGAAGCTTCTTGCTCCATTGAGAGATTGTCATTGTCTTCACTTCAACTACACACATATCACCATCTTCACAGCCACTAGATTTTAAGAAAGGATCACAAACAATATCATTAAGAGTTGCATATCCATTATATGTTATATCTATGATAGCAAAATCTTCATCATATCATATGTAAAAGGCACAATAGGTCCACTCCTAATAAAAGGACTAGAACTGGGAAATGGATCCTAGGAAATAAGAGACAATGCAGGTGGAGGCAAGTTAAAAACAAATTAGAATGTCCAACTATTTGGGGTTGGCTAATGGATCTTTTTCTACCATCAAGCTACATACTAGGTAATATCTAGAGTTAAATCAAAAGCACTCAAATCTCCTTTCATTGTTTCTATCAAAGTCTTCTTAAGTCTCTTCCTCTATCTTTCCTCACACCATTAATACTAGTTGATATATTTTTTACCACAGTATCCATAGGTCTCCTTTGAATATCTTCATAATCTTACTTGAATTTTTCTTATTTTATCCTCTATTAGGACTGTATTTGATTGTTCACAAACGAAAATATTTACTATTAACTCTTTTCTTGTTAATGTGGACTTTACTCGTGTTCTGATCATATGGGCTTCAATTATGTTCTAACATTTGGTCTCGTCAATATGGACTTTACCCTTGTTCTTGTTAGACAAGCAACAAACAAAGATGAAAGAGTAAGCTCAAAGAGATGGGAGTGGTTCTCTGAGAAGAGAACCCAACAATTAGATAAGTAAAGATATTCACCTCTTTGCTTCTGAAAAAAGATATTAACTTTGGAGTTTGATCTTTTCATAGCAATCTTATGTCCAAGAAGACAAATATGTCAAATCTGATATTGGGATAAAAGGATCTACTTGTACATATTCATCTAAGGCTATAGCAAATATTAGGGGCCACTCTACTATATACAAAAAGGGAATTGATCTCCAAAGGAAGCCTCTATCTGATGGGAATGTCTTAGTTGCTGAATGAGGAGCTTGTTACCAGAAGTAACAGAAATCTCACTCTCTGCTACCAAAGTGGCAAGATTAGGTAAAGAAATAAATCCTGCTGCAAGACAAAAAGGGTGACAGATCTCAAATCATATACCAAAACAGAAGATGCATTTGTTACTGCATTAGTTAGTATGAAATGGATCACGATAGGCCCAGTCACGCAACTTATCTAAGGAATTCTCATGCCTCCCGCCCTAGCCTGTCGGCTAAACAGTGAAATTAGTACTCCTCTCGCTTCCAATTCTTCTCCACCACCTCCTCACCTCCTCACCTCCTCCTCTTCTACCTCCCACGCCCCACCCCTCTTTGTTGTACCAAGGTATGTATCAACATGTCATATGTTAGTATGTCGGTATGGTAATCATGGGCTGGTATGAGTTCCATGCAAGCTTGATATTTATTAACAATGTTAGAATAAGCAGTTACAGGTGACTGTACATAAACAAAGTATTTGACTAGAAGCAGCAACCTATTCCACATAAATAGTAACTATTGTTAATCATATAGTATTTGAGTAGTATTCAAGAATACCAAGATATATCAAGAACTCATAATAAATGCAGACCGTTACTGTTTCATTAATCATTGTTAATGCTTAATACAAAGACATGAAACAACAAAGTTGGTATTATATGCATCTCATTTATAATTAAAAGTTTAAAATTCAAGAAAATCAAAGTTTTCCAAAGAACCAAGATCATAAAAAAATCAAATCATTTCAGTAATTACAAAAATTAGATACTTCGAGGAAGTACCCAATATGTACCTGAGAAGTATACTATTAACTATTATATCCAACATGACAACTGAAATGAGTCTAAAATACAGGTACTGCAAAAAAAAAAGGTAAATCCAACTGAAAAGGATCATGAAAGGCTTTAAAAAAATTTTGCATGGTTGTCAATTCTCTTTATGAATGATCAGTATAAGCAATTCATAAATTGTACCGGGTGGTATAATACTCTCGTTTTTTTACAAACATAAAAATGAAAGTTAGATTAAAGAGCAAAAATTCCGTACTTACAGTCCAAGGTACTTTCCATCCAAGCTAATTGAAAGCACAGAAACAGGCTTTCCTTGTAGCCTCTTGTACCCAATTCTGTTCCATGTACTGATGTCCCAAACAGCAGTTACCACTTTACGACCTGCTTTGAGTTAAATTCATGAATATTCAGAAGAAATATAATAATTAGAAGAACTTTCTTCAAGTTGATAGTGTAGTACCTTTTTGGACAGTGCAAAACAAGAAAGGTTTGGTTCCATCTCTAGAAAAACGACAACACTCTATCTTCTCATCCTTCAGTCAGTCGGGTACAAAAGGCATATTGCATTAAAAAATAAGCATTTCCTATGAAGAATTTATGAAGCTGAAGCAAAAACTTACTGCAGTGCGAGTCAAAGAGACTAGTGGAACACCATCATTTATCTTCCATATTCTTGCAGAACCATCGGTAAATGTTGATACTAAGAATTCTGAGTCCAAGCTGATGGACAAATTTTATAGGAATATTAGTATTATGCATGTTTCATCTCAATCATGAAATATAAAGATCAATTTCCTATGCAGCATTTGAGAGGTGATAATTATATACGGAAAATAGAAACTTCCTTAAACTCATGATAAAACAATCACCTGTGGACATAACTTGTAATCAGATTTGTGCACCCCAATGAAATGATTTGTTTTTTTTTTTTCTTTGAAGTTCCAAATTTTATATAATTGTTTGTAACTATTATCTAAATAGTGCTCCTTCAAAAAGTAAAAATGTTTCTCAAGATTTACATCGAGATCTACCATATTATTTACTTTTAACACTTCCAATGGTCATCTAGGAGAAATTAGTTTAATATGAAGCCAATTTAATTGATGTTTCAACTGATACATAGCAGTCGTCTTAAACCTGATTTTTGGATCAGTCTTATCTATGTACCTCTTCAAACGTTGGAAGTTAAAAAATATCTCATTATAGCAAGGTTCGCCGTACCGTACCGTACCGGCGTTTCGACTCGTGCTCGGTACGGTACGGTACGGGTGTACCGACCGGTATACCGAGGTGTACCGAGCGGTACACCGAGGTGTACCGAGCGGTACACCGAGGTGTACCGAGGTGTACCGAGGTGTACGGACCGGTACAGGGCGGTCCGCGTACCGACAACTTGTCGGACCGGTACGTACGTACCGGGCGGTACGGCTCGGTACGGCAAACCCTGCATTATAGTATTAGTGACCAAACTTGTCTCATCAAACTGTTCCAGAGTTCCAAAACTCCAATCGCACAGTTGTTGTGTAACTATCCTTAGTAGATCATACAGGTCTAGAGCACTCGTCAGCCCAAAAGATGTTCTTAAATTTTGAACTGTCGAATAAATCTGCAAACAATTAGACATAATTGTTTCCGAATCATGTTTATAAAACAAAAAGACAATAAACATGGACTCGAGAAATATCTCAATATTTTATGCAGGATCGTTTCAACAACCAAATGAAATGTATTAAAAAAAAGCAGATATTAGGAGTATCCACCAGATGTGCCTTACCTGATATCCATATCTCGAAAAGATTTATGAGCTTTTGGTTCATCTAAGAGAATGTTCAGGGTTGGCCAATGAAATATTCTGAGGTGTCCATCCTAAAGACAACAAAATTTTGTCAAGGACCAATGAGTTCAGTAATGTTACATTGCAACCTTGATTGTTTATTATGATTATATAGATGTATACAGTATCTATGTTTGTATATATATGTGGCACGTGTATACATATAATAGGTATGGAATGTAGAAACAATGTGTCTAAATGTGCTTGTGAGGCCATAGTTCATATATTTTGAAAAGTTTGATAGAAAATCCCTGTTTTCAAATGGAAAAAAAGAATAAAAGTATTTGCAACCTTGATAACAGAAACATTGAAGCAAATTTTGGTTTCCAATGCACTAAACCAATCATCCTTTTTAGACCCATAAATAGAATAAACAGTATACAAGGAAAGAAAATGCATACTTCTCCACCGACAGCAAATTTTAGACCATCTGTACTAAATGACAAACATTTCTGCGGACCAATGGAGTGAAGAGGTTCCAGATCTTTAGACAGAAGCTTTATACCCAAATCTTGACTAACAAACTCATATAATCTGCATAAAGAAGAGGATTGTAATGTAAAATACTATACCAAATGCTAAAGTACAACAAAAGATACAAAAAGTAAATTGTATCATTTTAGAGAATTGAAGGATATGATCGATCATTTTGACAGAGAGTAAGCACAGAATAAAAGTAATCATGAAAAATTTGGATGCAAGATTGAAGATATCTCCAATACCAGCATTTCGATAATTCATTGACATCTAGATAGTTGGAGAAATTTTTTGGAGAATATTTCAGCCAAGGACCTCACAGCTAAACAAAATCAAAGGATGTCACGACATTAGAACCACCAGTAACATTTCAAGGCACCTTAGTGACAGCAAGCAAAGTTAGAGTGATATCTAAGATGACCATACTGATAACTGGATTGTTATGCAGTAGAATAAATTCTAGTATTAAACATAAGCATAAAAAAAGTTTGTTATAGATCAGTGATTTAAAAAATTAGGTGTCAAGGTCTCAAAATGCCTGAGGTGCTAAGCACACGTCCAAGCGAAGCGAGACATTCTGAAATATTAAAATATAAAAAATATATAATATAATTGATAAATATGATTATATAAATAAAAATATAATATTAAATTAAAAGGATCAAAAGTATTAAGTCGTATTATCCATCTTCTAAGAATAAAAATATCAAAAGACTCAAAACAGTAAAGTTTTACACCGAATTCAATCATGATCATAATCAACCTAGTCATTCTCAAATATATCATCTTTCTTTTTCTCTCATCCATCTTCACCAAAATAGGTTTCCTCTTCTTTAACAATGACAAGAGATGAATTTGAGGCTTTTGCATTTATTTTTGTCTTCGTCATCTATTTTGTATATGTCTGTAATTCTCCAACACCTGAGACTCTTGTCACATCTCCTTATATCAAATTGTTATCTTCAAATACAAGTCCATCTTTGACATTTTGTAAGTTTGCTTTCCTCTACCAACCATTCATTTGAATCATCAATGTCTTGTAATGAAATTGGATCAATATTATTTTGCAAATCATAACGAGCCTTCGATGCTTAATTATACTTTATATAAACTAGATCATTTAATCGATGATACTCTAACAGATTTTTTCTCTTTATATGAATCTGTCATGTCATATATTTAAAAATATATTAATATATCTATTTCAAAAAGAATAGATTAATTAAAATAGAAATATTCTATGATCATTACATGCTCAAAGACACTCAAGTTTCGCTCACAACCTGCAGCACTACAAGTTAAACTAAGAATTTTGATAGTCAATTACTATCTGTTTGGGGTGAAATTTCAAAATAAACTCCACCATTCAATTATAAAATTTACTCTATTATTGATAATAAAGTATTATACATGAAATTAATTATATAAATTTATAAATACCTAGGGATGTAGTTGTCCTAGATCGAACTATCATTGAAATGTTAAAAAGGTCATTGACATTCTTATAAAAAGATAATTCACGTATAAACTTATCTTGCACCTAAATACTAAGAACCAATTTTGCAATGCACTTATATAACTCATTTACAACTTTTGCATCAAACTCAATGGAGGTATTCTTATAAAAGAATTCTGGGTTTAAATAATATCCTGGTACATATAATGCATGATAAAGTTGATAATTCTATCTTTTGTTAATGATTGCAAATATTTTATTATACTTTTCTTCATTTCCATCATAAGACTTTTGAATCGTCTCCTTTACTCCAACCATAACCTCAAATATATCTCATTGCAGCCTTCTCTTCATTATTTGTCAACCGAAGGACTCGAAAAAGAGGGTACATTACTTTTAATATATAAACTATAATATTCCAAAAAGATGGCATTAAGATGATATCACTAGCCCTCTTGCCCTTTACTTCTTTTGCTCATTTACTTGTCACTCATTTCTTCGAGGTAAACATGTTTCTCAGATTATATTTTGATGATACACACTCTATAATGTCAAGAAGGAAATAACAAATTAGTTGACACCATATCTCACCAATTCCTTGTTACCTGTGAATTCTCTCATCAAATTCAAAGCCCTAGTATGATTATAGAGAAATCCAACGATAAAAATTACCCTTTCTAAAGTCTTCTTAATGTTAAAAATCTTTCCAATATCTTCCAACATTAAATCAATGCAATGTGCCGCATATGAAGTCTAATATAAGTTTTTTTTTTCTTCAAATAATTTACCTAAGATAAATGATAACAAAATTAAAAAAATTTAGGAGTCACATAGTTCCTTTATTCAAATTAAAGACATAGAGTAATTAAAAGATTAAAAAATTCAAAAGATAAATCTTACCAACTAACACATAGTTCTTTCATTATCGATTATAACTTGGATAATATTTTGTTCACTAATTTCTTCCACGAGCTTGCCAAGCAACTCATATATTTTTTTTTCAGATTTCATAAAAGATGATGCATTTATTAATTTCATAAACATGGTTCCAAAAGAACAGTTAACCATAAAATTAATTATACTCCTATGTCTCATATTGATCCAGGCATCTGACATGATAGAGCAACCATACTTTACCCATGATTTTTTGTGTTCCTTTAATAAGTCATTTGTATAATCCAACTCCTTTTTTAGGAACGAAACTTGCAACTCATAATAACTTAGGGATTTTAATTCCCCCACCATATCTTCCAATAGCTTCAATCATCTCTTTAAAACCGTCTAAACGATAAGTACTAATAGGAAGGCTAGCCTAATAGAAGAAACGAGCAATGTGTTGAATCGTTCTTCCCCTTATTTTCTTATTACAAGCATTACTTATATTTGTTTGTCTTAATTTTGCCCCTATTTGCTCTTGTTGTTTTTGTGATCATTTATACATATATAAGTCTATCGATTCCTTTTTACCCTTCTTAACAATCATGGCTTCTTTTCCTTTTCTATCATATACTCTTTTCCCACTTGGATTGACACTTTTTAAATAATCTTCTTCTTCATCTTTAATATGTTCAACATTATCCTCAAATAAATTCCATAAGATTCATTCTTTTGTATCTTTTTTCAATCATATAAGCCAATAATTCTTCTTTTATATCAGGTGGACACTTCTTGTATGTCGATGCATTCTTGAAGTTCCCTACTTGATATTACTTTATACAAAAAATACCACCTATAGTAGTCTTATTATAGAAGATGCAAGAAAATACATTTGGATCTTTAGGATCATTTAGACAATTGTATTTCCAAACAAGAACCTTTCTTGAATTTTTTGATGAATCTTCTGAATTGCTTTATACACTTGTCATTAATCCTAAAATCCTAATAACAATTCTAAATAAATAGAAATTAATAGTGTTAAAATATAAATAAGGACTATCCTATGATAACAGTAGTTAAAGGGGAGAAAAGAGTCACCGACGATGGAAAGTGGGGAAGGAGAGGACGATAGTGATGAAGAAACTTTCAGACGACGACGACGACGTCGAAGGAAGCTACGAATGACAACAGTAGTGATAAAGGAAGGTACGAATGACAACAGTGACGATGGAGGAAGCTGCAGACGACATCAGCAACGAAGGAGAAAGCTTCGGACGATAACAACGACAATGACAAAAGCTACGAACGACAACGTCATGGGCCGAGGAAGCTTCAAATGTGTTCATCAATAGCAGAGGAAGCTACGGTCCTGTCTCTCAACAGTGGAAGGAGTTGCACACGTAAGCAGCAACAGCGAAAGAAACTGCGCACGAAAGCTAAACCTTCATACCCGTCCGTTGGCGACAGAGGAAACATCGCTCTTATGCGTCGGCGAGAGAGGCAGCGATTGTGCTAGGGTTTATGGCTCGAGGTCCCATGAGGGGGCAGGGGGGTGGGTTTTACTAAAGCATAGTAATATTATGTAGCTTGTTTGGTTCAATCGAACCAACTAGCTAATGTTTAACTGAAACAAACATGATAATCTGGTTCGATTGCATTATTTCAATCGAGTGCTCGCTCAAGTCACATGGCGCCTGGGTTCAAGCGAGTGCCCAGGCGATGCTTCACCAAAGCGTGCTGCTTGGTTAATTGCCTTGCCTCACCCGAGCACCTAGGTGAGCGCCTAAGCACCTTTTTAAACCCTTGTTATAAATAAAACTCAACTAAATAATTCTGCATTTTCTAACAATAAATGTTGGCAATAGGTGCAAACCTTAAGAATCAATCCACAAAGCAAAAGTAAAATCCTAAAACTTGTCATCGTATATAATAAACTTAACCTATGAGAGAGAAAAACAAGTTCTTATGAGTATCAACACATTGAAGGCTACATGAGACAGAAAGTATGCACTTAGAATTTTTAACCAATGCACTTGCATGCTTCCTAGGGTATCTTCTTTATTATTGATGAAAAGACCCAAAATTTTCAGTCTTGTCATCTTTGTCCTTAATGATAATTGGCAAAACAGGCCACATGTTTTTTCCTTAAACTTTATTCATAATTCTGCCTTTGTTTCAATTTTACATTTTCTACTATTTTTGGGTATCATTATGTTGTTATTTAGTGTCTTCAGATTTGTCACTTGAATTGGTTTTGGTTTAGACAATCCCTGGGTTTTGAGTTATATTAGATTTGTATTTGGGTATAATATAAGTCCAAACTTCATTTATCATTCATTGTCAAACTCTAGGTCTGTTTGGGTTTAATTTAAATTGGACTTAAGACCTATTTGGATTAAGGATAATACATGTACAACTACTTGATGAATCAAGGAGATATCATACATAATACTACAGCATGATGTCATGAACAAATATTTCTGTCATAGAGTCCAAATGTGGGAAGAAACTAGCAGCTGATTTCAGCACTGCCATTGGAAGTTGGATAGAAATCTTATACTTCTTAGTAGACTATTAGATCCCGTTAGGACTCAACTTCTCATCAATTTACAGCAAAAACAAGAAAGATTCCGCCAGATAGATGATTAGGGGGAATAAATAATATTTAATTTTGTGCTGAATTGACTCTTAATGGCTGAAAATGAGGAGATGTGCATGCCAACTCAAATTTCGAGTAAGAAAATCCTCCCAAAGACACAGAATATAGAGCATCAAAACAGATAACTTCCTAGGCAAAAAGAAAATAAAATTTATTAATGGATAAAGGACCTCTATGAGTAAAATCCCAATCATATTGGGAATAGATAATACATGGGCATTCTCTTAAGCTTTTGGGTTGTATCGATACTCCTCACACCATCTGATTCTCCCCATTGACAACGAACGATAAATATATCATGTTTAGTTAGTATTTTTCCTAATTAGTTTTATAGGAGAAAGATCAAACAAACTTATTAGCTGACAGAACGTAATCTTCACTAACCTAAAATACTTGAATTTATTTTCAATTATCTACATTAACAATAAAGAAAATGTACTAACAATTAAATTACCGGAATCTTTTTTACCCCATAATAAAAAAATAATGGAAGGCTCACCTGCAGCCAGTTGCAAGGGAGCAGACAAACTCATCGCCGCTCGGGTGCACCGCGAAACCCAGCGGATCGCCATCCTCATCTCTCATCACAATCCTCACCTACAAATCAAATTTGGCTCTCCATCAACATAATTCACCTGGTAATGGAGGAGGGATGGACGGACAACTCAAGACGGGAAGAAGAGGAAGCAAAGAGAACCAGGGGATCGGGGGAGAGGGAAGCGGTCTTGGGATTAAACTCGAAGATGTCGAGCAAAGGCGGGCAGGAGCGGTTCCTCGCCCTTCCCATGACCACGAGGAGCTGCTTCTCTGACCGCCGGATCCACGACGCGCACGTCACCGGCCCCGCCTCCCCCTCGCCCTCGCCCTCCATTACTTCGTCCGCCTCCTCTTTCGTCGTCTCCTGCTCTCGTTGCGTTGAAGACAGGGCATTTCCTTTTATAGATGTGCTTTGAGATGACCGAGCGATGACAGCAAGGCCGTTTGATGGGAATATTCCGGAAAAGATGCGCGTGATGGGATACAATAACACCTCTTTGACTTCACTAATCGTCATTTCTTTAAAGTCACCCGTTATGATTTGGGTATTAATTCCTTTCAGTTTAGAACTTAGCAAATCTAATCCATGTTAATATTCTTTTTTAATTTTTTGTTTTACTATTGTGTTGATAATAATTTTGAAGATATTATATATTAAACTAGCGATTAATAACTCTACTACTTAATTAGAGTTTTGTTAATGGAAGCGATATATAGACACTAATTAATATTTAACGAATTGAATTAATAAATCATATTTGCTATTCTGTTCAGCTATAATATTGATTTTTATTTCAAAATTCAGGAATCAAATATGTCATTCCAATTTGAAGAGTACATAAACCAAACATGTTAATGGATTTGGTCATGTTTCAATATTTCAGTAAATCTTAGCTTTAGTTTTAATTCCGACAATTAAATGTTATATTACAGGCTCAAATATCAACATTTAGGTTAGACCAGTTGCTGTGTTATATAATTTGCTGTCTGCGCAAATAATTAATTTTAATTAGGAGCGCACGTGGACGGCTCGTGACTGAACTTGCGTGTGCATGTAATCGACCTCCCTCTGTGCGACATCTCCTCTTCTTATACCACCGTCTTTATCCTATTGTACAATTTTTGTTTGTTGGCGGGCCCCTTAGGCGAGTGAACGTTGGGTACATGGCGTATAGGTACGAAGGTTTTTAATCCTTGAAATTTGCACTGAGTCGCCTACCTTGTGTGGTGTGCGGAGCAAAATAAAGATGAAGGGCTTTCGAATCCTCGGTATCAGAGAGCAGGATACGCTACTTCTGGCTGCCTTCTCTTCCTTCCGTCTCCCTTTCTCTCTCTTCTTCTTCGTCTTCTTAGACTGTTATGACGACGGTGGGCGTCCTGGCGCTGCAGGGTTCTTTTAACGAGCACATGGCGGGTATTTCCTTTTTACATTCTTTTTGTTCGTCCAGTCCTTTCTCTGCTTTTTGGTGATCTTGCCCTTAAAAGTGGGTATCTGGTGCGCACAGCGTTGCGGAGGATAGGGGTGAAAGGGGTGGAGATAAGGAAGGCGGAGCAACTGCAGGCCGTCGACGCCCTCATCATCCCGGGCGGCGAGAGCACCACCATGGCCAAGCTCGCGCACTACCACAACCTCGTCCGCCCTCTTCTATCTGTCGATTACCCCTTGTGCATTTCTTGTCTTGTTCTTTCTTGTTTGGAATTACTTGTTAGGTTCTTCTGAAGATTCTCAAATTGACCACGTCAGAAAGAAAAAAAGGCTAAGGAAAAGAGGAAAAGATAGAAACGAATCTTTATTTTGTTTCATGTTCTTTCGTATTGACAGGAAATTGAACCCTACGAGGACACTAGAGTACTTCCCAAGGCAAACTGAGATTACCTGGATTTATAATGTTCCACATATTGCACTTTTGTAGTTGCAAAAATTTAGAGTAATTGATGTGATACCCTGCTTGTTGGTATAATCCTTCTATTACTTTCGTCCTAAGTCATGAACCTTTTAACAATGGACTGGTCACTGCAAAAGATTCTGCATCATGGTGGAGATCGTGTTGGAGATTGGACTAGGTGAAAGTGATGGCTTCGAGTTCTCCAATGGATTAGGAGAATGTAGAACTTCCTAAAGTGATGGTGCTTCCAAAAAAGACTTCCAAACTGGTGGCACAGCGTCTCCCTTTAAACATACATTTCTCCATTTGATGAACTAACTACATAGCTTACTGATGCACTGTATAAGAAAGCAAATAAATTTCCTTCAGCCTTGGCTTTGATTGAATGACAGAAAGTGATGTTCTATTCTTTTTTGTTCTACTCTGTCCTGCTGCTTTTTTTTATTGTAAAATTGTTATCATCATTGCAGTATTAACCAAAGTTCTACGAAACACACTCAGGCTTTGAGGGTTCATTAGTTAATTAAACATATGTGTCACTATAATATATGCTCTATCATGAAGTTAGCTATCTCACTCGTTTCATAATCTATATAAGCTTGGGAGTGGTAAGGACAACTGCTATTTCAATACATGAATAAATTCAGTCATACACTTTGCTGGTAGACAAACTAAGCATGTGCATGTTGTCAATTATCCAGGTAGTGTTTGGTAACATTAGATCAAATCGTTCTTTACACAATCTTAGATATCACAAAACTGAACTGTTAGTTCTGGCACCACTGGATAATGCCAAAGTATTGGAGACATCAATTTCTTTTGAAAATAGGTATATGCAGCTTTTTTTTCCCATGAAATTGTCTTCTACATCTTGCCAAATTTTCCTTGATCCTTAATATTTACATCCCTTTCTTCTGCAAGTTGGACATTCAGAGACATGTTAAGTAATCAGAATATTCAGTAATCACCATTCTTGTTCCTGTCTTTTTCTTTTGCAATTAGATGCATATGTTCCTTTTATAAAAGAAATTGATGCTTGCATATTTTCAAGTAGATTGCCGCCTCATTGGCATTCAAAAGTTTGTTTCTGCTGCGTAAGAGTCTCTATGACAACATTGTAGCAGTTTGGGTCACGCCCAAAAAATTACTTTCTTTGGTGACTACATATTCTAAAATTAAAGTATTGATAGGCTTATCCTTTTGCTTCTCCTTTTCAAGGGGACAGAATTTGTCGAGTTGACTCAGCAAAATAAGAAATCTCCAGTTTTTCTGTTGATGTGGTGTAGCTTTGATTTTAAAAAGAAAATAAAATATTTTGTGACATTTTTTTTCAATTAACAGTTTCCTGCTTTACGAGAATTTGTAAGTACTGGGAAGCCTGTCTGGGGAACCTGTGCAGGACTTATTTTCTTGGCAAACAAAGCAATTGGTGAGCCGGCAAAAACACATTTTCAGTTTAAAAAAAATTAATCATCAAAGACAGCAATTTCAAGGTAATAAGTTGAACTTTCCCTAATCAGGTCAAAAGTCAGGAGGCCAAGAGCTTATTGGGGGACTAGACTGCATTGTCAATCGAAATTTTTTTGGTAGTCAGGTTTTGACCTGGGACTTTTAACTTGTCAAAGTTGTTATGTTCTTTTGTTTTAGAATATATTTTGACTACTCAAATTTGATTTTGCAGCTTCAGAGCTTTGAAACAGAACTGTCAGTCCCTAAGCTTGCAGAGGAGGAAGGGGGGCCTAATGGTTTCCGTGGAGTTTTTATACGTGCACCAGCCATCTTAGAAGTAGGACCTGATGTCGAGATATTAGCAGATTGCCCTGTTCCTTTGGAAACGAAAAAGAGTATAATGTCTGTTGACAATGGCCAGGAGGAGGTTCGTCTCTGTTAACTTAGTTTTGCAAGTCTCTTAGTGTATATTTGCTGTTCTGAAATTTTATGTTATGGACTCTATTGTTTTTAGTTCCATCTTACTGTCTAATTCTTTTTTCTGGATGATTGTTGGAATTATGGATCATATGTATCTAATTGCTGTCTATAATCACTACTATATGATGCTATATAAACACTATATCTTAAATGGAATTCCCTGCATGAAGTGCTGAATCAGAATTCATATTTCAAACTTAAGTGATGCATCTAACCATTTTGGCAATGAGACACTTGTAAATGCCAATGAGTGCTGTAATAGAAGTTTTATGTTCAGCAGTTGGTAGTTGATGGAAATCATCAGTTAATTAGTAAATATGGTACTCATTCTCTGTGTTTCCCTCGCACTTCCTCTATATTAAACTAGTGATTTTGTAATCCTTAATGATTACTAACTGTACAAGATTAGGATACTGACCACATTCTTCTTTTTTCCCCTGAGATCAAACTATCTAAGCACATTTGTGTAGAAAAGGACTTTTGCAATAATGTACGTAACTGTTATATGTTTGTGCAGGAAATAGTTTCTCGTGAGAGAGTAATTGTTGCAGTAAGGCAAGGGAACTTACTGGGGACTGCTTTTCACCCTGAACTGACTACTGACCTGCGATGGTAAAGACTTGTTATTAAACTTGTGCTATTTATTGTTAATTGGTATGTTGATAGGCCTGGTATTTTCTTCATCAGGCACAGTTTATTCTTGAAAATGAAGAAAGACAGCAGTGATAGGTGCTTGCAACGCGTTCCCACATCAGGAACAGACTTAGAAGATTCTCTAGGAAAGAGACCTTTCGATCTCCCCATTTATGAATGATATTAAAGATGACAACCGACAAGTTGACTTGTCTGTACTTAGGTTGTTCACATTCTAACAGCTCCATGAGATTTATCTCATAATGAAACTTTCATTTATTTATGCAATGTCCCTTCAAATTTCTACCTCTTTGAAATTGTTTCAGGTACAAAAAACAAAACATACCAGATGTTGTTTGGACAACTGTCTTGTGAATTTTGTTTTCAATTCTACTTAAATTATCATCTGCATGCACCAAAAGAAATGATATTATGCCTTGCCATAATCCTCCATCTGGAAAGAACAATCCATGTTATAATTGAAAAAATTGTAGTCGATGAAAAGTGACTTTGACAAGTATTTGACCATCTTGACATGAACTAAGGTATCCTGAATGTTTGGTGCTTGCTCCCATTTGAAGTTATAATGTGTTTGATACCTGGTGATGTAGCCCGAGAGGACTGCAAACTGGATGCGGATAGCTCATGTTGAGCAGATGTGCCCCATGCATATCTATCACCAATCTCAAATCGTTTGCAGGGAGTCACTTACAGTGAGTGGTATGCCTCCTCTTGTGTTTTTGCTATAACAGACTTTTAACCTACCATCTTGAGACCATTCCTCTATTTTATTGAAGTGCATATTTGTGCAGGTTGGAACTGGTTTTAGAACTGAGATAGGAGGAACTTATATGTTCTTTGAATCTTTGGATGTGATATAAGTGAATATATGGAAGTTCCACCAGCTATAATCTCCCTCAACAAAGCTTAATGATATGAAAAAAATTAATGATGTTATAACATTTTCCGTAATAGAAAGACATATATGGGGTGGAATGAATGAATTCTATTACTCTTGCATGATTTGCATATCTGTGGAGTCATTGTACTTTTGGCTACAATATTGGTTGTGATGTATCTAGAAGAAACTTGAATTGAGAATTTTGATTTCTTTTAAATGATTATCCTGAGATTGTGGAGTCGATATATATTCAATGCTAAATTATTGAGACATATGGAGCAGCTTAAATCAAGAAATTTAGTTTGAATTGGCAAATACCATTCTTATTTTAATTAATAGATGCCTTTGTCATGATAGTAATGACAGTGGGTCAATTTTTCTTGGATACTCTGATCAGTTTGTTTTATTAAATTAATGCACTAATTAATTGAGTTTGGGAGATATATTTATAATAAGATAGTTAGGTCAAATTTGGAACAGATTTGAATTTTAGTTAATTAGTTGATTAGAATTGGGCTGGTGAAATTTGTAGCGCTAACTTACCGTTGTCATTTTTGTTACTTTGTTTTACCAACCTATTTAAAAATATTATATCAAATAAATTTAAGAATTGAAATATCGATAATAAGTTGAATTTGAAGTTAATTCAAGTTCAATATATGAGTATAGTAACATTTTACGCACCAACGAAACATCCTTGCAATAATCCTCCAATCTCAATTTGATCAAACATCAACACAACCACCTCCAATCTTAATTTGATAACCCTGATCTAATCCTATTTGGGCCAGTGTTGCTTTTTGCCATCAACATCGATTACAATTACCATGTAATCCAACTTTGTATTCGGCTACTTTTAGCAGAAATGCCACAAATATCAACTATCGCCCCCTCCTCTCCCCCACATGTCCTCCTCCCCTTTTTATCTCTACGCAAAAGAAAACTACAAGGAAAAGGAGAGAAGAAAGAGAGAACATTTTGATCTCCATGTAATCCACCTCTTCCCTCTGTGTATTCCTCATCCTTTTTCTTCGCTTCCTCTCGAATAACTTGATTGCATTTCATCTCGTTGTCAGAAGTCCATGAATGGATTGGAATTACCTTCAATTCCTTCTTATCCTCTTTTGTTCCGTTGCTATCACCTTCCTCTTGTAATATGATATCCCCTTCCCCATTACTGTTCATGATTCTAGGGTTTGTAGTCCGCTCTCTGTATTGGGAAGTGGGATCGATCTAGGGCCTAGAGTCAGGATTTCGTCAGGGCGGGTCGCAGAGAGAGAGAGAGAGAGAGAGAGAGAGAGAGATGTTCACCAAGATCATGAAGCGGGGCAACCGCAAGGGCCCCAAGTCGGAGGCGGCCGAGCCCGCCGCCGCTGCGGCTGTTCCCGGCTCCAACGTCACCGTCAACCACGCCTCACGTACCGCGGTGCCCTCCTCGGGCGCCGCTGCCGGTGCGCACCACCTCCCCGCCTCGCCTGCCGGCGCCACACCACAGATCGAGTCCCTCCCGCTCTTTCGCGACGTGCCCGTCGCGGAGCGGCAGGCGCTCTTCGTTCGCAAGCTCCAGATCTGTGCGGTGATCTTTGACTTCTCCGACACCCTTAAGTCGGCCCGTGAGAAGGAGATGAAGCGGCAGACTCTCTCGGAGCTCGTCGACGTGGTTCAGTCGAGTTCCATCCGCCTCGGGGAGTCCGTCCAGGAGGAGCTCGTCCGCACTGTCGCCGTTAACATCTTCCGCGGCCTCCCGCCGGCCTCCCACGAGAACACCGGCTCGGAGGTGACCGACCCCGAGGAGGAGGATCCCTACCTGGACCCCGCCTGGCCCCACCTTCAGCTCGTCTACGAGCTCCTTCTCCGCTACGTCATCTCCTCCGACACTGACACCAAGGTCGCCAAGCGCTACATCGACCACTCCTTCGTGCTCCGCATCCTTGATCTCTTCGAATCCGAGGACCCCCGCGAGCGCGAGTATCTCAAAACAATCCTCCACCGAATCTACGGCAAGTTCATGGTCCACCGTCCTTTCATTCGCAAGGCCATCAACAACATCTTCTACAGATTCATCTTCGAGACAGAGAGGCATAGCGGCATCGGTGAGCTGCTGGAGATCCTTGGGAGTATCATTAATGGGTTTGCCCTGCCGATGAAGGAGGAGCACAAGTTGTTCCTCGTGCGGGTCCTCATCCCGCTTCATAGGCCAAAGCCGGTGGGTATGTACCACCAGCAGCTATCCTACTGTATTGTGCAGTTCGTCGAGAAGGATTATAAGCTTGCCGATACGATCATCAGGGGGCTGTTGAAGTACTGGCCTGTCACTAATTGTCAGAAGGAAGTGCTATTCCTTGGGGAGTTGGAGGAGGTGCTGGAGGCGACACAACCAGCAGAGTTCCAGCGGTGCATGGTTCCCTTGTTTAAGCAGATCTCTCATTGTCTCAGCAGCTCTCATTTCCAGGTTTGGAGTTCATCTCATCTTCTGTCATTTTGATTTCTTGCCTAATGCACTGAAAATGCTGCCAGATATTCAGATCATTATATGTTTTCTTTTTAGCCAAGTTGACAGGAAAATTATCTAAATAACTTATGGTCTTCAGGACTGAAAATATGCAACTTTATTTTTATCCCCAGTGATATATTTACCTGTATTTGTTACTCCAAAAGACTTTTTTGACATATTGGCAAGTTAGTTTTTTCTCACGGAAAAAGTTTACTATTTCAGTTGTTAATTTACCAAAAAGTTTAGCTAACATGTGTTGTAACTTTGTCTTTGTCCATTCCTTTTTTGGGTTCTAGGAATTACATATTAATATATTCATGGAATGGATCTTGATTTGGGCGGTCACTTGTTTCACTTGAATATATTATTTTTAGTTTTCAAATATGTTGGAATATTAATATATGATTTGAATTTTGTGGAATAAGTACCCATCTTGACATGTTCAAAAGGTGTATCACATCATGAAGCTTATCTAGGTATAGAACTGCTGGTCCATGTATGGCTCGCTGAAGCTTCCTCAAGAAGTTAGAAATTTAGGCATATTCTCATAATTCATTATCGTAAAATGCTTTGAAGATGTTTTCCTTACACTTTTTTGTTCTCCTTGCATCTTGTTGATGGCAAGGTTTTTTTTTTTGCATTGACTATAATTCTTTTGTTCCGTTTTTTAAGCCTTAAATACAAGTCCTAGCCATTGCGATCTGCTATGTGGATCATTGCAGTCTCAAGTGAAGGAGACTTTATATTATAGTGGAAAGATATATGGTAATGTTGATATATGGTGGTTGACATTAAAACATTTATATTATGGTGTTGGCATGCTGACTATGATTATTTTGTTGACATTGCATTACCGACTATGAATATTACATTTCTAACTTTTGTTGACATGCTGACTACATTCTTGGAACATTAAAACATCTAGTTGACAACTATGATTATTTTCAGAATTATGTGGTTGAGAAGGCCAGTTTGTCATACCATCGGTGTAGGATATAACTTGCCTACTTGTGCATATAGAGTTTTGAGGAAGATGAAATCGGGCATGACGGATATTGTACCACACCAATTGGATGCTGCTCACCGACCAAAAGAGGCCAAAATTTTGGTTTGCCCATGTGCATGATTGGTAGGGCTTGGCATGATTTGACATGTCAAATGATGCTGATAGACACTGAAATCCTTCCCATAGTTTGAGTTGCTTAAGTGGCCATTCTATTGTTTGTTAGCATGGTTGAATTATAACTCAATACATTTAATGATTGTTTTTTTCAAGAACAAGGTGAGTACGCTCAAGAAAACAACAACAATAAGCTGTAATGTCTTCAACTTTTTAGATAGGCTATTTGGATTTTTTGTCGCTGTTAGACTTTGTAAAAAATATCCTTACTTAAATTAAGAGAATTTAGATTATTATTTACAGTTTCTAGTAAAGTCTTCTTTCGTCTCCTTCTACTTCCCCTCATACCATTAATACTATTTTTCTCACATCTTTTATAGGGGTCCCTAATCCCTAGCATATGTCCATACCATCTTAATTATTCTCCATCATTTTATACTTTATTGAACCTATATCTAATTATTCATAAATGATAAGTATTTTGTTTCCTATCATTTTTATAACTCCAAATATTCACCTCAACATTCTTATCTTATCCACACAAAATTTTTTGTCATTGATTTGTCGTATAAAATTTTTGCCTCAATATAAAATTGACCTGATGAACACACAAAATTCATAAAGCCTCTATCCACCTTAACCACCTAGTCTTTACTCTATGAACAAGATATTTATCAATCTCTTCATCTTGTTCAATAATCAATCCATGGTATATAAAACTTTTACTTATTAGAACTTCTTATCCATCTAGCTTAATTATGTCCTCAGTTCTACTTCCAATAGCCTTTTAATTTAAAGCATTTAGTTTCCACTGTTTGTGTTTATTACTTTAAGTATAGAATTAATTTCATTTAAATTCTTATAAACTAGAATAATATCATCAATAAATAGAAATATTAAATACACCAAAGATGTCTATCTTGCATATGATTGGTAAGATCATCATTTATTAATATTGAAGCTAGAGACTTGATGTGGATACTTGGTGTTGTTTTATCCCATTAAGATCCACATGGACTATAACGTTATACATATCTTATACAACATCAATATGTTCCGAATATAAACTTTTTTTCTAAAATTCATCATAACAAATCTTTAGATTTTTTATTACTTAAAAAGCATATGCAAATCATTTTTTTCTATAATTTTTCATTAATAATAACGAATAAATGGTTTTTATTGGTGATCTACGAGGCATGAAAGCAATTAATTTTTAAAAATATTTGTTTCATATCTTGTTCAATCTTCAATCATTATTTTCCAAAATTGCATATTTAGAACTATAATTATGTTCCCAAATCTCATAACATTGTTGTACATTGTTGTTAAGATCCTTATCCACAACAATACTCATACTAATTCTATAATTATTTTTTTTAATATTACCAAATTTGAAGTCCATTATTATCAATCTTTTTTATTTTTTTCCTACCCATTTATTTCCCTGTAAACAAATAATATTTAATCATTGTGTACATCATCTTTAACACTTTTCTTGAAAGTGTACAACATAATCCTTTGGCCTTGAACTAACTTTTTTACTTGCATCGGTTCAAAGATATGTGAGAACCTTCTGCTAACTTTGCACCACGTCTAGACTTCAATGTGATGAACCACTTTTGGATGACCTCCTAGGCCACCCTTCACACTTTGAGGCACTTGGATGGTGAAGGTATCTCGTGTCACTTTGGGTGACTAGTCCTACATTGAAAATGATTAAGATATGTGGATTTGACATAGATTTACATTGACTAGTGGCCCAATGCAATGCTCCATTACTTTGATCCGAGCTTGTGATTGACACTTGGTAATGCAAGGTGAGTGGAATGCTTAATTGGGCTTACATTGACTAGTGGTCCAATCCCCAATTAAAATGCTTAATTGGGCTTTGTTGCATGACTATGTGCAAATTTAGACCTGATTCTAGTAAATCACATATGATATTATCTCTTGGTTAAACTTACTAAATTTCAGATGAGTGGAATGCTTAAATTTAATCATACTTCATGGGATTGATTGATTTTGTATGATTCACCATTTCGTATTGGTATTATTAAAAAATAATTGGGTTTGGCCAAATATTGCCCTTGTTGCTAGAAGGTTGGAAACAGCTAGAACCAATAAATTTCAATCAAAATTAGATGGTTTGAAGAATTGTTGGTAATTTTACTACCTCAAAACAAAGAGAGAGAAGGGAAGGAAATATGTGGAAGGAAAAGAATGAAGAGGTAAGTAGGGGTAGAAGAAATGCATAGAAGATAACTTTAGACTATGAAACAAAGGAGACACTCTTACTATAGTGTTTGTAATTGGCTGCAATCATCATATTTAACAAACTTCACCATTGTTGCAATATTCATCATATTAGGAGATGGAAGGGGAGGACAAATATCTCTTATTTTTACATATTCTTGTTGACTGATAAATCTTAACTGGTTAATAATCCAGGGATATTCTTTTGAATTGGTTACTTAGAATAATTTGAAGCATAATTGCAGTTGAATGAGATGTCACCCTCAAATTCAGAAAGCTTATAATTCTGGAAGAATATATTGATAACTGGAAGAAACATTAGTTTTTTTTTTTTCATTTTCATGATTGGTAACTTGAATATTGTTGTTATAGAAGATCTGAACATTAATTTCTATCAGTTTCATGATTGGTAACATGAATATTTTTGATGTGGAAATGTCGGATATAGGGTTTAGGTTAACGTGCCCAACTTATCTGAGATACTTTTCTTATCCAGCTTGAGGATCTTGGTAGGATTATGAGATATTTGACTCTTAATGCTGTAGCTGCTGCCAAGTGGAAGGTTACTTGGTTCGAATTGTGATTCACCTATAGAAATGAACAATTGTAGGAATTATATAACAAAGGTCTGGGGACATCCTATTGAGGACATGCATGCACTGTTCTCTTGGTGAAAGGTTTCTGATGCATTTTCTTATGGGTTAGGGGTTGTTATAGCAAAAGTTTTCTCCACACTGCATTTAATGTGATTGGACAATACAGCCTCAAATATGGTTGTGATCAGGGGATCACACTGTATGAAGCCTATGTAGTTTCATATGGAACTTGCCTGTTACATCCCTCTTATTAGTTAGATGCCATGCATTATTGCATTAATCTATCAAAATTTTAATATCATTTTTTATCATCTAATTAGGTTTTTGAATGGGCTTATATGTTGTTGTTTATTTATTAAATTTGAATGTGGCCATTTGTTAAGTAACAATTATTTAAATCTGTTTGTATATGTGTAATTTTGTGCATATTTTACTCAACAAAAATTACTGTTTCAAGTTTTTTTATGTGAACCGAATAATGTGGTGGAAAGAAAATTCAGTCATGTGAAGAATCAAGGAACCATGATATCATATCAAAAGAAGAAACGAGCAGTATTGATTTGTAAAGGAAAAATCTTTAACGTCAAAGCACAGTCAGAAACTCAATAGTAAATATGTGTGCTAATCAAATAAACTTTTTTGATTGAATAAATGACATGTATATGCTCCTAGTTCACAATGCAGTTGTCAAGTAGGCTTCCTCCATCCCCCTTTTCTCCTCTCTTCTGCATCTATTACATGGTGAATTCTCTTGGATGCAGATTTTCTTGATTCTATATTCTGATAAAAAGTGAATGGTTTAGAACCTGTAGATAGCTTTTCTGAGACTGGGTACTTGTGCTGTTTTCAATTCGTAGCAAACTTTTCGTTTTCTGAACGGAATGTTTTCAAGCAGGAAATTTTGCTTTATCTTGAAAGTAGATGATTCTAGGAGAATATCTAATGCAGGTAGAATGCTCTAAATTGCTTTGATTTTCATGGTGGATAATTGTAACTTGCTTGGTGTGCAAATGCAAGAACTAACCTATATTCTAGCTTGTGGGTCTTTTTAGGATTATGAGTTTGTATGTTCTGCGCCCAATTTGATGTGTGTTACCAGAAAGAATGTTTTCTTTTTTTTATTGATAGGGTTGCATTCATATGCACCCACAGAAGTAGTGGAAGATGATAAATAGTACTTAGGTGACAAGGATTTGACTGGACATGCTAGTCTGCCAGTATACATGCTCTTCCCCTAAATTACATGTGGAGACACTTCTTTTTCCTTTTTTTACTTACTAAATAGGGTTCCTACTTCAAAACTGCTACTTGTTGGCATTATTGTTGTAAGTTATCGAAAAGGTGATTTGTGAAGTTGTTAGCTAGGGCCCAGGCTGCATATACTGATGTAGTTTGCGTGATTGTCTTGCACCAGCATATGCAATTTTGTTACTGGTCATTTGGGTGCTTATGCAGTCTCTGGGCAGAGTGTGCAATCAGATATACAAAATGCACATCCACTTGTTTTGCACAAGTCAAATAACTTCATGGATTTCTTAGACCTTTACAAATTTCTTTCATTAGAAAATCTTCTAATATGACCACAATTATGCACTTGTTCCTAATTGCATATGTTGACTTTGTTACTTTATTACTTTATGATAATCTTTTTAGATTTTTTGATGTGATATCACATTGTAGTATCGAAGTTGATAAATTGGTGGAAAGAGTGTCAATGAATTTAGACATTCAAAGAATTAATTCACCATGCTGTGGTACCAAAAAAAGGAAAACAAAGTTTTGTTTCATAAACCAAAGATTTATGAAGATCAAAGTTGTATGAATTCATGGAAACTCAATAGTGGAGAAATTGGTCTATTTAAAGCATTACGCATGTTCTAGAAAATGGAAGATATATATATAAGTATATCCATTTTTATTTGCATAAGGCAATTGATTGGTAGTCTCTCTTTCTCTCTCTATAGATCCCATCCCCTTGCCCCAATCCCAATTTTTTTTCCTTCTTCTAATTAGTCATTCTCATGGAATCTCCTTTAACCTCTTCCCTTTCAGTTCCTAATGTCAAATATTCTCAGTTTCCTTTACAACAAGGCAGCAACTTGTTATTATTTTGATTAGACTCTGTTATTTGATCTGCTCTTGTTAGAAATTGAGGTATTCATTATGTTTCATGAATCATCAGTGATATCCTCTTTTCTCTTTGGAAGCAACTTGGCTTTGTTATTTGTTGTTCTGGAGGATCCTATAATCCCTATGTTTTTCTTTAGTTGAAACGAACTGGACTTATGTAGAGCCAGACTCATGACCTATCAAAGACTTCAAAAGAATTGCTTTCTTTGTAAGCATCAACTCTCAAATGCTATTAATGGCTTTAATATCCAACGTTGGGGGGGAAAAATAATGAACGGTAGCTAAAAAAATGGTCCTTTACCTTTAGATATTACTTGAATGTTTTTGCTGTCATTCATAAAACCAATCTTTTTGCTGTTTCTTGAGATATTAGCTGCTATTTCAAACTTCACTCTAATATATGCGCTATCATGTCTCAGTAGATATGCAACAGTATTTACTAACCTTGTATATTAATCTAGATTCTCTTTTTCTTCTTTTTCCATCTCTTACAGTATTGCTTATTTCTCCTAACTGCAGTTCTCCTTTTTTTTCCCCATACTACCACTCTAGCATTGTCTGCAAAGTTTTCATTGCTTATAGCCAACAATGACTACCTTTACAAAATTGGTTGGCAGCTCGTCGGCTGTTTCTTTCTGCATTTCTCACATATAACGATGATGAGTATGGATTACAGGTAGCTGAACGGGCTTTATTTCTCTGGAACAATGATCACATAGTGAGCTTAATAGCCCAAAATCGAAGTGTAATATTTCCCATCATATTTGAAGCACTAGAGAAGAACATGCAGGGTCACTGGAATCAAGCAGTCCATGGCCTAACAGCAAACGTCCGCAAGATGTTCCTCGACATGGACAGTGAGCTGTTCGAGGCTTGCCAGCTACAGTACATAGAGAAAGAAGAAAATGCCAAATCCTTGGAAGAAAAAAGGGAGTCCGCATGGAGAAGACTGGAAGCAATTGTGGAAGCCAAGGCTGCAGGAGAAGACATGGTTGTGGCCAACTAGCCAAACTCCTGGTTTCTTCTAATATCTTCTGTCGGTACAGTAAAATGTATCATCTGTGGATATGCCTCAGATCGCGAATGTTGTTCAAGAAATTTCTTCCTTGTTTTCCCCTTCTTTTTGGGCATTTCAAAGAGAGATGCGGTATCTTATTTTATGCACCATCTTTTTCTTTTATTGGTTTCTTGTGGTGGCCACAATGCTAAACAACATTGGAACCTTATATTTATATTTATATATATATAATATATTCATTTCCATGTATTATTACTCATTACTTGCCAGTTACCTCCAGCTGATCTATATTGATCATAGTTCTTCTGGGATTGAAGGAAGAGTGGAATTCCCATCGATTATGACAGTTGATTAGCCCATCAACAATTAGCTTTCCCATATAGAGCCTTTCGAATAGATTGACATCAAGTGTTTCTCATCGATGACTTACCAATAGTAAAAGAAAGTTGTTGATGTGGCCACTTTTATAACATTCAATAAAACACTATGCGTACAAAGCTTGCACCTGCATCTTAGTAAACAATATACAAGGTTGTTGAACTCGCAATCCGAGCCGTAGGATCGAGCGATCTCACGGTCCAGATCAGGCCTGGTGAGTCGGACCGGTCGCCGAAACGTTAAAAAATGGTAAAATCGGTTGACTCGGAAGAGTCGACTCGAGTTTACCGAGTCAACTCAGTTGGATTTATATAAAAGGAGACAAACAAAAAACCTCGAATCGGCGTTGCGAGAGAAGACGGAGCCCTAGACCACCGCTGCCGCTCGCGACGAGCCAACATGGCCCATCGTCGCTTGCTCTCCACCCGCAGGTACTGTTCCGGCTCTCCTCGCCTCCCGTCTCTTCCCATCTCCTCTCCTCTCTTATTCTCCCATCTTCTCCTCTCTTCCCCCTCTTCCCGTCGCATTGCCTTTCTTCTCCTCCTCTCGTCTCCCATCTATTCTCCTCTCTTGCCCTCTCCTACCCTCTCTTCCCGTTTCATCTCCTCTCCTGGCCTCTCTTCCCGTCTCCTCTTCTTCTTCTTCTCTCCTCTTCTCCCATCTTTTCTCCTCCTGTCTATTCTTCTATGCTCCCCTTTCCTTTCCTCTCCTCCCTTGTCTTCTCCTCCCATCTCTCCTCTTTTCCCTTTTTGCTGGATAAACATCAAGTATAGCTGCTTGCTAGAACAGAATTTAGTAATTTAATCAAAATGCTACTTTAATTAAAAACGAAACTGAATAACCCTTTGTTGCATCCAAAGCAAAGCACTAGACTCAAATATATTGGGATCCTTTGAGCCAATTGACTTGTTTAATATAGCTAGTTGCCGAGTATACAATATATTTGAATGCACAATGTTACATCTATCTTTTACTGCACTATAATTCTTTCCCCTAATTAGCTAACTGATCTTCTAGTTTTTTTTGCATGCCTTCAATATTTTAGGAAGGTTTTTTTCTTAAATAGATCCCAAAGTATTTTTATATGAGCCCTAAAATGTGTTCAATACTCAAGCTGCTTGGAAGAAAAAGACTTTCCCAGATGCTACTTTGGTCTTTCTTGTTTCTTTCTATTTACATCACTGTTTTTTCGTGTTATTGTATTTACATGGTTGGTTAGTTTATAGTGAATTTCTTTTGCAGCAATAGTTCTTTGATTAAGGAAAACAAAAGTTTCAAGCGCAAACTTGAAAAGAAGCAAAAGTTTTATGCAAGTAAGTCATCTTTTCATGTGGTGTCTGTAGCTGTTTAGTCAGCAGTGCTTTCATTTTTTTCTTTTTTTACTTTTAGGAATTAGGCATTTAGTTAATTGTAAAACAATTTTAGTCATGCATGACATGTCTACTTGCAACACTAAGCTTTTAAATGTTAAGATGTATGGAATATGCCTTTCTGTTGATTTCATATACTCCTGAACATAGAATTAAAATTGTTAAATCTCAGTGGTATTGGTCGATACAGTCTGGTATTTACTGGTCTGATAGCTGATCAGTATGTGGAGTAAGAAATTCTCCCAGATGTACAAAACCAAGCCCTAGTATCCACAAGCTCACCATATAGGGCTTACTAGATGGTAAGCAAATTGGTATCTTCTTGCACAAAGCAGTCCTATTGCTTGGTATCGATATCGGTTTTTTTTTTTTTTTTCGTTCTTTAAATCTGAGAGGTGACAACTGTCTTACATTACTGGCATTGCTACTTTATATGTGATAGTTGTCTCACATGTTTTACATTTTTCTCCAATTACATTCTGCTGGATCGAGATTTTAATCCATGCTTCTTAGTTTGTTCCAAAAATCATGCTATGTTTTTATTCACATAACCTGTATCACATTCTTTGAAATGTAGCTACATTAAGTTGTTACGTCAAAGTGTTTTAAAAGTAAAACAGAGTTTTGTTCTCAATTTTATAGTGTTCTGATCTAATTCTATTTATCATTCTATTTCTCCTTGTAAATGGCTTTTTTTATTTTGAAGTTTCACTGGATGTTTGGACTTTCCTTTTTCTCAAATCAGAAAATACTCTCTTTGATTTCTTTTGCCACAATTTGCTTATTACTCACCTAGTTGCCTTTTGAACCCACCTTCGGCCTTGAAGTTGTGCAGGTGGAACATTCCAAAGTTAGTAGCCTCTTATTATTGTTGCAATCATCAGTTCTATGTATCATCAATCAACTTAGATGCTGTTACCTACCCTCACTCACAATGACTGGTAGCGGACATTATAGCTTGGTACCTGTTGGTATTATTTTTTAAATTATTTTCCAGTGATATCATCTGGTACAGGTCAGTGTACCGCCTGTTTGACAAGGTGATGAAATCGATATTGGACCATGATTTTATATCATGTCCAGATGATTATGGTTAGGAAGTTCCATAGATTTATTATGCTTCCATTACTGAGACATCACAGTTTTGTTGTATGCGATATTGCAATTTTTATTTGGTTTCCAAGTTAAGTGAATTTGAACTTGGAAATCCTCATTTAGCTTGTTTATGATTTCTTACAGAAGTTAAAGATGCTGCTGTGTCTTTGAGTGCGAAAAAAGCGATCAGCAAGGTGATGATACTTCCTTTTATCTTGAATTTTGGTGTCTCCCAAGATTTTCTCATCACACTGATTAATAAATTGGAGCTGAATTTTGTTTTCTTTTTAACCCTATCACCACTTATTAAAACTAATATTTATATCATTTGGATTTATTTGCTAGAGAGACTTTGGCTTTTGAAGTTGTAATGTCATTTTGAGTTTTGTTTCACCATTTAAACAGCTGACTAATTATTTTCCTTAATTCTTCTTTAGCAAATTTTCTTCATTCACAAAGTTACAATGATTGTTTTGGAGTTCTTAGCTAGTAAGATGCTATGGCTTCTTATGTCAGATATGCAATCTAAATCCTTCTTAAAAAAAAGGTCTTTCTTGTGTTTGAACAAAGCCAATTCGGGTTCTGTGGTGAGTACAAACAGGTTACTGAACCTTGGATTCTTTCTGTAGATTTTATGTTCTTATAATTACATGATTGTTTGTGATTTTGGAGATCCACATTGATTATAATATATTGCTTGGATGTCTGTGGAATGACAATGCTTTAAGCTAAAGAAACTTGTCGTTGAGATTACCTATGTACTCATACAAAGTTGGGATTTTCGTGATCATTCTGCTAGCTTCAGTTGAAAGTCATGTCTCCACTATTATGCACCAGATTTTTTACCTTTCCTGCTATTCTATTTTCTGAACCTTTGAGTAGGCAGGGTTTCATTTTTTATTATTCGTCGAACACAGAAGTTTGAGTTCATCTCTTGCTTCATAAAATGATTTGATGAAAAACACTCTATTCTTAGTTCTAAAACTATCAAAATATATATTCAGATATAGAATCCTTGTTTATACAGAAAAAGAGACTCAGAAGCCGACAAAAGAAGATGAAGGTGTATGATTTATCCGCCCTTTCTGAACTTCTTCCAGATACGAATACTACCGAGCAGTCTTCTAGCACAAACAACTTGAAGCTGAACTGCAAGACTAGGCAGAAGCTGGTGTAATTAATTGCAGTTTTGTGCTCTTCTCCTTTTTCTTTCAACTTTCACTTGTTGATGTGGTGCATTTTATAGGCAAAGGGAAGGTGCACAGTTGAGGCAAGTTTTGAACGATCCTTCATTCCAACTTGATCCACTGGCCGCCATTCATCAACACCTACAGAGAACGCAGCCTCCAGCTTGTGACAAAGAAATAATTTCTGGGAAAGCCAAAAGGAACAAGAAAAGAATGAAAAAGCCATCATCAAGCTCTCAATCGATGGATATATGATGCCCACAGATTTTGGTCCTTGTTAGTGACTTTTAAGTGGTGCTCAATCGATACAATCCCATGCTGAGGATTTCTATCCATTATCTTGCTTTATTTTTCTTGCGGAATCTGTAAATAACAGAAGATTAGCCATTTTAAATGGAGTTGGAGGAGTTGGATGATCTAAAAATACATCCGGAACAATTGAAATGAATTTGAAGTGATTTTGATGACCTATGGTTTGGTAGGAATTGAATTGTGTTTTTTCTGAACATGGTTATATTAATTTTTTGTGCTGCACAAATAAAATGTAATTGCATTAAAATGTAACATATTTGAGTTCTTATAAAATCATGTCTTCTTATAAAAATGTAACATAAAAGTAAAATAGGTCATTTTTGTTCGTGCAAATGAGCAACGAGCGAAGCATGGTGCAGCATTTATTCCGGGGAGATCAATCCAATCCTATACCATTCGGGTTTTTAGGTTATGAGATGTTAATGTTTTGCACCACTTACTGTGATTGCCACAGGACGCCAAAACAGACCAGAAACTATCCAAGGCCATTTTTGGCCAAGCGAGAAAGAGTGGTGGATCGATTGACATTTTATATTATTATTAGGATTAATTATAAATTAATCTTTTTAGTTAGTTATTTTTAGTATTTCGATTTCTACACTTTAAAAAGTTACATTTGTATTCTTATAGTTACGAAAATAAAATCTCTATATCTATTTATTCTAATGCTATCGGTTTTTAACAACAAAAATATAAAAATAAATAGTAGAAGGATAAATTTAACATTCTAGTTGGTGGTGACGAACGACATCGACGGTGCCATTGGGGACCACAAGTGACTATTATGGATAAAGAGAGTGCGACGAGAGGTGAGAGTCGCTTTTCATCTGCGTTGACGCTGACGTAGCTACCAAGCATCCCTTTTGTCACTTTACATCTATGTCGGTGTCGATATAATTACTAAGCAACTCTTTCGTCGCATTGCACCTGCATCGATGTTAACGCAATTGTCAAATGACGAAAGAGCCGCTAGTGTGAATGACGAGCGGTGTCGCTTTGCATCTGTGTCAGTGGCCCTTTCATCGCTCGACAACTATGTCAACGTCGACGTAGATGCAGAGCGACGAAAGTGTCGCTTAGCAACTACGTCAACGTCGACAGAGATGCAAAGCGACTCTCATCTCTCGTCGTCGTTGTTTGTCACCACCAACTGAAACATTAAAATTATCTTTTTATCTTTTATTTTCATATTTTCATTAGTAAAATTAATGACATTAGGATAAATAATCTTATATTTTTTACTCTAGTAACTATATGGATGACAATATAACTTTTTAAGATATAAAGATCGAAATACTAATGATAACTAATTATCGAGGGTAATCTATAATTAGCCCACATTACCACCGTTACTGCACACACAAAAATGACCCAAAAACTATCCAAAGCAAGACATTTTTTACTTTACACTTAAGAGTAACAAACAACGGACGAGTAAGCATGAAGCAACTGCATCGCTTATTGCGATCATTGTTGCACACAAAAAGGGCCTAAAAACTAATATATTGTAACAGGAATTTAATCGGATCATACTTCATCAAAATGGTTTAATTTTCTTTTAAAATTAATATATGACTATTTTTTATTTTTTTATTTTTTATTTTTTATTTTTTAAAGAAATTATATGGGTAGTTATATCGATTATTTGGTTATATTAAATGGAACTTTTTAATCTTTCATTGAATGGGCAGTTGCCATTGAGACAGTTGATGATCTCGAGAACATCAGAGCGAATCCAAAGGAGTCGAAGTTACGTATTCAACACTAGCAAATGTATAACCACCACATCATTCTTCGACCAGTGTTATTATCACGATCAAAGACTCCTCTCGGCTCCCTGTAGGTATAAATAGGCATGCAGTCTTTATCTTGCATTCCTCTTTGCAACTACTATATCACTATTTACCTTTGCAGCATTGCAATTACTATGTCACGACCGTCTCCTTTCTCCACCAATGACAACCACGCATGACTTGCCACGACAAGCAAAAAGAATCTCATCTCTGATAGGAACATAGAAATGGAAAAAAGAAAAGGTTTCTCAAATAGTCAAGCAATTTAGAACAAAATTGGTCCTCGCATTACAGGCAGGTCTCGCAGATAGTTGGAATGACCAAATATGCCTTCTGACAGAATGCAATTCAACAACAATTCAAAAATCTTGTACACCATGTACTAATACCAGAGACTATATATGATCAAATAACTTATATCGCATTGGGTTAATGAAAAATCTGTTAGTATTACATCGCAAGGTTCCACAAGTACATGTGATTGAACATGATTATGCCCAAAATTAATCCAAAAAATGGCGCTCAATTTCCCTCCAAAGAACAATGCTTTGTGTTATACAAACTGCCGGTACAAGGATATCAAAGAAGAATAGCCAGGTGGGACAACTATAACAAAAAAATTTCTGATGAACGCCCTGTCGGTATGAGTCTCCTTAAGGTCAACTTTGATGACCCTTCCGTTTGGCAGGTCAGCTGATACCTGCCCACAGCTTGTTTCCTGTCTAATGGAAAAGATAAACATAATATTGTAGGAACGCTTGATCATATAGCTTCCATACACACATCAAGCAAGGGAGCTCTCGACATATTCCAGTGCCTTTCGCTTAACATGTTCGACTGTGTCTTCATCACCATGCACTTTTTCATAGTCAAGATACTTCTTGAACAGGAACTGTCAATAGGGTCAAAACATGTGTGAACATCACAATTACTTCAATAAGGAAAGTCCAACTGTGGTATAAAAAATCATCAAACTAGCATTCTTGATGCATGTGGCTAGATTTAAAAAATGGAATATACTAAGAAATATTTTTAACTTCTTTGATGCTTGCAAACTATAGAAATACAACTCATACAAAAACAGTCCAGCACTTGTTTTTTCAAATACAACAATGCAGGTTTCCCTTACAAAAGTAAAAAGATGGCTTTTACTCTGATAAACATAATACACGTATATACTGAAAGTTCAAAAGACCAAGCTGATAACTTCTGTCAACTCACATGACTTTAATTCTGATAAATCATGATTAGATCCACAATTAACATTTCCTAGGTATCAAAACACCCTCATCGCACATTGACTAGGCATCAGAACTTCCTTATCCTACACTTACCAGGTATCAGAACACTCTCATCCTTGCCCTTATGAGGATGGGGAGCAAAAAATTATTTGGCAAAGCAACAGTTAGATGGAAACTGAGACTCGGAAATTTTGCAATCTCATACTGGGATACTGAACAGATCCCTCGCCAGATCGATATGGTACAAACTGGTACTGGTGAAACACGACAAACTGGTACATGTACTGAAGACTCTAAGAGGAAGAAGAAGGACGATGTGGCAGTAGAGGAAGAGGAGCATACCCAGAAAACTGTGACGGAACGGTAGGCAGCAGCTGACCACAAGTATTAGGCTCGTCTCATGATTAAGCCTAGACTGCAAAGTGGCATGCAATTTTTTTTATATGGTCACACTGTCCCACCAAAAAGGGTCAGGTTCATGTACCGGTTCATACCGACAGTGATTTAAAAAGCGCTAGGTGCCAAAATGCGCCAAGGTCAAAAAACGCTTGAGGCGTTAAAATATAAAAATATATAATATAATTAATAAATATAATTATTTAAAATTTTAAATAAAAATATACTATTAAATTAATATAATAAATATAAATACTATTAATAGTATACAGTTAACAGTATAATGTATACTGTTAACTATATACTATCGAAAGAGAAGAGTGTAAGGGAAGAGTCGGAAGACAGAGGGTGTTGACTGAGAAGAGCGGGAGCGATAGCTACGAGCGACGACAGTGGCAGCGGGAGCGACAGCAATGACAGCGGCAAGCAGCAACAGTGGCACCGGCAGCAGCGAGCAACAGGAGCAGGAGTGGAAGCCGCAAGCGGAGACAGTGGCAATAGTAGCAGCAACGGCGGCAGCGAGAGCGGCGAGCGACGACAGCAACAGCGACAGCGAGCAACAACGACAGTAGCGTGAACGACGAGCAGGGTTAGGGTTTGAGAAGTCACGCTGATATCGGTGCTTTATTTGGTTCGATTGAACCAACAAAAAGCACAGGAGACCGAACCAGACCTCAAACGCTGGTTTGGTCGTCAGGTTTAACCCAGGCGCTTGCTCGAAGCACCCGGCGCCTGGGCTCGGGCGAGCGCCCAAGCGGCGCCTCTTTGAAGCGCGCCGCCTGGAAATGAAGTGAGACGCTAGGGCCTCGCCTTGCCTCGCCCGAGCGCCTTTTTAAATCACTGCGTATCGGGACCGATAAATATCGATTCGTACATGCTGGTCAGGGCAAAATTATGCTTGAGAGAATTTAAAAGAGTTTGTAGGTGTCTATAACATATTTGCAATTTTGGAGGCATATATGAAGTTAGGACCATTAGCAAGACTACACATGACATTATGCTTATTTATAGCTCTTTTAGTTATATTCCCTACTTTCTCTCCCTATATATGGATTGGCAGATCAGAGTAGAATAATACAACATGGCATTTAGAGAGGGTGAAGAAACATAGGGTTAAAAATTATTTGGCAAGGATAACAGTTAGATTGAAACTGAGACACAAGGATCCTTGAGAGAACTTAAGAAAGGTCATAGGTGTATTTATCATATTTGCAATTTGGAGGCATATATGAAATTAGGACCGCTGACAGGATTGCTCTTTTAGTTCATGATAGCTCTTTTAGTTCAAGATAGCTCTTTTAGTTATCCTCCCTACTCTCTCCCTAGATATGGATTGGCACATGAGAGTAGAATAATACAAACTAAAAAAATTAGAAAATAGAACAAAAGATATTTCTTGCTTAATAGGATCACAACCATCTAGTATCAATCAAGAGAAATACATAAGCCAAGGTACGGTAAATGTTGATGTAATCCTTTTTCTTTGTGGTATAACAAGAATGATGTTTTTTTTTGTGAAAAAAGTAGAATGATGTAAAATAATGAAAAGCTGGAATACCATTGAAAGATTGCAAAGGATCTCAGAAGTTCAAGATTTAAAGTGTAAATGGCAATGTAAAAAGAATAGCATTAAGCAAACCCTGAAAATGATTAGAAGAGTTCAGCACCTTCATTTTTTTGGGTGGAAGACTTAAGCATGTTGCCCTCTCAAATAAAGCTCGAATTACTTCTGCATCACCCAAACGAATCTCCTGCAAAAAAAAAGATAGTCCATCAATAACTTTATCTCAGAGAAGTAAAAAGGAAAACAAGTAGAAGTTTTGTTATGCTTGATAACCTGATCAAGGTAAATGCTCCAAAGATCAGTTCTCTTGGGATACTCCCGTAATATAGATTCTAACATTGATCTGCCTCTATCTGGTACACCAGATTTGAATTCTAGTAAAGCAGTCTGTGAAATGAATTTAATATGCTTTTTACGTGGTAGACTTATGACAGCACGATTTACTATCGATTGAATCCCATCCTCGTCCTTCTTCAGAAAACTTTGAATGCAATGCATCCAGACCTACATATCCAAATGCTTTAGAGCCTTCAGCATACCCAGGCTGACAAAAGATAACCATTCTATCACTAACCTTGCACGAATGTTTGAACTTTTTTGTCATCCTCTCAAGGAGCTCTTCCGCCAGGTTTTGTTGCTCAGACCTCTCATACACTCCTAAAAGAGCTAGATGCAGCTTTTTTGGATCAGAATATTGCAATGCCCTCTGAAAGATTTTCTTGACAGCCTCCTGGAGATGCCACAGATTAGAAATATGAGAAGTTAAAGAAATATTGACAGAAAAAATTAAAGCCAAAAAAAGAACATTATGTTACCTCTGGTGGACTTCCATGTTCATTTTCTAAGTTGAAGTAGGCCACCCAAATATTCAGTTTCTCACCCTCCTCGTTGATGTTTATTGTTCTAAGAGCCCTTTTAAGAACAAAGATTAAAGTTACTCGTCAAGTAGTTGGAAGTGTATTGCATATAGGTCTAAGTCTAACATCAGCAGGCAATAATAATCAAATCCAAATGTTAATTCCTTTTTTATGCAAGACATTTGAACAAACAAGTAAATACCAAACTAATTCTGACATTTAGAATGCTTGGTGATACAAAGATGCAATATTCTGTTATTTTGCTTTTTCAGGAGTAACCATAGAATTTGGCAGAAGCAGAATCACATCATGCTAGTTACAACAAATCTACAAAAGATTAAAAATAAAGATTTATCCCATAACCATTCCCTAACAACTCCTTGTCAACACTTATTCCATGAACACAATCAGAGATTTATCCCATACCTCTCAGCAATGTTTCGTGCTTTCTCAACCTCTGCTAGAGAGAGCATGTAAGCCATGTACTTTATCCAGACAAAACTACTATTGGGAGAGCTCCTAACCAACTTCTCAAACTCATCTTCTGTCCTTGGCATGTCATTCTGCAAACGCCTTTCCTCAGCGGCGATAATTTCGAGCTCCCTGCAATATAAGTAGAATTTAAAGACCAGAAACTAATCCTCAGCCTTGCCAACCTAAAGATAATTAATACATGAACCACACACTTTTCATCCTTGGCCTTTTTCTTTATGCATCTGTCCCTTTTCGCAGCCTGCTTGTTCTCATTGGCACCGTCCTGACCTGCAATTACAGGATTATCCAAATCGGAGCCATCTGAGTCTTCCAGAGAAACCTGAAGAGGAAGAACAGAAGCACTTCTTCCTGATGGTGTAAGAATCTCAGAGCCTGCATTATCATGCCCCAACATCTTTTGATGTTTAATTAAGTCATCATTATGCAGCAAATTAAGCAATTCATTGTCCATATTGTCCATAGAAGCACTATCACTTTCATCGTGATCATGACTGCCATTTATAGCATGGCTCTGGTCAACACCGCTGGCATTCTCAATATAAGATTTCTTCATTCCAAGGGATATTCTTTGTCTTTCTTCATCGATCTGAGTACAGAATAATAAAAAATAAGCTGGCAAAGAAGTATAATTGGGAGAATTGTCTACAATAGTTCTGATTTGAAGGTCAGATTCACTAAAGGGGATCATCCTTGAAAGAAAAAAAATAATACTTAGCATATTAACAAAGTTACAAGTTCGGATAAAAAAATCCAATAATAATTAATCATAAAATTCATACTCTTGGAAATTGGAATTAATAACTTATGGTACAAGCTTTTGCCGAGTGTTCTACGAAAGGAACTTACCTTCAGAATCTTTGACACAACTTTTTCACCAGTTGCATAACTAGCTTCAATGTTATCAATGTGCTCATCTGACAGTTCTGATATGTGACATAAACCAACCTAACAATGAAATAAACAAATAAATAAAGCTAAATTAATACCTTCTATCAAGATGACTAGTGATAGGAGATAAACAAAAAGAATCTTACCACGTTAGCCTTGTCAAGTGTTATAAACAATCCATAAGACTCGATCCGTCTAATATGCCCAGTAACTATATCACCAACATGTAAATTCACAATAGTGTCTGCAATGGATTTGATTGTTTCAGCCTTGTTCCCAGTTTTCAATGTCGCTTCGACTCTATTGGACAAGGGTTCCACAGACAGCACCCTGCACAAACTTCCGTTAGACAGAACACAGAAATTGCATGTCCAAATGATACTGTTGTTCAACAACTTACTTCGCATGTACAAGCTTTCCAACAGGAAACTCTTTTTCAGGACTATCAATGTACGCATATGACAAGTTGGACACAAGTATTCGTGCATCCATCATTCTTGAAAGAGAAATGAAACAGCCTTTTGATGTGATATTCTTAACATAGCCCTGCAAATTAAAGTGAAATAAAAAAACTCATTTCCATCCACTTTACATAAGCATCTGTCAAATAGAGCTAGTAGAAAACTATTTCCAATTGCTGGTACAAGTAAAGCTCAGAAGAAAAATGAAAGTTATAAGAAGAATCATATGAAGTCAGCTTAAACAATAGATGAAGACGGCTTTAGGCATTAACTGAAAGCATCATGAAGCAAAATCACTGAAGTCACATTTATTCTAAACTACGGTTTGAATAGTATCGAAGGCTATAAAGAAAATGGATAACACACTGAACAAAGTTGAGCTTTATAAATTTTTCATGAGAACTGTCATGATGGTATATTTTTGGCCTATTCAGAACAATTACTGTCACCATCTTATGGTGAAGTAGCCTACCAACCACCAGAGATCATATTACAATTTTGAAAGTCATCTATCCCTTTTGTAACTGTCACTTCATAATTCAATCATGCTCTAATATAAATAATGTCCTTAATACATTGCAGCTTTACACCAACAATGAAGGTCACTGTTGTTAGCAATATAAAGAACAAATCTAGTACATGTTTTCCAGGAACAACATTCAGCCTAAATGCTACAAACTAAGGGTACCTGATCTAGCATAACCTAAAGAGCCATAGGACAAAACACCAGAGATTCTAGACTTAGGTTATAACAAGAGCAGCATGCAAATGAAAAATAATGAAAATAAAGAGAACAAAGTTCTACTCTGCGAAAAACTTCCTTTTATTGTAGAAAGGATGACTTATCCACTCAAAAGAACAAAAATATAAAAGACAGGGTTCAACACCTGAACCATGGAACCACTAGTAACACAGATGAAAGAAAGGCAATTTAGATGTAACCTAGTCCCAGTCAACACCTGAAATCGTTGTAACTGACATCCAACCAAGTGTTAGCTACCATCAACAACAAGATCTTAGAACTCAGTATCTCAGCACAGAAAGAGAGTGCTCCGTGCAAAGAATAGAAACTTAAAAAGGAATATAAAGATGGGAAATGATGTTGGAGTCGAGTAAGGGCCTCTAAAATGTAAACTACTGTTAAGAGGTTGTGAAGCTGTTTCATGTAGGATATATAAGATGACTGAGATGAAGGGTGTGTGGCTAAAAAGTAGGAATGCAAAAGATAACCTTGAGCTTATTCTCATCAACCTCATACTGGAGAAACATTTATATGACTCAAAATATGTGGGAGAAGAGAATGTAAACTTCCATTAGCATTGGAAAACACTGTTAGGCTCGGTACATAAGTAAGATGGTACTATTGCAACATCTTATATGCAAAATGTGGAATTCAAGCACAAAGCCAATCTCTCAATCTCATTGCAGATCATGTAGTCTTAGGATGCACATGCATACCAACAGATGACTCTAAAAAACCATGATTTTGATTATTATGTTATAAGCAACCTTGAAGAACATATTTGCCCCATACATTAAAATTAAGCAGGATTGTCAAATTATGGCATGTATTGGGCCAGCAACATGCCAAAGTTGCTTGTCTGACCTGAATCTGTCATTTTAAAACTACCTTTTGGGTTAATGGTGGGTCTGGGTCAGAAACAATGTAGTTTCATGGGTTTGATTGAATTTAGGTTGAGCAAACCTAATAGGTTATCTTAGAATGGATCTGAGTTAACAGCTCCATGTCCATTCATGAGTTGTGTCAAATTCAGGTCAAAAAAATATGTTCCCTTCAAGTAATGCTTGATTTGACCTGCACCCTTTCCCCCATAAAAAAACAAAACAACAATTATCTCAACCCGTCAAATCAACATGTCCCAAGCCCGATGGCTATACAATTCAGACCCAAGTAGAGAAATATTTGCATGCTGGTGGACCATTCAGGTCAGATCAATTTGGTATTACTACCTCATCAAAATTGGACCCAACACAACCTATGAACAGACACCTTTGACACTGGAGTTCTACATGTCAAATAGATAATATAGGCATGGATATGTACTAGCAAAATCTTGATGATAATATAGCCATGGATATTCTGAGATCCAACCTGCTCACCCGTAGAGTACAACCCTCTACATAAATAAACAATAAATGCCCAATTCTTTTTAAGTGGAAAAAATAATGCATGTAATCCACCTCAACCACTAACGTGCTGCTAGGTAAGGATCCAAATTTTTATTTATTAAATGTGGCAAGGTTCTCAATTTCGATCCGTACCGATGTACCAAGCCTTGCTCGGTACAGTATGTACTGAGGCATATTGGCGGTATGTCCAAAAAGAACTGAAAAACCTCCAAAAATATCTGAAGGTAACGGTCCAAAAATACCGGGGCGTACCGACAGGTACACCTCTGTAAAATCTATCGGTACGCCTCTATAACGGTCAAAATCCAAGGCATACCGACTAGTACGCCTCAGTAACAAGCGGATTTCGACCGTTATCGCCCGGTACAAACCCCATATCGCCCGATACATGGTCAAAACACTGGTACAGCCCAATAGAGGATGGTCCGCATACTGGAATCCTCTCGGAACGGTACATACCGCTAGTACCGGGCGATATCCATTGAAATTGAGAATCCTAAAATGTGGATCATTGATCATTGGTCATTAGATATAACTTGGACTGGCTGACTCATAACTTTGAATGAAAGCTTAACAGTTTACCATAGCCAACACAAATTGGAAGCCAAAGACTTGCCCCCATAAAAAATGTGTCTACTAAAAATAACCATATTCACCAACACATGACCCAAGAAAGAAAAATAAACAGAAAAAGACAATAAGAGACATTTTCCTCTTTTTACCGCATTCCTCAATTGTGCCAACCATCAAGTTACATTCTCAATTACAATCTCATCAGATGGCCAATTAAAGATTTCCATACTCTGAAATCCATATTTTTTGTAATGGAAATTTCTTCCCATTTTTTTAAAAAATCAATATTTCTTTCAATGAAGATATTATACTGGGAATTACTTTGGGGTAATATAATGTGCAAGGATATAAACTACAAAAGACAAGAAAAAACAATATGCTTCCAGGTGAAAATCTTGGTCCAGATTTCCACTAAGAACCAACCAATTTGCATCATCTAAACTTCATAAAGATATATTGAAAAAGTTGGCACATAGATTTAAAATCATGATATATCATAAAATAAATACATATATAAATATGCAAACACAATTTTCAGGGTAAAGATATGCCAATGAATATTACTAATACAGGAAAACAATTAAAAAGAAAGTAACCGAAAATAGAGACAGGCACCTGAATATTCATGTCAGGATGAAGATCGTCAATCTTTTCAAACCTCTTACTGCAAGAAACCCTGAAATTCATCATAGATTTCTTTAGATGCATTCTGTTCAACAAAAGAATAATTGGAAGATCAAATCATGCAACATAGACAAATTGATCCCTTTCCTAAATAGATATCTTTATCAATGCAGTTACATATATCCTTAAACTAACATCAATTAGGTGGCCTATATTAACTAAGATCAATTTGGTTGTCTATATTAACAAATATCAGATAGGTGAATTATAATACAGCAGACTCTAAAACTTGCTTCTTTTACTAATTCTATATTTAAATAGAACCACGAAATGTTAAATATGGAATAGATGTATTTTCCCATCATCTATAGTGCTCTGACCATCCCTGCACCAGTCTCCATCAGAGGTTGGTAACGCTAGCATGTAGCAGCTGGCTTTTCTTTCTTATCCTGCTATTCCAGCCCCTTTCTGCCACCTTTTTTCTTTTCATAGTGTTTTATTTTTTTGTTGTGTCTTAAAAATATTAGAGATAAATTTATCTGCCTAAAGATCTTTTTTCAAACATTTTTTTTGTTTATCATTGCTTCTGTTCATGCATATTGTGTGTGACAGCATGGTATATTACCGGTACTTCGACAATGGCTTTTACTACAATAAAGATTCTGACGTATAATGCTAAAGTCTTGAACTTACAACTCATTAGTAATGACGGAAACACGAAGGGACAAATCAACATGTAAAATTCCCTCGGATGAACGGCTTATCTCCAGGATCTTGCACTTAACAAACTGGCCTTCTTGATATTTAGATATAGGGTGAGGAACCCACTCATCTACAAGTTCAGTGTAATGAACCCTTCCAAATAGATGAGGCCCAATCTGCACAAGAAGTCCACCAACACTAGGAAGAATCTTTTTAATTCTACCACCCACAATATCACCACTGGAAAATTGTTGGCCATCACTTACAGTAGAAGCTCCAATTTTTTGGCTGGCTTTATCACCAGTCTCATCAACAGATGGGCATGATGCTAATCGCAACAGCTTTTTCTCCTTATTTATACTTAAGATGCGACCCTTGACTGCCTGGCCCACACTATAACATTGCTGAAATTTCTGAAGCTCATGGGGTTCACAAGAACTATCAAGGATATAAAGGTGAGCCACAACAGATGGTGACACACTCAACCACAACCACTCACTGTCCACCTTAACAACATAACCTCTAACATTTTCTCCAACTGAAAAGTTTAACTCCTCAGAGACACATGTGGTTACTGCCTCCTCGCTTCCTGGAAAAATAAAAAACAAAAAACTGGCTCAAAATTTTCTTTTAAACTGTAATGATTAGAAAAAAAGTTAAACAAAGAAAGGAACGAAGAAAGGAACAATATATGAGACATTTTGAAAAATGAGGAGAAAGAAAAAGGCAATGATAAAAGCAAGTACACAATTAAGCAACAGTTGCAAGATTACTAATCAGAATAATATTTTTCCAGAAAAGTATACAGGTTAGGAGAATTCACCATGTGATGGTTCAAAACTCAGGCCAGGAATTGGGGAAAAAACAGATAAAAGAAAAATATGTCAAGGCAACAAAAATAGAGCAGTGAATTAAAAGATACTCAAAAAATTTGTTTTAGTATCCAGGTTGAGAAGGATATGCAATATAAGCAAGTTTGTTCAAAGAACCAAGGTTCATAATTTTGTACACCGGTTGTATACTTGTTAGGCTCTAACAGGTAGTGTACCTGTCAGTACCTTGGTATGTCAATGAGTACTGAGTTTTGGAACAAGCTAAAAAACTGGAAAAGAAACTTCCCAGGACAGGGTAGTATAGGCCCTGTTTCGGACATACCAGGTATCGGATGGTACAGGTCCATGTACCGTTAAATGGACCGGATGGTACAGCGTATCGCTCGATTTACCCTGGTCACCAGGTAAATTGTTGAGCCAATAAACACCACCCATACCAAACCATATCGGTTCAGGCCATATTGCAAACCTTGCCAAGAACAATATGGTCAATTTTTGTCATACTTATATTCTCCACTATGTTCCAGCTTTCTGACCACATATATACTATTAGTAGGTATGACATTGTGAATTGCTTATTTATTACCAAAAAATTATTCAACATATGAAGTATCTATAAAAAGATATACTTTTTGTATTAAACAGATATCCGAATGATCTGCAACTGTATCTCAGAAAATGATCATGAATAGAATCCACTTGCTTTTGTCTCACGACAAAAAAAATAAGGCTTGTCCATTCCCTAACCATAGCCAAATCCATTGAACAAAAATAAACATGTATGGCATTGATATGGGTTGGTTACTGGCACAGATAGGAACATGAATATGCAGACATTCAACACATACAATCAGCTTTAAATGCTTCCAGAACATGAAGAAAAGGATGGAATGTCCTTAAGACCGTAACTGCTGGGCATGCATTACTTGAATCCTTCTCTTAGAGCACTAATCCCACCATTTTGGGGTGAACACATCACCACTCCGAAGGATATACCAACTACTTTAATAGCTACGGCAGACTCTAACGAGAAAATAATCCTTCTATTATTGTTCTAGGACAATTCAAAAAGTTTCAATATAATAAATGACTTGCATCATTGGTTAAACACGCAAATAGAAGATGACAGTAGACTTAATGTGGCTTCAAATATGGAATATCAAGAAAGCACGGAGGTGGAAAATCTTAAGCCACGACTGTGTAACACATGGTCTGTGTCCTCAGTGTTGAACCACCTTCTCAATCCATAAGAAAAAGAAAATAAGTAACTCAACCCTAAAAGTTTGTAGGGGTTGTAGAATGAGAAGAAAAGGCGGAGGAAGAAGAGATGAAAAGCATACTTGAATGCCTCTATCACTAAGCTGCATCTTGCCATGTGAGAACAGCCCATTTGGCCAGCAACAAGTATTAAATAAGAGTGCCAGCAAGAGAGCAAGAGCAAGCTAGTCATATTTTCTTTTAGTTAGGTATGTTGTCAACCACACATCTATCAGGAGTTCTGGTGTTTTTAAAGAGCCAAAAAAGAAAATGTTCGAGGGGTTAAGTTTACTACAACATGATTTTGTATTTCAAATTAGGTAACATATTTGGAATAAGAAATGAACAAATGTTAAGAGTACCAAGAGTAAATTTACAAATGATAAACAATAACTCTTATTTCTCATATATCATATGTTACCACAAAAAAAAAACTCTCATTGCTCGATCAGTGGATCTAAGCCCCTGCTCAAGATTATGTCCCTATAAGGAAACGTAGGGGTGCTTGGGTGAAAAGGGCATGTCACGACCCCGGTCGGCTAACTGGCCTATCAACTTCATTTGGCTTAAACCACTGATCAAAATACTTAAGAAGAAGTTGATAGTAGTACACTCATCAGACCCTTATAAGCCAATCTTAATATTGCCCACATCCGATGCGGGACTAATCGGGAGTGTTACTTGATCTAGCGCTCAAGTGCAAAATAATTTATGATAGATTATATGTATGCTTGACTTCAATTTAATATAGTCAAACATGAATTCAAGCTATACAATCAAGGATGCAAAAGCTCAAATGTCCTGCGTATTCATAACTTGATGCAAGCACAACCAAAATTCTTCACTCATCAAGAAATGAAATGCAATGGCCTATATTATTTCTTGAATTCACCTCGCCTCAACTCAAAATGAGTTGGATGACAAGTTATAAATTTATTGATCACATCCAAGAACTAGAAAGTAAAGAAAGGGAAGAAACAGAAAATATTAATCTGATCAATACTAGATCAAGTATTCAAGCTGGCACACCATAAGCTAATAACATCAAGAAATAAGATGAAAGCATAGATGAGCCACTTGAGTTATTCTTGTGCTCAAATTGAAGAATTTAATTGAACACATACAACATGGTCTAAATGGAGCTGCTAGCAATGATATTGACAGCTGCAATGGTGCCTTTAGCATTCTGACAGAATCATCACTAATCAATTCCTATATATACTTTGACTTTGTAGCCAGCAAAACTTGTCTTATTAAAGACGAGCTGGCAGCTTCAATGCTTCAACAAGATGACGATCATGAGAAGGCACTCTTTGAAAACAGTTTTAAATTTCAGCAATCATGGGTGAACACCTCTGAAGCATAGATTGAGATTTCTAATGGCTATCTGCATCTATAAATAGAGATCAAGTCTAGCCTCCAAGAGCTAAATGACCAACTTCAACCTACCTATCCGATATAAAAAGATAAAAATAACAAAAGAAATCTTAAAAGCAAGGCCTGAGCTTCCACTTGCAGCACCCTTGGAGGCAAAAAGATGCTATTGAGCTAGTTGCTACATCAATTGAGTGATCTCTCCACCTCCTAATAGCTAGTTTCTTTCTAGTGAGTTAATTGTTTTAAGCTGGTTCCCGCTCAACATTCTTACCAGTGAGCTACATTGTAGTTGAGCAAAAACTTTTAGCTGGGCGCACTGTGAAACAATGATTTAAATACATCTCATATTGATTTTAGTGACCTACCATAATGGTACAATGCACCAACATGTACACTAATAACATTTAATAAAATAATAATAATAGCAATAATAAAGTACAGTGTAGGTGGTACATACCGGTCCGAAGGGCGGCACGCAGATCGCCCTATACCAAGCGGTTTATAGTTAGGTACCCTATATAGAGCGGTGCGGGATCTGTACCAGGTGGCACGGTCAAAACTCAACCGTTACCGACCTGTACCGTTTTCGATGGATGACTGAAATTTGATCCATTCCAATTGGAACCAATTAAAAGGGCTTTTAAATCCTTTCCTCCCTCCCTTTCAATACCTTACACTCTCTTTCACTCTTCAACTCTCTCTAACTCAGCCTCAGTCACATCTCTCTCTCTCTCATTCTCACATTCTCGCCCTCTTCAACTCAAGCAAACTGCGATTTGTGGATTGGATCAAATTTGGGAGGCTCATTTAAAAGGTTTAACACTTCAATTGGAGGATCACTCTAACCAAGAGGCAATCCCTTTCTAGATCTTTGCTGATTTACAGCATGATTAGCCTTATTCTATGTGGGTTATAGTGGTAAAAGTGAGCCAATTAGGGAGTAATTAAGGTTTTTAATACTATGATTAGTGGGTTTAATGTTTATTTCATCAAAATTAGATACATATTGGGTAAAATCCAAAGTATGCAATTTCGAATAATACCATCCGGTACGTAACGGTCCGTCAGCTGACCGATACACGGATCGCCAGTTACCGGACGGAACAACATATATATATATATATATATATATATATATATAAAAACAAGACGACGTTGCCCTGCCTGAGAGAAGAGAGAGGCGACATCGCCAAATTATATATATATATATATATATATATATATATATATATATATATATATATATATATATATATATATATATATATATATATACACCGTGTGGTATATCGAATGATATACCGCTCGATATACAATATCGTACCGTACCGAGCAAACATCGAAACTCCAGTACGGTACGATATTGCATACCTTGGTAAAATCTATGTATTTAATGCCTATTAGTTACGACCAACAACAGGTGATAGTTGGTCATTCTTTATTGAGATCAATCGATCTTATAATACGAAGTAATGGGCCAGTGGCTAACGTAGAAGTTCCGGCATTCTCCAACCTCCGCACCAATATATGCCACAATCATACTTGCCTCAAGAGCTGCATCTGTGGTTCATGATGATCAGGCTACAACCATCACAATGATGCACCAATGGCATATGATGTATCAGTATACTATGTCGTGAAAACAATTTCAAGATTGGATCTAACAAACATATCATATTGATATACAAATACATAGGATTGAGGACCCTGATTCACCGCCCATGGAGTCCCACCGTTTATTTTAGTGGTAGAACCAAGTATATCCATCGATCCATCCATTTATTACTTGATTCATTTAAACATTAAAGTTTAACTTATAATCTTACAATTCAATATCAACAAAAAAATGATTCAAAACATGTCATAAAGTTGTTCCACAAAGCTCGAAAAAGATATATGACGCTATCCATTCCTAATTTAGATTATTTTTTATAATTTAAACTAAACTTGCATTTAATTCCAATTAAAAAAACCCCAATCTATGTTTTTCCTATTTTTAGGCATTTTTCAAGTTTTTTCAAGGTTTTTCCATGGTTTGCATTACCAATATGTACCGGTGTACCGACCAGCTACTGGTACGGTACGTATCGAGCTGTACCAAGCATACCGACACACGATATACTAAGATGCACCGATGTACTGCCCATACCAGTCCTCTGTTGAACTAGTACATACCGCCTATACCGAGCGATACGCTTCGATACGTCAAACCTTTGGTTTTTCCATACCGCCATCACGCCTGTGCCATAGTACCAACACTTAACACGCTGGTACGGAGCAGCACACCCGATCAGAATGATAACTCAAACACTAGGCCTAGCTATATGTTCCAATATTATGAAACTAATGGATTCAAATTGATACATGATGGTTTGACCGGTGTTATGTCTATTTTGTGAAGGTTCCTCAACCTTATGAAAAATTCAAGCTTGGAGAAGGGATAGGTTATCTCTAAGCCTATAAAAGGAAAGATTTACTTCATAACCTCTAAAAGAAATGATCTTCCTAGATAGTTTCTTAAGTCTAAAAGAAGATAAGCTTACCTTTCAGCTTGGACATGTTATAATTATTGTGTCTCTCCTTGATAACTTTGCTGGTTCTTGTGCATTATTCACTTCCTTTATATGCATTTCATTTATTTGCCTTTCGTGAATTCAAACCTGCCTTATGTTTAAGTTACTCTAGTAGGCACTAATTTACCCCATTCTTAGTGCACGAATAGTCCAATAGTGTCAGGTCCATGTCCATATTTCCTAGTAAATTAAAGAGGTCAAATCTACGTCTCATTTTATTCAAGAATTCATGCATCTGCGAACATCACATTAGTTGTAGATATAAAGCATCATGACTAATGATGTATTAAACACAAAGTTCAAATATAGTAGAAAAATGATGCTTGATCATCAAAGGCCACTAAATGATTTTTTTTACTGTTGTGTGTATACAACCCACAAAAACCTGCTAAAGACAAAGATATATGCACATTAACTTGTCAAAGGTGAGTAATAAAAGCCTTACCTTTTTCCATTCTGTAGGACCAGAATGGTTTCACAATTTACGTAGTTGCTATAAGGTAAGATTATTCACACAGATTTTACAAAAACCAATAATTGAAATTGATACTATTGTTATAACCAAGGGCAGAACTTAATATAATATTAGAAAATCAACTTAGGTTTATCTACCTAACATTAAACGTTGAAATGCCATAACACAGGCTTGAGAAATATTTATACAGAGGAAACAAAGTTATCATGGAATAAAACATGGAGAATGTTTAACATAGACATTAGCCTTTCAGATTAAAAACAATCAATTCTGTGGAACATCAGCTTCTATGGTTATATTTGACATACTAGCTTAATTTACAAGCGATACACATGGAGGACCATTCAGTATATTTTATGTGCTATGAACACGGAGAATCAGTATTTCCTTTATATTTGAACATTAAGCTTCCAAGAATCTATATCCATTTTTAACCATAACCTAAGAGCATAACAATACTTGTTTTCAATTGAAGCAAAAATGAACATAGTGGTGGCAACAAATTAACTAATGACTTGGATTTTTTTTACCAAGATGACATGATTCTGTTGGCCTCCAAAATACCAATTGCATAGATGAAATGACTGATCTGTTTCCAAAAGGTAATTAGCAAATTGAGTTGTGCGCAACTTTCTTCCCGTAAAAGGCTCAAGAGAAGCAAATAACTTTTCCTTTACAAGTTAAGCATATAAATTGTCTTGAATTATTTTTCTTCATAGCCAATTAAATGTTTGTTTATAAATTTCTTGAACTATTTTGTATCCTTTGTATATTAGTGCTTGTATACAGACACGTTGCATATGCATAGTAATATATGAAATTGAACAAAAAATGCATATATACACATAGGAGAGTGCGACAACAAATCCACTAGAGTCATATTGTTTACCAGCCATGAGTGAGGGTCTAATCGACAATTCCCAACGACTTCTTTTTGCACCGTTTCCTGAGTGTCCACCTTTTGCAACGATTCGGGCATTAAGCAGCTGCCCAACTCTAAATTTGGTAAATGGATTTTCCATTAAATCTCTGTCATCAAATACCTATTTTGCAAAAACACAGTTTATACTAGAACTTAGAAGTTGTTAAGATAATATGAAACATTAACTCCATCAGCAAGTCAAAAAGCACCTCAGTTATATGGATTCTCCCATAAAATCCAAAACCAAACTTCAAAATAAGTTCAAGAGGCTTTATGTCAATAACCTGGATTGAAATTCTTCAGATTAAACATGTGACATAAAATTTGATGTAGCATCAGACATCATTTAAATAAGTCAGAGAAAAGGATCATATACCTCGGCTTCAACAAGTGAACCCACAGTGTAGGTAGACTTTCTCTTGGCCCTTGTAGAGTTAGGTGTCTCTAAGCCATCAGTAAGAGAATTAAGAATAAACAAAAGCCTTCCAGAGCTTGAAATCTCCCCGACAGTGGCAATGACACTGAATTATCAGTTTGAAAGAAAAAACAAAAAGAAGGTACAGAATTAGGACTCTAAAAAAAATAACTATGTTTGTACCCATGATAGCATGCAGCACTGCAGAGTTACATAAAAATAAGGTACAGTGTACAAGCACATACTATAAGGACCTCTCGGAACATCAAACAATGCCACTTCATCAAAGCAAGAAGCAGCAGCAAGCCAGCAACCACAAACGACAGGCAAAAATATTGCATTAAAGTGAAACTAAGAAACTGAGAAATATTGCTAATATAGTGACAGTCAATCAACGGGAAATAACTGATACATAACCAAAACAATAAACAACAATCAGACAAACAAACAACCTATATGTATGCTTCAGGTTAGCAAGGGACAAACATGAAGACGGCATTTAATTATTTATACAAATAAAACAAGAAGAGACTAGGAAGTCAACTATGCAACTGAACAGCAACACTAGTGTCATATCCAACAGTGATAATTATGCAGCCAGGAAGACAGAAAAAAGAAAGCACAATAATCATTTCAAATATTGATGCAATATTTGAATGATCAAAATAAACAGCACAAATCCCATTATCAACCTCGTATATGGTATTTAGAACACAACCAAATTTTAAATCAAAGGAAACTAACAGTAGTTATCTGACAAGAAAAGATGTACCCAAAGTAGCAAAGAAATATGGAGTAATAAAAGAAAATATCCAACAGGTAAGCCATGATTCATATCACATAAACAATAAAGCTTCTTCAACCCTGGGCATCAAGAAACATCTAAGTGCTGCTCTGATGTCAAAAGAAAGAAATTCAATTTCACTGCTACCAGAAACAAACTGGTACAACTTTTTTGCTAGTCTCTGTTATAACTGTTTATATATTAGTTAGAACAACTCTCATGTACAGGGACTCTCTCGATACTGCTTCAGATATTTATCTGATATATTTTCAAAAAACTTTTTTTTGACATACATGATCTCTGACTTCCTCAAGATTAAAATCACTTGTGATATCAAAATCGATTGTATTTACCAAGAATAGGTGATCAAATATTAAAATACCTTTAGAATTTCTTTTTTGCCCAAATTTTGGACCTCTTTTAGATCTTGTGATAGTCACCGATGAATTATCCTCTTCGTATCTATGAGTCCTCTTCGCGCCTGTGACCCCTCTTCGCCCATTTAAAAAAACTAATTAATAATCCATAGTGCTCGTGTTCATGAGCCCTCTTTGCTTGAATGCAAGCCCTAATCATGCTCGCCTCATGTTGTCACCTATCATTGTCTGTTACTTGACCGCCACTTGTCGTGTGCCACCGATGGATATGCTTCCTCCTCTTCTCCTCCCTCTCTTCTTTCTCATCCTTCTTCTTCCTCTTCCTTCTCTCCTTTCTCTTCCTCATGTTTTTTCCTCCTCTTCAGCCACCACCTCCTCTACTTCCTTCCTCCTTCCTCCTTCCTACTTCTCTTCCTCCCCCACCCCGTCCTCTTCTCCTTTTTCCTATTTGAGTCATACGTACTGGTGTACCATTCAAACTGTTACATACTAGTCTGACCAGGTCACCGATACAAATCCAGTACCTGAACCAACATTCCATGCATGACACTTGCTCAAAAGTTCATGTTTTAAATTTTTGTTGAGGATACATTTGCTTGCCTTTAGTATAGATGTGTTCCCCATAGACCAAAAGTTGTGTATCCCTCATTGATTAAATGTTTCATGGTCATTGCTTGTGGATCCTTCGACAATCTTTAATCTTTAAACGTAAGTCAGACTTCAGTTGACTCACACTACCCTGACATCTCCTTGCAAGGCTCTACCAACTCCACCTTTTGGCTTCATGCATTAACCACCACATTGGCTCAATGACTAATGTCCGCTCACACTACATCAAATCCCACAAAGAAAGTTTTCTCTCTTGAATCTGCTTTAAAGAAGGCTTTTTTTGGGTCTTGAAGTAGATGAGTGTGATGTTGTTCACACGACACACCAAGCAAGGTTTGACGTACCGAAACGTACCGCTCAATATGGGCAGTATGTACCGGTTTGACAAAGGATCGATATGGGCGGTACATCGATATACCCCAGTGTATCATAGGTCAATAAGCTTGGTACAACTCGATATGTACCGTACCGATAGCTGATCAGTACATCGGTACGGACCGGTAATGCGAACCATGCGACACACCATGACCCACGTAGATAGTGCCTCCAGATCTGACATTCATGATCATGGACATTTCCTCATGAACTGGAGCATGTACACATAACTGAGAGTCTAACTCACATGTAGAACTAAATAACCCTCTTGTATCTGGTTCAATTTGCCTTCCATAGCAAAGTCTGAAGCATCAATCTGCACGCCAAACAGCTTCGAATAGTCTACAAGTTGCAACACCAATTCCTCCATCACTATGGCGTTAAGGTCTTTGAAGGCTACTTGACAATTCTCAGACCATTTCTGGGGTCCTAACTTCTTTAGAACCTCTGTGCTGTTGCGGGTTCATTTGCAATCAGATGGCTGTCGTATATCAAGACCCTTCTGATGGCAATGTTTGAAGCATCAGTGTGCCTCTCTTAGCTTTGCATAGTCTAGAAGTTGCCACACCAATTCCTCTTCTTAGACCAACTACTAGAATGCCCTCAAGAAATTGAGTTAGCGAGACAGCTAGCAAGGAACATCCCATTGATAAATATTTGTTCTAATATACTAAACTGAACAAATATCTAAGCTTCACCACTGTGATTAAACAGATAATTCTACCATAGCATAGCCTTGGCCTCATCCATTAAAATCATGTTGTTCTTGGCAAGATGTCCCAAGGAAAAAATATCTGTTTATGGCAAAGTAACTCAATTTCATATAGTTTTCACCCTGAGAATATGGAACATCGTCTCAGACTGTCAGGTGCCAGATGTATTACCATGGTTTGGCCATTAAACCATGATGTCATGAACATACACCACCACAAACATGTTTAATTATTACAGAAAGAGTATGTTTTCCATAACCCAGACTGTAACCAGGGCATCTGTCATTCCGAAGGGCATCACCAAAAACTTGAATGTCTCATACTCAGTCACACACCGGATATCTCATCCCCCTACAACTATCAGCACTTGCCAAAATCCAACCATCAGTCTAGTTTGGTGAAGTATCTTTCCTTGCCAACTGATTGGGCATGACCACAATGAGAGAGAGAGAGCGAGGGAGAGAGAATATTTTTTCTTCACTGTGACCTTGTTCAAGGTCTGATGACATGCGCAATCACACTCCTATCTTGCTTCTTTTGGATAAGTAATAAGGCTCCAAAAGAAGCAATCTCTTTCTAAGTTCCCTTGTCTACAGCTTATCTACTTGTTTTCGAACCAACACCAGAGGTGACATCCAGTATGGTGGTTGGGCTGAAGTGTGAGTCCTTTTGGGTAATGAAAAGGTGGCAGGTTTAATTATTTAAGACAGCACCAAACCACTTTCTAATGAAGAAAAGAAACAAGGTTCCACCATTTAAAACAGTACCAGCTGGATCATAAAACAGCCACCCATATATGGTTCTCATTTTGGCCAATTAGTTCTTTATTTAGACATTTAACGAGTTATTAACAGTCCAGCAGAGCCTGCACAGATGTTTAGGAATAAAAAATTACCTCTGGCCATTCACAAAATGCTTGCAGGGAAGCTTTTGTATGTTGTAATCAGTCGTTGATGCGTACCCTATAGCATTTTTGTACTCAGGAACAGACAAAACCTGGATTTGAAAAAATTGAGAAGGTAAGGATAAGCAAAATCAAATGAAAGCAACCATTGCCTAAATAGTCATAGATTATACAACTAGACTCTGATAACCTACTTACCAAATAATTTTCTTTGACAATTTCCACAACTGCTTTTACTGTTTGGTATAGCTTTAAGTCCACAGATATGTTTCTACGCCGCTTCTGAAAAAACATGGATGATAAAATAGAAACAAATTACCATCCAAGGTCAATGTCAATTATGACAACAAATTGCATAATAAGAAGTGCAGATACTGCTACAAGCATTAATCTGACAGTTCCTCTTTTGGAAAAAGTTCATTAATCAAGGACAACTTAATCATGATCTAACCTTTTTAGTATCCTTTGCAGAAACACTACCAACTAGCTCCGGTTTAAGGGATAAGTCAACAAGACCATCCAACTTTGCTATGTCCAGAACCAAAGCAGTAACAACAGAACCCAGTTCCACATTGACACACCCCACTGAAAAGGGCATTTAACCAAGAATTAACAACTTGGAATTCTTAAAGCGATAGACTTACATAGAATACAGAACTTACATTGATGATGTGCCACAAATCCAACAACATCATGATGATTTTTGAAGCCAAGGACAACACCCAATTCTTTTATTTCTTGAATTTCTCCCTCAACCAAACTGCCAATGCTAAATTCCTTCACCCAGCTCAAATCAAAGTCTTTGACATCAGACATCTGTATAGCTGCAATCTGTATCACATAAAAATAAATGAATAAATGAAAATAATATGAAATAAACAAAAAAATCCAAAAAATTGGATTAAACCAAACAGAAAACATGTTGATATATCAAGCATGAAAGAGTAGAGGAAACAATAATGTCAAGAATTAAAATAGAACAGAATGAACTGAAATAGTGATTGTCAAGAATGGTTAAAAATCAAAGAGAATTTACAAAAAAAAAGGAATATCAATATGTTGTCAGTTAACATTGCAACTTTCAGCCATGGCAAAGTTCAATTTAACTTCAAGGACAATGTGAAATGAAGAAAGTGAAAGTCAGTCCAAATCGAGGAACAAAAGTTGACATCACAAAGAAAAATAATTACCTAAATATACAGAGTTCAAATAATATGATCAAATTTCATGATTGATGACAACTAATATCACAACAGAGCACTCAGGCACACTAGGGAAGTTAACAAGTAACTATATAAAATTATATTAATAAAGAACAATTGTAATTTCTAAAACAAGCAAATGTGAACATATGATAAAACAATTACTATAAGATGAATAAAAAGTACAACTATAATCTCTTCATATATGCAAAATGTGTGATTTAGTAGCAATTAGTTGATAGGATCTTCATAGTAAACCTTAAATAACAATAACATATCTTCTACTTAAAATTTGAAAGTTGCATATGCAGACTGATCACCAATTATTGTGTATGGCCTAAGCAACATATTTTATTGTCCGACCATATATATGACCACATTAGGAAACATATTAGCTGCTTTTCAAATCCTTGAAAAGTATTCAAAGGAACACTAGAACATGATATTTGCAGTTTCACATGGGATAAAAGATGTGTTAATGAAAAAGAAATATTGGTAATCAACTCTTGAAAATAATATATAAGAAAATCCACGTACTGTTTTCATGAGTTCAAAATGGCTGAAAGATTAAATAACAGAGAGCTATAGCTTAAAGGCGAGGAAAGAAATAACAGAGGGGAGAAGTACAAAGAAGAGCCAAAATCCAATATTATTCTTCAAAGGAAAAGAAATGTCACATGATTATAATTTATACATACCTTTTACATGACCAAAACAATTAGTGGTCCTAGACTAATAGGAAACTCATGGAAAACACTTCCTATGATTGTAAATCATCACTACACTATCATACATATCTTTTATAATATAATTAGTGTTTACACACTTTTTTTTCTATACTCACCATGATAAATTAATATGGGTTCTATCATAAGCTTTCTTCATAATAAATAAAAAATCATATGCAAATCTTTCTTCTTCTCACTTTGGATTAATTGTTTTTATAAATAAATATCTTATATTGGTGGTATTCCAAGAATATAAGCAAATTGATTACTACAAATATTTATTCCACATATTATTCAACTTTCGATCACTCTTTAACATACTCTGACTTTTAATCTTAATTCTTCTATAACTAGAACAATTTTGGATATCTCCCTTATTCTTACCAATTGGTACCAAAAACCATGGTATGCAATACCGAATGGTACCGCCCGGTACGGGCAGTACGTACCGGTCCGACGGCATACCGATACGTGGACCGCTCAGTACCGGACGGAACGTGCTATAGTATTACACTATGGTAGTGCTACAGTAGGGAAGATAATATATAAAACTGTTCGGTACGCCTTGGTGTACCGCTCGGTATGCCGGTACCGTACCATACCGAGCCAACCTCGAAACACCGGTATGGTACGATATTGCATACCTTACCAAAAACTCCTTCCCAATTCATCAAATTTCTTTCTAAATCAAAAATTTTGTTAATAAACTATTCATCGAAACAACTTTTCAATCTCGTAACTCTTTCAAAACTCAACAAGAATACCTTCCGCACTCCTTATTTTCATCCTTGCTAAAGTTTCTTTTATAACGATTACTTTAATTTTATGAACAAATCTATGATTACTAAACCCACTATCTATCTTTAAAGATAAGTTATTTGTCCAATGTTCATTATATAACTTATATAAATAATTTTTTCATCTTTCCTTAATCTCCTTATCATTAACAAGAATTTTTTATTCTCATCCTTAATAAATCATACTACCTAAATTCCCACTCTTTCTTTCCTTAGCTTCTATTATTTAAAATATATACATTTTATTATCATTAATATCTAACTTATTATTAAATTTAATATAAGCCATATGTCTTGCCATATTGATATCTCATTTTGTCTCTTTTTTAGTATCTATATATTTTTGTAGCGTTCTCCTTTTTTTAAAATTTTTCCAATTTAAAAAAAATGATATTTTAGACATAATATTTTTTTACACTTCCTCACACCGCAGCCAACTCTCTCACAAGGCTACACTTCTACCTATAGATTCCCCAAGGATATCCTTTATCAAGCTCGTAACCTATTGGTCAACCACTTGGTATTAACATAATATCCTTGTCCAAGTTCCAAGCCTCCACTTTTTCCATTTGACATGCTATCTTTTTTGCTCCACATTAAATAGTAATCTTCATTCTTTCTCGATATCATGGAATGTAAGTTTTGGTGCCACATTAAGGTTGCACCCTCTACAACCTAAGTGATGAATGATCAAGTCATGTTGCTCTTTGCTTACAAAGGCATGGCCGCATACATTGATCTTTCCAAGAAGTAGAAGCCGCATTATCAAAACTCTCATGCATCGAGGCACCCTACTTTCTTGGTATTATATTGATACTAAACCATTATAGCTAATGGTTTTCATCTAAGGATTTTCATTTCTTTAATGGGATTGTGTTGTTACCCCTAAATTAGATGTAAATTACAAGCTGTGAAAATTAGCTGCTCTAAATGATGTGCGACTGTATATATAAACAAAAAAATTAGCAAACAAATAAACTAAACTAAATTTGAATTGCTTTCACTTTGGTACAATATTCAACAAAACCCACAAACAGAAAGGCCGCAACTGTGATGACGTAAAACTTCAGCAAGAAATATATGTTGTTTAAAAGTTAAAACCGATGAAGCAATAAGATAAATATCATTACCTTCTCCTCCAAAAGAAAATATCCTTTAATAAATGAAACATCTGATGATAAACACAAAGACTGTTTTAAGGAGAGCTTTACCCGACCAGCTTCACTATTGACCTATAAAAAGCAAGCATGTTAACTACAAGTAACACAGATTTTTTGAAAAATTGGACCTGCTATGAACTATATTCTCACATTTATGATGTGACTACGAACAGTTTGCCCAATGTAGAATGCATCCAATATGTTATCAATCATTTCATCTGTAGCCTATTAAAACAAGAACAACATTAAAACAAGAATAAGAAATCAAAGAAAAAAAACCTGAGGAATACAATCCAAACATATTTACCATATTTTTTGGTGCAAATCCAGTCAGACGTCCAAGAAATCGAACAAAGCAACCACTTTCAATGATATTGCAGATATAGCCCTGTCCAAATTAAATCAAAAGATTAAAGAGAAACAAAATTGAACAATAAGAAAAGAACAACGATGCTTGAAAACACATGCATTAGATACAAGTATGTATCTTACATATACAACAGTTAGAGGATGAATCTGAGCAAGATCTGAAGGAATCTTCATTGCAGAACTAATAAGAGAGTGTTTAGCAGAAAGAATCAGGCTTGTCCCTTCAGAGTCTGTAAAACATTTAGAGAAAAGGTACAAGTTAGATAAATGTATTTAGTCAGGAAAATGTTCCTACTTCAGCTACGTTCAACAAGTTAAAAGAAGTAGTAATTCCAACATCTGACCATTTTAGTTTCACCCAACAGAAATATAGACACTAATGACTCCATATTGAATAAAAAGTATTATCCAGTTATGCATGTCAAGTTACCAATTTGAATTATATATGTAATTATTCCCACGGTTTGCCGTACCACGGTATACCGCCAGGCGGTACATACTGGTCCGACAGGGAATCAGTATGCAAACCACCCTGTACCGGGTGGTATAAACTAAAAGGTTGTATATCGCCCGATATGAGCTTGTACCGCTCGGTAACGATCAAAATCCTACTGTTACCGACCTACATCGATCGGTAACGATCAAATTCTGATCGTTACTAACGGATGGCTCAGATCTGACCCTTTCTAACAGTCAGATCCATTTGAAAAGGTTTTTAAACTATTTCCTCACCCTCTTTCACCCCCTTTCACTCTCTCAAACTCTTATACTCTCAATCTCATTCTTACTCGCGTCTTTCTCTCATTCTCATATTTGCACACACTTAAAACTTCGCAAAACTACAATTTGTTGATTGGATGAAGCTTGGGAGGCTAATTAGGAAGGACTAACACCTAAGTTAGAGGAATAACTCCCTACTCAAAAGTATGCAAACAGCTTCTCGATCGCATTCAGCAAACCTCTCAGTTCGGAGACATGGCAGCGACATGGACAGTAGTGCCTTGACCGACGATGTCAGAGAGTCGATGGTCCCGTCTACATAGTTTGAGAGTGGTGCATGGACCGAGAAACAATATTTTATGTATGCCACCTAAAATTCAGATCATGAAGCTCGACATGGTAATTAGTCATTCTTCTCCAAGCAATAGTATGATGCAATGATTGAAATATCATACCGTACCGAAGTTTCGACATTCTCTCGATACAATACGGTACTGTATACCGAGCAATATACCGCTCGGTATACCATTCGATATATATATATATATATATATAGTACCAGTTTACTGTCGGACCGGTACGTACATTCGAAACTGTATACGTTGGTATGATGACAGTTGGTCATTCTTCTTCAAGCAACAATATGATGATCGATCTTATGATATGGAGCAGCCGATCAATAACGAAAATAAAAGTTCCGACATTTACCGTACTCCACACTAGTACATGCCACAATCGTACATACCTCAGGAGTTGCCTCGGACACGTGGTTCACAATAATCAGGTACGACCAATCACATTTATACACCAATGACATACGATGTATCAGTATATTACGTTATGGGATCAATTTCAGGATTGAGTCCGACAAACATACAAATTGATATACAGATACATAGGATTTAGGACCCCGATCCACTGCCCTGGAGTCTCATCGTTCTTTTTGGTGGTAGAATCAAGTATATCCATCAATCAATTACTTGGTTCATTTGAATCTTAAAGCTTAAGTTGCTTCACAAATAATCTAATAATTCAAATCATTTCTTTGTAAATAATTCAATATCAACGAAACGACAATCCAAAATGTGCCATAAAGCTACCTCTTTAAAGCCCAAAAAAGATATGTACCATTATTCTTTCCCAATTTAGATTATTTTTTTCTAAATTTATACTAAATTTATATTTATTTCTAATTTAAAAACACTAGTCTATTTTTTTCTATTTTCAAAAAAAAATTTAAGCTATTTTTCGCCATTTTTCATGTCGTCGATATGCCTCGCAATACGGACACATGATACACTAGTCTAGTCAAACCAGTATGGTAACAATCCGTACGTTGATCAATACGCTACCAAGTACCAAAGCATGAAACTACGAAACTTGATTAAAAGCATGGATAGATAGTAGAGAAAGAAATTGGAAAAGCTTGTGAAATTGTTATTTAGGGATTGACATTCGGAAAATGATAGGAGATAATAAACTTATAAAAACAACATCAAATTGCAAGGACATTATTTGATAGTACTAGTAATTAATTTAATACAAAAAAACCAAATTATAGACTCAACATCATGTTATTTGGTATTCTTGCAGGTAGTAAATAGATTTCAATGAAATCTTGAATGGATAAACTTGACACAAATAAATAGCAATGAGAAAAAAGTGCAAAGGAACAAAATTAGGATATACCTAGCACCACAAGTTGATCGAATTCATATCCCGGCCTCAACAAAGACCTCAGTAAAGTGGCTTGCGCTGACAAAAGTACCAGTTGGGAGTTAGATATTCAATGATACATTAAATAAGTACTTCAATGAAAATTTTTAAATCAAATTCAAACCATGGTGATCTGCTAAATGATCATTAAAAATTGTTCCCTTCAAGTAACCATTCTTAGTAAGACTGACAATGACTGCTGTGGGAGTCAGACGCTCAACAACACTAGAGACAACACAACCCATCTTGACTGCACCATCATCGGAAGTCCTGTCAGTGTTTCAGACATTCAAACATACTTAGATATCAACCAAGGACTTTTAAACGCATGACAAATCTCCACCTGAATTCAAAAGATAATGAAATGAATTCTATGCAAAGGTTTAGTAGGTTAGATGGAGGAGAAAAACAAGTTTGCTCTCCAAACAAATTATCATTTAATAAATGTAATACAGCTTTGAAGCAAGCATGATGTACACAAAAGTACAGCTACATACTAAGAAACTAAGTTCAACCTTCCTACCCGATCATAATTTGCCAAAAACATTTTGGTAGATATAACCTTTTGGTAGAGACATATAAAGGGAGTTAATTGTAAAGGATTGCAGACCTTTTGGTAGATATAACAAAACTAACACTGATTCTTCGTGAAGAGGTAGCACAACTTATTATTCTACACTTGACCACTTGTCCAACATGATACACAGAGTCCGCTTCAGCTCCTGGCTCCAATCCAAGCTCAGATCTAGATTAGATAAACAAAGAAGCATGTGAAATAATATTAGACACTAAACATTAAATTGAAAGTTGAACTTCACACGTCACTAGATTTTCAAAGTAAGCTCATAAAAAGGCATTTACTTGACAAGTTGCTTGAACAAATTTATATTCTGTCAAGGAAGTTCTATCAGAATTTAGATGTAGAAACATAGTCCAAAGTGGAAAAAGAGATCACTTTACAAAAGCAAAAAAAGGAGATTAGTTTAAAGTTTAAAGTTTAAACAATAAAGGAATACAGCCTTCCACAAAAAGGATATAAATGTAGCTGGAGGAAGTATTATTTTAATAAGAACCTACATACATGATACAGAACTAATGGATTTGCACTGTTAGGTTCAGATAATGTTTATGAGTCATGCAAGAAGTTTCAAGCTAGTTGCAACTTGCAAGTACTTGCAGAAGCCATAATGGACCCCTTTAGATCATGCTTCCACATCCAAAAAGCTTAGAAACATAGGAAATGCCATTCCAAATGTGGAATCACAATTTTATTTATCCTATTCCACATCCTGTAAGTTAAAAAGGTATGCCATACTTATCTATATATATGCCATTGAATGCAAATAAAATCAAAAAAATGTTTGTCTGAAAACAACATCAGTACCTTTTTGAATCTTTTCTAAAGCAAATACAAATGTTTCATGTCTAATGAAAGATACATGGATCAATACGGACACATAAATGATCAAATTTAAATAAACCATTATATGGAAGTAACAAAGATACATAACATTGTAATATATTAGTTCTTCAGGAAAGGAAATAAAAAAGAGTCTAACCTATGAGCAAAACCATGTACACCATTGTAAAACCTCACAAAACAACCATGCTTTTCAATTTTAGTGATCCATCCATGTGTAACTAATCCTTCAGCTGCATCACCATATGATGCTAGCACGTCTAGCTTCGATTTGACCTAATCAGAACACCAGACATAGAATTTAGTAAAAGACAAATATCTAGAATTAAGTATTTAAGAAAAAGTATACATGGCAAGTTTCTGCATCAGCATATGTGTATATGTATTTATATATATTAAGAACCAACAGAAACAAATGGGATCATTTTTAAATGAAACATACTAGTGACTTCTTGTATGTGACAGTTATTCGCTTGGATTTACAACCAAGCACACGAAAGAGTAATTCAGCTCCAACCTGCAGAAAGTGCATTCTATAGTGAGAGAAAAAAACAAACATTTAATAAATTTAGCACAAAAAAAAATAGAGTGAGAACACAGACCATAAATTTTTTAGGTGGCTTTACAATCTCTAGCTCTGACATGTGTGGGAGAGGACATAGTGCTTTAACACCACTTGGGAACTGGACAATTGCACCAAAGTTCTCAACAGCAATGACTTTAGATTTCACCAACATTCCAGGCTTGACATCCGAATGAGTAAAAACAGACCCTTCAAAAGCACTCGCCTGCGAGCACTAACATATCTGAGAAGATCCTAACATATAAACTTTTTTTCCATTGAAGATCAAATCCCAAAATTGTCTCAGAAGAAAAATAAAGGAAATTTGCAATTCTCATGGTCTCAGAAATATTAGATGTTAGATTCATTCAGCTCATCTTCAAGAAATAACCACTAGATATACTACTGGCAACGAGATCCAGTTCTCCTTGAGAGGTAAATAAGTTCCGGTGTCAAGTCAAAATTAGGTCCAGCTCGATTTTGTACATTCAGTTGCTCAAAATTCTTTTTACTATGGTTATTACTTGTCATGTATCTCTTAGAGAGAAATAAAACTACTAATAATAAATTTGAAGTTGTAAATTAGTTTATTTACTGTAAATCAAGAAACAAATATAGGTGAATTTGCTCATGACAGATCTGACACAACTATCTTCACCAATTTAAAGATACCCAAAACCAAATCAAGATGCATATATCAGGTACCATGGAGTTACAAAGTCCATTCAAGTTTAAAGTTTCACTAATGCCCATGAAAATAAAGATGATCAGCTTAACAAAAAATATACCTTCATTGTGCCAGTTGCTAGCCCTTCTAAATATCTCATTCCAAGAATGCGAACACGAACATAATCCCCTTCCTTGAACTTTTTCTCCGGCTTCAGAACTTCATCAGAAGCATCATGTATCTGTTCAAAATAAAATGGAATAAGAATCAGCAACAACTAGGGAGACCCTTCATCATATACCAGTGCCTAAACCATGCAAATCTAATTTTGAACATACACTGACATATGCTGGTGAAGGTGCTGGAGAAGAACATATCTCAAGAAGAAAACCAAGCCCTCTATCAACTCTTAAAATTTGTGAATTATCATAAATTTCTCCGGTTTGAACATACTACAAAGAACCAACAATTGTTAGCAAAAGTAGAGATACACCCACACAAACAACTGATACATAAAATACATCAGCAAAAATTAATTATACAACAAAAAGCTGAAACTAAACCAAGGTTTTCATGAGTTGAATTACTAATTACATTGATGCTTAGCTTGACCAGGAATTAAGAGCTTCAGTTAAATGAACTGAGCTCGTCATGACTCAGCTGGTGAACATTGTCACAGCTCGGCACAGCATGAAAGATGACTTCCCATGCCAGATAAACCAAGGGTTTCAAATTCTCCTAATGAGAAAAGGCTAATATCAAGCAACTCAGTACAAAGCTCGGCTCGGTTTGTGGAAGTCTACTTTCCAGAAAAAGATCATTCAGTAATGAGGACCCAAATAAGGATCTTAGAAGGATTTACCGTCTAAATATCTTGAGTTAATGTAATTGTTGGAACTCATTATGAGCAATAAATAGTATCATTCATCAAAAATGGTACTGGAATAGAAGCCATTGTCGTTGCCGTCCTAAGTCTCTCTTCTTTTTCTTCCCTCCTCTCCTCTTCTAGCTTCTTATCTCTCTTCTTTCACTACTCTCCTCTCTCTCTCTCTCTCTCTCTCTCTCTCTCTCTCTCTCTCTCTCTCTTCACTTGTTCCTACTAGTTTCTACATTATTCAGGCTGCAAGGCTTTGATTCCATGCTAGAGTTTATTGGTTGTGCTACTGAAAAAATGCCTTTGAATCTCTTCAAAAAAAAAGAAAAAATTACAGCATTGCAGTAAATTACAGATTACTTACAGCAGGTGGAGCTTTATTATCTATAAGATACTTATTCAAGGTTAGTCCAACAGCTCTAGTTGATGGATCAATAAACAATATCCGAGCATTCACCTACATCGAAAAATGCAAACAGATGGTGAGATGCAAAAAATTAAATATATATGCAGTTGATGAAATTGCAAAGCATGTGGGCAAAAGATAAAACACCAAGAACATCAAGATTCTAATAATATGAGCTCTTCATAACAAAACTTCAATTACAAAAGTCACCATTTGGTAGTTTTTGCATATCAATAGTGCAGTGACATATGCCTAGCCATTTTACTGAATCGACCCTATTGGTCAGGGCCACTTGATCTAGCGAGCCAAACCCACTAGTGGATCATATGCAACCTTGCTATGGTCATAAAATGGATTATACCCCATTAGTGGCAGACTTTAACTGTTAAACTATGTATATAACTAGATATTTAACAGTATGTAGAAAGGTAAGCCTGTGTACGTTGATCCTCTCCAAACCCTGCATCGACGAGAGTCTTATGCATTCGGTATGCCTTTTTTTATTAAGGGCATATAGCATGGTTCGCCTTACTGGTCTGTACCAATGTACCAACCAGCTATCGATACGGGATCTACCGAGCTGTGCTAAGCCATACCAAGCGTATCAACACATGATACATAGAGGCATACCAATGTACCGCCCATAACAATCTGCTATTGGACTGATATGTACCGCCCATACCAAGCAGTACACCGTGGTACGACGAACCTTGGCATATAGTAACATTGGTAAGGCATTCAATAACTACAACCGATTCACTATGTTCATTAATGGAAACATGTCCTTGTTTACAGAATTGCTCGTGATAAGTTTAACATGATATGAGCATCTTGAATAGAAGAGATTTTCAACCAAGAATTCAAATATCAGTCCATTACTTGTACTGGTTGGCAACCATACCAGTATGATAATGATACCATCCTTTTTATGCATGCTTGACATCAATTTTGTTTCTGTAAAATTGTCATGTTACTATTGTATTACTAATCATATTACAAAAAATCAAAGAAAAACTTAATACTATTTGTCTTGAAAATGTATAAATGATAATGCTCTTATGTCATATGATGTTGGTAGACGCTGTGCTACAGGTTGATCAGATGTGCAAGATTGACAACAGTCTGATCACTGATAGAAAATGGGGTATGTAAATATATGGTTTGGCCAGATATGGTTCTCCACCAAATGGATTTGCACACTGCAATTACTAACGAGAAGTATATGGTTGGTAAAGACCCAAGTTCATGAGTTCTAACAAATTTTGCACTGGCTATCAACTACATGATAAAACCGTTCTTAGTTATCAAGGCTTGGGACAAGCAAAGCAAAAGATATAAAGTTAAGCATGCATAGGCAGAGTTGGAATGATATTGTTGTAATGGTATATGCTGTTTGATAATTAAATTATTCTGGTTTGATGAAAATTCGATTGGGATTAACTTAATATGGATGAGACAAAAATTAGAAAAGGTCTTAAACTTAGGACAAAGATCAAGTATATATTAACAATTTTAGTAATGTAAGAGAAGCATTGAGAGTGTAGTTGATGTAGGACAGGAGGATGAAGGGCTTGAAAACAGTTTTTATCCTTGTTTCAGATTTAAGAATGGTGGAAGACAACAAGAGTGTAAATTATTGGTCAATTTAGAGAAAAGAAATAGATATACACCAGATACACACACTCTCAAGAATGCACACTCAGATAAAAGTCACACACCTCTCTACCGATTCACACATGGTCAATGAAATTACACCATTACAGATAATAATATGATTTCACCACTAACATGATGTTAAAAATTTAATGGTCAAGAAAATTACATACCTTGAATTATGACTTTTCGTCAATCAATGCTTATTAACAAACTTTCTTACTTTAACAATGATGGAAGTCTAAATGGATATTAATCTTTTCTTTTTACAAAATATTTCAAATGATTAAGAATTCATTGTAGATTATTCATCCAAGGTCAGAAGACCCTGTAGGAATGGAGTCTCCATTCATGCGAAAAATGTTCTCTTTTTTTTTTGCTTCATCTTTTCTTCTCCTAGGCAATCTAGATGAGTTTTATTTAGAAACATAAGATCTCAGCACATGGCAGCTTATCACATTTGCACAAATTCTCCTAAGGAAATAGAGTTATTCCAAAAATAAAAATAAACAAAATTGCTCCTGCATCGATATCTAACAAAAAATACAAGAAGTTCCTGCAAGTAATGGTTTAGATATCTTTTGATTACTCAACAAAATTGACAGATATTGTATACAGAGTAAAAGTTGCAGTTAAAGTGCAGAGAGGCATCAAATATTTTAAATTTCTGTGCCCCTAAGGATGACAGGAAAATTTTAAAAGATGGGTTCAAAACTAGTAATTCTTTATCAATTGCAATGTTGGGCATATAGGCAACATGTACAAGAAGTTTGCACAGTATACATGAGACCATTGAGTTGGATGCACAAAATCACACAAAATGATGCAATACAAACAAACACGTATAAACACCAATAGAGGATAATACAAGGAAATGTTACTTATGTTATAAACATATTCAAAGAAAACATATAGATACCCTGATAAAGCAAGCTGAGTAGCTTAGCTTAGTATTCGTGATGTAAGGAGACATAAAGGAAGTGCTAACAGTATTTTGGAATTAACACAAAATGACTTGTTTGCCCATTGTTTAACTAAAAATACTGCCCTGTAAAAAGCTCGATAGTGAAAAAGTAAATTCCATGTGGTCAACCCAAATAGTTGGGAGTCTTGGGACATTACAAATTGTTGCTACCTGTTAAGAGTGTATTGTTAGCAGGGTTCTTAATTTCGATGTGTACCGCTCAGTACAGGTAGTATGTACCGGTCTGAGAGGATACTAATACGTGGACCACCCTCTACCGGGCGGTACCAGTGTTTTGACCCCGTATCAGGTGATACAGGGTATGTACCGAGTGGTAACGGTCGAAATCCGACCATTACCGAGGCATACCGATCGGTACGCCTCGGATTTCGAACATTACCGAGGTGTACTGGTCGATACACCTCGGATTTCAACCATTACCGAGGCAAACCGATCGGTACGCTACGATATTTTTGGATTATTACCTCCAGGTATTTTTGGAGGTTTTTCAGCTCTTTTTGGGTGTACCGTCGGTACGCCTTGGTACAGACCGTACCGAACAAGCCAGTATGGACCGAAATTGAGACCTTGATTGTTAGTATTTGAAAAAGAACATACCATAACCAACCACATTAATGTGACGTATTGAGCAACATAATCACTAGTTAGAACAAACAACATGCTTGTTTCGCAAGGGGATGGGAAAGCAAGTGTCTACAAGCGGGCATGTAAACCTTTTTATAAGCAATAACTGTTAGAACAATTCACCGAATGAACAGATAGTTGGAAAGCATATTAGATAATGAAAATTATCCAATAGCATAATTTTGATTGACCAATGCCCAGAAATGGAAATATAATTACCTTTTTGTTTTGATTGTAATTGTCTTTCCACGTTCCACTATGGAATGTGTTCTCCAAATGGAAAATGTCTACCTGTCAAAAAGATGATCAAGGACTAAATCTAGATGGTAATGCAACTTTTACGACAATATGGTTGTATGGCTCAGAGACAACAGAGGCAAACAAAAATAACATTAAGTGAGAACCTTACTGTTCCAGTAAAGTATGTAAGAAATGACACCATAATCCCATTTTCAAGGGTAGAACGGACTCGAGCATTGACCATCATGCCAGGAACCAAAAGGTCAATGGAGAGCCCTTTCAAATCTTTAATCTATAAAAAAAATTGATTATTGCAAGAGATAATGAATTTAAACAAAAAGTCAGATGGTAATCTAAGAATGCAAATAACTAGATGAGGTGAAAGTTTCAACTTGAAACGTACTATAAATTTTGAAACCAAATCTGAATCAGAATCAACGTGAACAACAGCTCGAGCTTTGTCAATGTCCTTGACAACACACTGCATAATTTGTCCAGTGAAAATTTGATCACCATCTGCAAAATAAAAGACTTGAGAATGCACATCAAAATGGGCAACTTCAATATTATTTCGCATATCATAAGTGGAACTAAATCAACAAAATTATGTAACAAACATTCAGAAAGAGACAGTAATGAGCATAAGAATACACATCTATGTATGCAAGTGGCTGGGTTAGCTACCTCTTTCATTCTTCGGCAAAAAGCCAGTAAAAGATGATACTCCAAAAAAAAGAATGTAGCCATGGTCCTCAACACTCTTTACTTGTGCATTCAGAACCTGTAAAGCAAAGAAATAATTAAATTGTTTTCAATTTGCATGGACCAAAATTCATGATATGAGATAACATGAAATCATAGGATAGAAGTACCATATATACAATGAAGATTGATGCTGTATGCCATGAATATGGGCAAGGAAATGAAATGAAAATAAAATAAAATCAAAGAGGTTCTGAAAAATATTAGTCAGTCACAAGTATGTTGGAAGCAAGAACAACAATATATACCCTCAAGCAGTGAGACTTGTTCTGTTCCTAAATACCTATTGCCTTTCAGCTACCAGTTCATTATTCATTAAATATATAAATTAAAAAATTAAATTTGAAGAAAAGACGGATCAGGAAAGCCAGAACTGTTTTTAGATTTCTTAACCGAACACGATATTTTCTAACTATTTATCCTCTAAAATTGTTATGAAATACCATTCCATCTTGAATTGCATCTAGAGTCAGGCCCTTGTGCAGCAAACTTAGTCGTAGTGACAACCAAATTCTTTTGTTTCCTTTTCCATCTTTCTTGTCATCATCCACCCGTAACACAACACAGGACACAAGCTGTCCAACATGAAATATGCTGGATAGAAAGTAACCTTCAGAAACCTGCAAAATAGAAGACAAAAAGCTATAACCATAGCATATATCTTCATCAATATGAAAGCAAAATCAACAGTTCCGAAGAATTTAGTTATAAAATGACAAATGCAGCCACAGGCAGCATTTTTTAGCATCCTACAGAAAATTTATTTTACAAGCAAGATATTTCTCTTCTTATACCTTATCTCCATTAGATATGGGTATGTCTGTAACTTCCTCTGCATGAACAAATCCTCTCAGCCCCCCCGGAAGACTGATCACGAGGTCTTTTCGATTAACCTCAACAATTACGCCCCAAAGCTTCATTCGTGGAGAAATATTCTGCATAGGGAGTGAAATTTATACTGTGATCTCCATGGCAATGCAAAAGTGACATTCTTCAGGTAAATAAAATATTACACAAAATCAGAAGGTACGATATGCAACATTGTTGAAGTTCACATAAGCATGCAATTGATAGTAAATGAGTTATATCCTTTTAATAATAGTAATTTCATATCCTTATTGAAATATGTGTCCTGGTAATAATTGCTAAAAAATCGATATTAACATGATACTGCAAAGCTTCACCAAGTTGACATGACTCCCACAGCATGTGCAACAACATGATATCAGTCGCATTATCTATATGACAGTATACAACAAACAAGTGACAATACAGTATCGTGTGTTAACACTTAATCCTCATTTTCTGTCCTCTTTCGTGGGGACTTACTTTACTAATTAGTTTGAATTGATCATCATTTATAGCACATCCAATCATCATCCCAACCATAGTTCACAAAATCAGGTATTATAGGATTGGGATCAGCATGAAGGTTTTAACCAGTGAGATAGGCATTAATCCATAAAAAAGTTAAAAATACTACAAAACCACAAAATGGAAAATATATGAAAAATTAAAGTTTTGTAAATTAAAATACTATATGCTAAAAGATTTATATTTCCTCACATCACTCAACGAATATAACTCTCTTAAAAGACATATGAAATCATAACCAAGGCTCGCTAAACCATCGCATACCGCTCGGCACGGACGATATATACTGATCTGATAAGGGACGAGTACGGGTGGGACATCGGTACGCTCCCATGTACCATGTGTCGGTATGCTCAGAATGGTTCGATACAGCTCGGTACGTATCGTACCAATAACTGATCGATACAACGTACAGACCGGTAAAGCGAACCATGATCAAAACTTAAAAATTAAAAATTGTATACAAAATAGACAATTACTTGTAGAGACTAATTTAATAAAAATAAATTAAACATATCCATTAGTAATATATTTAACAAACAAATTACGATAGTGACCATCATATAGATCATACAAATGACTCAAGTATTAATCATATACAACTTAGAAAATATTGATGGAATCCTTGAAGGTCTGACGCTTCACTAAATCACCACGCACACAAAGCATACACTCAATTAATAGTTAAAAAATCAATAGTTCTAAAAAATTGGACGAAAACAAGTTTTACTTGTCATCTCTACAGAATTACAAAATCAAATTGACCTAAGGGTTGGGTGGCTTCTCCTCCATCATGATCTATCTTTATGTGACGCTTCTTCACCCCCCTCCTTACCTCCACCATAGAGCCCCTGGATCTAGGGATACAGGCCCTATTGTACCATCAGGTAGCAACCAACAAGCCAGAACATGACTAAGCATCCCTTCTCCCGCCTTCCCCAACACTAGGGTGGGTCTCTTTTGAAACGCTCAAAAATTTGGAGACTAGAAAACCAGCAGCTCATTTGAAGTGAATATCTTGAAGATCCAAGATCATCCCCATCTAGCACTTTAGTTGGATCTAGATGAGGTAAATCAAAACAGTGGAAAACTAGCATCTGTGTGAGTTTTTTGGACACTCACCTCTTCTAATTGCGTTGAAACTGTCTCTACATATGCTTTGGGGCGTCACAAGTGAATTGCAAGTCATAGATCTCGCTGCAGGTTTTTTTAGTTTCAAGTTCTCCTCTGAGTTGAATAGTTTAGAAGTTATTACTAGTAAACCTAAGTTTACTAGAGGATAGGCCTTTACCCTCTTCCCTTTGAAACCAATCTACCAACACCTTCTTGAGAAGGTGGTTGTCTAACATGGGTGCAGTTCCTGGGTCTCCCGACAGAATTTCTTCCACAAAATCATGTTCTACGGTTTGCATTTTGATGGATTCTTCTAATGCTTTGCCTCAATGTTCTGCATTCACAGTTGTAGGCTGAAGTTTATTGTTATGCAGTGAAATCCATCTACTCTTTTTGTTTCTTCTAATCTTTCATCTCTGATTGAGATTGATGGTTTGGTCAATTTCAACCAATTTATGGTTATATGAACCAGAAAAAAATTGGCAAAATTAAATCAATCTGACAATATTAATATGGATAGTGCCTATTGAATTACGAACTATATCGCACAACTTTCTGGAATAGGTTAAAAGCTAAAAATACGAATGATGACACATGATTTCCTTATGGGTTGTTATTTTTTTTCGTTAGAACTTTCCTGGTAAGATCAATTAACTTGGTAATTCTGTAACATTAGTTCACTAATAATTAATAATGTTACTATTCCATTGCAAGATTGATGAATTCTATGCAGCCATCATATATGGCAACAAAATAAAATGAAATGGACTAATTAAGGTTTGAATATCACTCTAATAACAATTTTTCCAACCTTTCAAACTAGTATGTCATATCAGGCATCAGACCAACTTGTACCACATTGTAGTAGAAAAATAATAAAGACAGTAAAACAACCAGTACACAGAACACACCAAGTGATTGCAAAGCCCATCACCAGTTCTTGATCAAATCAATATAACCCATCCAACTGATGGTTAAAACCACAGGTCTAATACGGTTAAGCACCGGCAAACAACAATCAGCATGGTCCCTGACATACAGAGAAGGCTTGTGCCTCCTGTATGGACCTATGCATACTCCATCATGTATCCACCAAACTGCAAAGAACATGGCACTTGAAACACTCCACCATACCTAACATTAACCAATCATCTTTGAATAAAATAATATCTAATAAAGTTCATCAAGGATGGGAAAGAAAGTTGTAGATCAATCTCAGATGTCAAGCGCAAATACATCTGAGGCCAAAATTTCTAAAGCAAGGGACCTTGATTGAGGGGCTATTTTGGCATTAAAGTAGTTCAGATGGTGGGCCTGGCTAGAAACAAGCTTATGACAACAATGTTGGATCTCCCTAGTCCCAAATGACTCCTACTTATAACACAAAGTTCTTGGTCCCAATATGCACATCTTCATAGCAATGGACAGCAGATTTCATCAGTATGCAGTAAGAAGAGAATGAAGTGGGTAGAAGACAATGAAACATGAAAAAGATTATTTGCAGGAAGGAAAAATCAAGAGATAAGAAAAGTTAAGGCAAGATTTTTTACACTCAAAGAGGCACAAAAGTTAATCATCTTTATTACCATAGGGCTAACTACTATTCTAAGAGAGATCATAAAGATTGACTCAGACATAAAAAACAATAGAGGATGCCCCTTGAAAAGTTGTTGTGATACAAATCCAACCCAATCTACACCAGACCAATCGGGCATTTCACTTAAACAAGTGTGGCCTCAAACCGACAAGAGCAAACTATCTTGAAGATTCAAAAGACACCATATCCAGGTTTGGATTCGATCCGAGACCTTAGCCAAGCCCTGAGTCAAGACCTAACTGGGTCTCAAGACTTAAGGAAAATCCTAATCCTCATTAGAAAGAAATAGAATTGCATTTTCAGTGTTATTTTCATAGGCAACTTTCAAAAGCATCAATAGCCATAATTTGTGTCAACTATATGGGCGTCGTATAGAATAGGCAAGTTATTTTCCCAATTAGAATCATATTTTAAAAGATAGAATCCTGATACAGGATCCTCGGCATGCAGAATTAACTTTCATCCTTCAGAAATGACCCCAATTAGGAAGAGATTAAAAATAAATTACTCGCAAGCCTTAAAACTATAGAAGAATCCAAAATTGTCAATAATATTCTCTCTCCTCTGGTTCTCCTATTCCCTCTCTTGCCTCTCTTCACCTCCATGCGTCTTCTCTCTTCTCTTCTCTTTAATATCTCTCCTGGTCGACACATTCCTCCCCCAAAGAAAGCAGACCCTTGATAAGACAGTACTTATTGTATCAAAATAAGGAGCAATCAAGTCCACCTAGAACTGATAATAAGAAACTATTCAAACAACATAGTATAAGCCAAATGGAGATTGACATGGAAATAAGTGATAATCAGACAAACAAGACCTTTAACGAAAGAGACAACCTGTCAAAGAATCTAGCATCAATTTTCTGCTCCTAAACAAGACTAAGATTAAACAAATAAATGCCTATGATATAGACAGCTCCAACACCTAGGCTATGTGCCTGTATCATTCATTCTGAAAAGTTAGCAATTTACTTGTTTTGACTGAATAAATAACTATTTTAATGATAATTCTTAATCCTTCAGATTTTCTATTATCAACTAGCCACAGATTTAGATAACAATTAACTTCACATGGTCTAAAACACTTTGAGATCATATTCCTAGGCCCACATCAGAAGTAACGATTAGCAAGAGAAGATATGAGCTCACGAGATTCTCCAAAAAATTAATAACCAAGAGAAAATCACACTTCTCACATGCTAATACAAACATCGAATGTACTGGCACAAAGGAGAAAGATTTATCGGTCATAGATTTACATGTCATGAAGTCCACATGCAATGCAGCTCATTGCAACCAAGAAAAGAGACGGGCAAAGGTAAAACTAAAATGAAACCTACCATTAATTTCTGAAAAGGTTAATTCGGATAGCAGAAGAACTTTGGTTCAGCGATTGATTTTGTAGGGAAATCATGTCTAGGGTCAAAAACTAAAGCTCTTTGTATCCAAATTTTGGTTTACCAATGTGATAGCAAAAACAATTACAAGCACAGCTTATTTCCAAAATGAGAAATGTAAAAGAACCATCTTTAAAAATATTCACAAAACCGACCCCAATAAAAGCTGAACGCGCAGGTACAAGCAAACTCATACCTTTAAAGTGATTCGATTAGCAAACCTAGGAAGCTTCCCAGTGATACCATCACCAAAAAGAGAACCCAAATCATTGTCAAAATCGAGCGACGATCCCTTCAGCCCCTTCTTCTTCCTTGCCTTACCCTTACCCTTCCTCGAATAACTTTCCTCCCTTTCAAACTGAGCTTCAGCCTCTGCCCGAGCGTCCGCCTGCTCCTGTCGACTCAGCAAGCTCCCCCCACCTACATCCACCAAACAAACCCAAAAGACGATAATTTTCAGCCTAACGATCAGCAATGGACGTTGAGACGGATGGACGGAGTTCCAAACCTCTGGGAAAATCGGGATCATCGGCTTCGACGAGTAAGGAGGTCGGAAGCTCTGCGGGAGTGGTAAGGGTGTCTGTTGCCTCCTTCCTAGCCTTCTTGACTGGCTTTCGAAGCTTCGAACCGTCGTCGGCGCTCCTTTTCTCGGGCTTCCTCTTCTTCTTATGCTCACTGCCAGCGGCCATCGTCTCCGGGAGATAAGAGAGCGAAACACGCACACACAACCCGAGAGAAGGACGAGATGAGTCGAACGGCGACGGGGCGGGCAGAGAAGGACGTAAGGCCTTAGGTTTTTGGCGGAAGGGTTTTGGGGCGGGTTCACTTGACCGGATCATGTTTATAAAGGAGCCGGTTGGACCGACCGGTTCGCTTATATATATATATATATATATATATATATATATATATATATATATATAAGCATAAAAATGATAATATATTATATGTTTTAAAAAAAAATTAATGTTAAAATTGAAATCAAATAACAATATATCAAATTTAAGATACATACCTTTCAATATCGTTTGACAAAAACTTTATCTAATATGTAAGGGTACCATCTTCATATTCAAACCCTGTACAATTATTGTTGATCTATAAAAAGAACTAAACTTTCATTCTTCTTTCTCCCTTTTTTTTTTTTTTTATAAGACCACTTAAATCAATAGAGTAGGGACAATGGAGGATAAAAAACGAATTATAATCTCTCAATGACTGTCACGTATCTATGTCTCGTATTTGTGCCCGTCTCATCACACATCATGTCATGTCAATACATGTTTAGTCCTTACAAGATATTGTCTATATATAAATAAGGGTAAATGATCTAGAATATATAATTATGAGAGTTACTTATCATCATGTCATGTCATCATATTTTTTGTTTGGTTATAACTTTCATCACAACTCAATCATATTTATAATATATCTTATCACTTAGATAGAATCACATAATCTAACACTACTAGCATCGTTTTCATATTTCAAATAAAAACATTACAAATATCTTCTCTACATAATAATAATTATATATGAGGGAAGAAGTCATATGAATATTATTTTCTATAAAAAACTTATAACAAAAAAACAATACAAAAGAAGATAAATCTATTATGTCCATTGGATTAGAAACATAATTTTTTTTACACAACAATATGACACCAAATAAGTTGTATGATCGTTATGACAAAGAAAAAATGTATCAAAAAAGAAAATTCATGCAGATTCACTTTAACAAATAAAAATCCAAAATTTCTTCTTTGCACAAGTTTATCAAACTAGATAAGTTTTGCGAACGATGTCTCATAGAAAAACATCACATGAAATTTCCTATTTCTTGTGAACTCACTGCACCAAATAAAAATGGAAGGCATATAATGTTGTTTCATAAAAATGCGATAATAAACACAATGCATGGAAAAGGAAAGCTCAGATGCTTTTTTGGATATGCTAAAAATATAAAATTTCTACTTTGCAAGATTATATGACACGAGAAAAGTCATACAAACATTATCTCGTGAAAAAGCCCAACAACAAAAATAAAATACACGAAAAGGAATTTATATGATTTTGCCACTGTATTAGAAACGAAATATTTAGTCTTTGCATAATAACATGACAACAAATGTGATAGGAATGTTATTTTGTAGAAATATAAAGCTAAAGGATTAAATTTAGTTCATTTCACACAATAATGACATAACATAAACATGACTAAAAGATATTTTTTTATGTTGAGGATGTCGACCATGCCATTAGCCACCTTTATCAACTCTTAAAAAAAATTAAAATGTATTACCGAACACACCCTTATTTTATAAATCTTAACTCATCATTATTTTTTTATTAGTTATTAATTATAATTTTTAAATTAATATTAATTTATCCTAATATCATATCCTATCTTCACCCCTTACCATTTAAATAAAAAATAAAATTGTTGTTTAACCTTCTTATCATCCAAAAGTATTCAGATCATTACTTAATGGAAGCTTAGGCGGTTGCATGATCATTTTGTTTTATTTGAAGAATACATAATTTTAGTTTAACTCATTGTTTTCATAGTTGTACCATTTGTTATATATATATATATTTTTTAGGACATAAGATGTTGATAAGGATAATTTTACCCCATGCCAGCTCATCTACCACCGAGGCTGACACATAAGCAAAGCTCCGGTCATCAGCTTCAAAATGGTACTACAATATGTCTCGATGTACGTCATATTAATGACTTATAATAATCATCTTATTTTATCAAGATCAGATACTAGAATGATCATATGATTAACCTGATCTTATCACAGGCCAACTTGTAAGAAGACTCAGGGATCGGATATAAAAAGAAACCCATTAGCTCATGCTGAAAAAGGAGACTCTCTACACACTAACTCAGTCATATAGCTTACACTATTATTTTTTCCCCTTCACTGACTTAAGAATTTGAGGCGCCACACCGGGCAACCCCCAACGTCGGCCTCATTTAGGACCATCGACGGATGGGAGACGACCTCGCTGTTAGGGCGTAGCCTCGCAATCACAAGGTAACCCTCAACCCCAATACACCTTGATGACCCCTAGCCTTCAGGGAGGAACCTTACAACCAGGAAGATCCCGGTCCGCTTACTCGGCCATCCCAAAATAGGTCCTTACCAATAGAACGACTTTTTCGATTGGGCTACCCATGCGAACTCACCTCATTAAGTCTCCCACGTCACTAGAAGAGGTACTTGGATGAGCCTACACCTTCGATAGTGGATCAACCGTGCTGACTCATTAGTTGATGGTACTCATGACAAACGATATTTCTCGGTACAATAATTTAATATTTTAATGGTATTAAAATGGGCTAATTATATATTAGCCACTATAGTTAGCTAACTTTAGTATCACAATCTTTATATTTTAAAAAATTATATTGGAATCCTTACAGTTATAAAAGTGAAACATCTATGTTCATTTAAGCTAACAATGTTAATTTTACCAACAGAAATATGAAAACAAAAAAATAAAATGATAATTTTAACATTCAAATTAGTAGTGGCGGACGACGAAATTATCACGATTTATTGGTAGCTATTATGGATGGCGAGAGTGGTGACAAAAGGTGAGAGCCACTTTGTATTTACGTTGATGCCGATGCAATTGTTAAGCAACTCTTTTGTTGCTCTATATTTGTGTCAATGTCGATGCAATTACTAAGCAATAAAAGGGTCGTCGATGCAAATATCGAGTGATGTCGCTCAGGAACTATGTCAACATCGACAAAGATGCAGAACAACATTGCTCAACAACTACATCGACATTGACATAGATGTAGAGCAGCTATCCTTTTTATCTTTCATCGCCACTCTCCTCATTCACAATAGCCACCCGTGGTCCCAACAACACCATCGTTCGCCACCATAGATATCATCCATCAACGTAGATACAGAGCAACAATCACCTCTCGTCATCGCTTTCCTCATCAACAATCACCCGTAGCTCCAGCAGTGCCATCGTCTGTCACCACCGATGTCGTCCATCACTACTAATTGGAACATTAAAAATATTTTTTATATTTTATTTTTATTTTTTATTGATAAAAATGACGACGATAAATAGACTTAGATATTTTATTTACGTAACTATAAGATATTATTATATCTTTTAAAATATAAAAATTGAGATGTTAAAAGATAGCTACTGCAAGGTATACATAACTAGCCCTATTAGAATCGATATGAAATCAGTTTTTATTCTACCCTTAGTTTAATTTTTGTTTTGAAAACCGAGTTGAAAACAAAGATTAGATCGGTTAGGTGAGAAACAGGTAAGAAGAGGTGTCGAAGAAAGTTTGGAATTAATGGGGTTCTATTGGCTTCCAAACTAAGCAAACGAGGCACGGAAGTCGCTCATCCATACAATTACCCATCTTCGTACGAGTGACATGCCACCTATAATAGTATTGCTGCGGGCGTCCGCAAAGTACACCCACGTGCGAAGATATAATAGCCAAAAGAAGAAGAGAGAGGGGTGGAAGTGGGAGGAGGGGAACGATCGATCCGAGCTGAGCGGCGAGAAGAGATGGGGGATGCCATAGTTTCAAAGCGCCCTTCTCGCCCCCTCTCTTGTTCTCGGGGGATGAGTGGTCAATGGGAATGCTGACGATGACCACCGCTACCAACGCCACTAACCCGACCACCGTGTCGTCGATGAGGTCGGAGATGGCAGCGAGCCTCGCAGGCGTCTTCATCCTCATGTTCCTCTTCCTCCTCCTCCTTTTCATCTTGGTCTGCCGCCCCTGGCGCTTCTTCCTGTCTCCCTCCACCACGGTATCCTCCCCCCGTCTCCCTGCGTCTGCCGTCAAGGTTAGATCAGCTTGCCCTTCCTTTTCTTCAATCTTGTGGAGTTCAGGTCGGGCCCTTTTGGGCAATTGGTTGTAGTCTGATCCTTTTGCTAGCGTCGTTGAATTTCTGATCTGTTATTGTTGGCTCTCTTGACACTGAGCTCTCGGATGTGCTTATAATCCCTAATACCCATTTTGCATTGTAATGTATGCTACCGTCCCCTATAGTCTTTTTACTGGTTTATTTTATTATAATTTTGATTCGACAATGCTGCTTTGCTTTTTCAGTGTTTGGTATGTTCTTCCATCTAATCAATGTTTGAATTTGAAGGGTTTCTCTATGTTTGGTAAGTGATGACATGGTTCGCCTTATTGGTCTCCATCTGTATACCGATCGACTGTTAGTACTTAGGTTCATCGTACCGAATCACATCCCTTGGTATGGGTGGTATGTATTAGTCCAATAAGAGATTGATATGGGCAATAGTACATTAGTACATCATGAGTCGGTATGGTATGTTTAGTATAGCTTGGTATGTATTGACAGTTGGTCAGTATATCAATACAGACTGGTAAGGCGAACCCATGATTAGTATGGTATATGCCGATGTACTAACACATAGTACGATGGGATGTATCAGCAGATTGGTATGTATTGTCTATACTGATCCCCTATTGGATCGGTATGTATCATGGTACGATGAACCTTGATTGATGATAAGACATAAACAATCATCCTCAATGGAGAGATCCTTAGAATCTCTAGTGGTGCTCAGGTCAATTTTTTAATATGTTACTTATTTAAAATCCTAAGCATGAATTGGATTATTGGAAGATACACCACAGGAATGAAATTAAACCTACTAAAAGGTTAATTATGGATTATTTTAGAGTTATCTCTTAATCCCTTGATAACCTGGTATGCCCCCTCATTCTTTCGTTTTTCCTATCAATCAAGGGAGTTGGATTAAAGGGAAAAAGGGAAAGTGTGGGATCACCTTAAAGGATTAAATCGGTTTCTTTGATATTTATATATAAAAATAAATTTAATCATTTGATATGTTAACATGTTAATTGTGTTTCCTATGTATGTAAGAAAACCATGAATTTTTATTTAGACTAGATATTATATTTTACTAATCATGAATCTAATCTTAATTTAAAAAAGAAACTAGATTAAGCAAATGGTGTTATAGTTTACAATAATTTGGACATTACTTTGAATTTATTAATTGATGTTGATAGTATATTATTAATATATGGTTTGTATTATTTTAAAATTCATCTGCACAGTAATATCTTGAATAATGAAATTATATTTTGTCAACTGTGAATTTAGATTATGTACATGATGTTATGCTTTAGACTTTGGGTATCACGTTGAATTTATTAATTGATGTTGATAGTATTTTATTAATTTATATTTTTGATTATTTTTTCAATGATTATTCATAAATTTTATTATAATGTATGTGTTTCCATGCTTCAAATTGTAATATCATTGATTTACTATTTTCCACTTAATTATTATGCAAATGTACATCATGAATAAATAATTTATGGATGAGTTTGATGTTATTTATGTTTTTATAAGATTTATAAATATTTTACTTGGGAACTATGATCAGCTGTTAAATTTTGAAGTTTGAAATTTGATACGTGGAATTAAAATTCTTAATTTGTAAAGGGAAATGGTTACGTCCAAATCATGCTTGGGTTAGACCTAGGATGAAGAGGAGGAGGAGGAGGAGGTGGAGAAGAGGAGGGTGAGGAGGGGAGTGGAGGAGGCAGAGACGAGGAGGGACGAGAGGGGTACTGAACTGGGGCATGGAGTAGTGGGTGGGGGCTCGAGGCAGCGGATTGGGTTGGGGATGGTAGAGAGGGGTTGGAGGCAGTGTGACGAACAACAAGTGCTGGCAGATTGCACAAAGATAGAGAGAGACCTACATTGGGATGATGTGGGTTAGGTTTTAAGGTTTCAAAAATACAATGAATAAATTTTAAAAATGAACTCAGTGGTAAGCTTGGTTCACAGCGCTTACCCGGGGTGGGTTGTTCTGTTTTGAAAGTGGACTGGTATGTTCCAGGCGATTTAGGGTTGCTTGGTATGTAGAAGGATGATTGAGATATTGAAAGGACTGAATACTCGGTGTTGGTCACTTCCTGCCACTTTCTAGTAGTTACTTCGGCCAACCACAATTAGCTTCTGCTTTTGGTTATATCATGGATTCAGCTTTTGATCAAGTAAAACACTTATGTATCATTTCTTCATATGCTTAAATCACTGGTTGTTTGCCTGGTGGATAAAAATTTGGAACTATTAAGTCTGTTAAATAGTTATGTATTTTTTAAGTGGAGCCATTTGAGTCTGAGATTGTAGGAGCAACAAGAAGATAGATACTATCTTCATGAGAATTTCTACATTACTATGTGGAATACAAAACAATATTCATTTAGAGCTGGGATTTCAAGAGTACACTGTCTTTGATTCTAGTGCAACTTTGGTAACAACTTGTTTTTTGTTTTTCTTTGACTTGTTCATTTTGTAATTAACCCTTCCTTCTCTTGGTAAACAAAAATCTGCATGACGTCATAAACCAAAATTCCCAAATTATTTTAAGCATGATCAACTTTTCTAATTAGATTCATTTCTCTCAATAGTTGTTTTCTTGTTTGAAAGTTATTACAAGGTTCTGAATACCGTACCGTACTGCTGTACCAATCAGTTGTTGGTATGGTACATATTGAGTTGTACCAAGCGTATCGACACATGGTACATGTACCAATATACTGCCCGTATTGGTCCTCTATCGGATCGGTACATACCGCCTGTACCGAACGGTATGGTACGGTATTGCAAACCATGAGTCATTATATTATCATTTTATGTTAGGTTTAACGTAATGGCTGAGTTAGAAATTTGTTTTAATTTAGAACATGCTGTTTAATTCCTGGTTCTTTCTTTTCAGGCTGATAATCTTGTGAGACCTCTTCTTTCTGATAATGTGGATGGTAACTCTGGTCAAAGCTATGATATGCCTGAAATTTTTCTTGAGGCTTCACGAATTCAAATTAATGAAAATACCACTTGGTCAAAAAAGCAGGGACTTGTTAGTAAAGAGCAGGTCCAATCAACCGATTTTTGCGCTTCACAAAGTAAATTATTTTTACATCATAATGCTTATTTTTCTATTATGAATTGTCTTCTTCTCAATAAATCTCAAAAGATTTTGTCATTACAGGCGATAGTTTGGTACTGGATGTTTCTTACGATGCTTCTCAAGATATTGAAGTTGGTCATACACTTAAGCGTTCGGTGACATCAAGCTGGCCAATTGATGACAAAAAACATATCAGAGAGGATTCTAATTTTGATATTAGAATCATTAATGAGAAGCCTAGAAGTCCAGTTTCTTCTTTCACTGATAAAAAAATTCTGCGTACTGTTTAACCATCATATGTTTGAATTATTAGCTACATATATTTGCTTTCTTTTGTAAGTTTCTAGAATTTACTTAATCCAATCTTTCTTTTAGAAGTGCAGGAAGCAGCTTGACCTTGGAAGTCATAGCTGGTCCTTCTCATGGGCTTTGTTGCTCCAGGGAGTCAGCAAGCACTTCTGTGCTTCCCCTAACACTTGGAAGGGTTTCTCCAAGTGATTTACTGTTAAAGGATTCAGAGGTTTCAGGGAAACATGCAAATATAAATTGGAATGTGAACGTAAGCCTTTTATACAAAGTTTCCTACTTTAAGACTTCCTTTCATTTTTTGCCCTGTGCATGTGCTGTAGGTGATTGAGCTGATCTTTGTAGGAAAATGCTTTCAAGTCCTTTAAGGATTAGTTTTATTCAGGATAAGTAAAACTTACGGAAATTATTAGGTTGCTTTCTGATACTTGGGAGACCTAATAAAAATGTAATTATAATTGGGAGAGACATAACATAACAATAAGTAGTTCTTTCATTGATGTATATAACTTATTTCACATTTCTTTTCCTCTGGTTAGCTTTTCTTTTACATTATTCCTATTGTTTGTGGCTTACACATCATGTCATTGAGTTGCAACTAGGTCCTGGTTTAGCATTCTTTGCAATTGTTGGTACAGAGTCTAAAATGGGAACTGGTGGACATGGGTAGCTTGAACGGAACATATTTGAACTCTTTGGCAATTCACCACCCAGATTATGGATCTAGAAATTGGAGTGAGCCTGTTCAGCTTGCAGATGGAGATATTATCACCCTTGGCACTTCTTCTAAAATTTCTGTGAGTTTGAATGATATTTTCTTTGTTTTCTTTTTATTCTATCATTGATGGTTATTTAAGAACTGTTATATTTACAAATTTGAGCTTGATAGGTCTACATTTATTTTTTACTTGAACTTATTGACAAACCTTGTAACGTTTTCTCAAAGATTTATTTATAGAAGGTTGTGATCATATGAAATGAAGTTAGATTGAAATGCCACAAAATGATGTAGGACAAATGCAGCTTAGGAGGAATGTGTGGGTAGGCTTGCTCTTTTACTTTAGTTTGTATCTTTTGTTTGTTTTTAGATGGTTATGAATTGGTTTATGCATAGTATTAGTCAAAATGGTGAAAATTTATAACGCATGCACCTCTTTCATGTTGTGTTGAATTTTAGTTGAAATCATGGTTTTCAATTTTGGGTATTGGATGTGTGTTGGTCCATTGCCAGATTGGTAGGGTTCAATACATTCTGGAAATACCGACATATGTTCGTATGCCGGAACACCCTGGCACAAAGAAGGAAAGAGAAGAGATGGAGAAGAAGAGGGAGGTAGGAGGTGACATAGAAGAAGAGGATGAGGTGATGGTAGAGAAGAAGAGGGTAGGAGGCAACAAAGAATAGGAGGTGGTACTGGAGAAGAAGAGAGGTGGAGGCAGAGAATAAGAGAAGGTTGCAATGGCAGAAGAGGAGGAGGAATAGGAGAATTTGGATAGGGTTGGGGACCTGGGGTAACAACGGATGTGGCTGGTGGACGCAGGTGATAGGCAGCAATCAACGCGAACACATGCAAGACAGAGGGAGAGAGAGAAGCATGCATGTAAGGGTATAGTACAATCACTATATTGTACTGGATATTAACTTAGGCTTCCATCCAGGAAAATTCTACTGGCCTTGTTTAAGTATAGTGTTGACACATTGTGATATTTTGTTCTTGCCAGCTGCCATAAAGTAAGAATATGCAAAAGGGTATAGTTACAACTTCAGCATGGCTGGGAACCTTGGTGGCACCGTTGCTGGCTGCCATAAAGTAAGAATATTGAAAAGGGTATTGATACAACATCAGCATGGCTGGGAACCTTGGTGGCACCATATTAACCAAAGATGACATAACTGAAACTTATTGAAATTTGTGACCATTCTTTTGTTTGCTCTATCACTTATTTATTTGGAAATTTTATGGTGGAAATAGGAGTCCTTGCTTCATTTGAGTTGAAGTTTTGTATAAGAAATTCTCTGTCACTGACTTTGTTTATAAATCCTTAATATAATTTGTTTTATCTATTAATTTCATCTGCTTTAGGTTAAGCTTTCACAATATTTTGAACATCATATACCTTGTGGAGTTGGTATGGTTTGTGATCCAATGTCTGCACGTCGAGGAGGAAAAGTGCTTCCAATGGAAGATATAAGTTTCTGCCAGTGTCCCCTTCCTGGTGTTGAACAGGTTTTGTCTTACCCAACATTGTGCAATTTATTCCATGATCATTCTAAACTTCTAATAAGTTGTTCCTGTGTCAGTTTGGCATTTTTGGTATTTGTGATGGGCATGGTGGAGCTGGAGCTGCCAAAGCTGCAAGCCAGTATGTTATCTCATTTTTGGCATAGTTGGTATAGTGCACCTATGGAGTACTTGAATATCCTAGTTTCATGTGATATGCCACATGTAGTTATATGCTAGATTATCATGGTCAATCATGCGCTTGCAAGATAGTTTGTCAATATTTGGTCAATCATGTGCATTGTTTGTGATTTTTTTGTCTGCAGTCTGTATTGCTTGTTTTCATTTGATCCTTTTTGATAACTTGAAAAGAATTACATTGGTTGACTCTCATTTTCTCTAGATTTTGTGTAAGATATACTTATTGGCTGTCATTAATGTAATAACATAATGATATTAACGGGCTCTGTTTTCGTCTCATGTTTTTGTCAAGGTGGTTTATGCTTTATGTAGCGCCATTGGTATTCTGGATCTTGAGGATTAATCACATTTGTTGGACTCTCCAGCTTGTTCATGTTTGTAATACAACTAATTATGCAAAACTAAGGTTTCAAGACAGACTAAGAATGGATACATGACGTGCAACTTTTAACAACTTCATGAGAAAGGTCAAAGGCCGTATAATTTAAAATAAATGGGTGAGAGAACAAAACCTTTAGGTGTCTGGTATTTAGAAAGTGGAGGAAAAATCATGATGATATTGCTCTTAGAATTGAAGCAGTATTGTTAAAATCGACAAGGGGTGTTCAGAGTGGCGTACGTTCTGTGTGCCTGTGCACCATTGACATAGTAAACGATATGCAAAATGTTAAGATCGTGCAGATAAGGATAATTGATGAGTTGAGTTAATAGAAAAGATAGAACAAAAAACATTTTCATTATTGAAAAATTAGTGATAGTTGCGTTTATAAATAAAATGAATTAATATCATATAAGGTGGATGAAAAGACCAAAGAAGACCAATAGATGAACTAGTTAGATAGAATGCCTTCTCAAATTTGTGGCATAAGGATAGGTAGAGAAACATGTATAAGACTTTATTAGAGGATACAAAAATATCTAATGACCAGTGACATGGCTCAATGGTAGTAGATCTTTTTATCTGACGTCAAATAATTGGGACCTTACATCATTTTGGTTTTATCTATACTAACTCTTATACCATGGTAATTTATTTTCAGTAATGGGGTATCTCCTATATGTAAGTTTCAATTAAAAGTTTAAAACCATTTGAAACTCTTTACATTCTTTTACTTCTTGTGTGATTGGAGCTTCATCGGGCAAAGGCAGTGTGATTAGGGTTTTTGCTTGAAGGCATCGATAAAAGGAGGGATGGGAAGGCATGACCTACATGTGTGGATACCATTTTTATGTAGCATGCTGTTTCCAACTGATACACTACTTGTATTGGGCTGGCCATGAACCAGTATGTGAAATATCACTGCTATCAAGGTGATCCTAGTCTCAATCAACCCCTAAAATCTTTTATGAATTACTGTACAAGTGCCTGGAAAATAGGAAAAGGAAGCTAGACCTCTATGACCTAAACCTTGTCTCTAAACAAGAGTACTTGTTAACTAGAATAGCATGGATTGGACCTGTGCTGACTGGCTTAAGTTAGCAATATGTATAAGCGTGTGGTAGCACACTCTTGGCACAACATGGATTCTGATGTCAATAACATTTTACCATTGTTTTGCCAGAAACTGTGTGTAAATACATTAATGACAGCCAATAAAAGGTATCTATCATTTCTGCATTTCTCTTTCAAATTCTCTAACAAATACTAATATTTTAGGCAGATAGCATATTGATCTCATGTGTACACACAGTGCATAGTTTTCATTTCGGCATTGATGTCAAACCTTTTTCTTCTGCTGAAAGGCAGAGTGTCGAAGTAATATGATAATTTACTCTTGATGATAGAGTGTCTGGTCTTTTCATCTCTGCAACATGCAGTTATTTATTCCCATTTTGTGCATGACAGATGATTATTTTCTTGTCTCCAGGATGCTACCTGACAATGTGGCTTCTATTTTATCTCGTCCTGAAAGGAGATCAAATGTTTTATCCCTTTGTGATGCTTCAGATATTCTGCGAGATGCTTATGCTCGGACTGAAGCTGACATGAGTCATGAGTACGAGGTTCTTTCCTTCCTTATGAAGTTCATATTCATGAGTTGTTAATGATGAGTAAATGTGACTTATTGTAAATATGAAGATGCAATTATTTTTAAATGTTCACATGACTGGTTTAATTTAAGTAAATCAATGCTCTTAAAAATTAAAATGTCTAAGTTAGTCATACCTTCATCTCTTGTGCTTTGTTTATTGTCTTCCATCTCGTATTGCCATGAAAGATTTAAAAGAAATATAGTGTTCTGGTAAAATTTCTCTATGATATTGGTGTTGAACGGGTGACATGGAAAATAGTATAGTGACACTAGGGCATCAAGCATAATAATCCTGCTATTTCATCTTTTTCCTGAAATGCTATAGCAAATGGCAAACCAAAGTGTATAATATTGTAACAGAGTACATTGTCTGTATATGCACCAAACATTTAATGAAGGGGTGGGATCATCCTATATATCAGAGAGAAAATTTACTAGCTACTTTTTTTTTTATTTGCACATTTGCTAACCTTTTGACTTTTTTTACTTTTTCAAAATTGGATGTTGAAACATGTAAAGCAGTTAGCATTTACAAATAATAATTACTATACTGTGTTTTTCAATGGATATAAGTAGCTATGACAAATGGGTGCTTTGATTTGCTTTCCTTGGATGGTGGAAACCTATTAACACTGTCAAGTGCTGCAATTAGTTTTCAGCTCTTTGCAATCCGGGAATAGCAATGTCAATTTGTTGATGAACATAAGTACGTACATGATATCAAATGGATACTTTAATTTGTTTTCCTTGGATGGCTGAAGTGGTGAAACCTACTTTCAATGTTGACTTCTGATAGTAGTTCTCAGTTTTTTGCACTCTGTAAATACAAAGTCAATACAAACAACTTTGGGATAAAGTTATCTTGTATACTTGCTAGGTGTTTACTTTAGAAAATAAAACCAGTTTCATTTCATCATTATAATTTAAATCTTTTCAGGGTTGTACTGCAACGCTTCTTTTGATTTGGTTTGACAATAATAGAAAACTCTTCGCACAGTGCGCAAACTTGGGTGATTCAGCTTGTGTTATGAAGTATGCTTCTTTTAATGTATCTATGTAAATTGTTGGTAATTCTATGATTCTATTATTTTTGTGATAATTTAATAGATGATAATTTGTTCAAGAAGTACAATATATCATTTATGTATGTATCACTTTGTTCATGACATACCTATTGCTTACATGCATTTTGCCACATGAATTCACATGGGTCATCTAACAGCATGTCTTTCGAGGATACATAACCATCATGCTTTAGAAATTTATCCACATGAAATGAGGGAACTTTATCGGCTGGTTTTTGCTTAACTAAACAGAGAGAAACTTACCAAAATTCTAGTAGACCTGGAGAAAAGTCTAGGAGCAGGGAAGGACAATCCTTGCTCTAGGAAAAATCATCGTCTCTAGGGCACCACTAAGCTAAAGAGCCAATGCAACATGACTTGTATAGATTGCTTGTTTTATGATGATTAAAATCCATTCTGCTGAGTGCTGAATCTTTACACTAAATGTCATGATTTTTGTTCGAAGAGTCGGTTAAAATATACTTAGATACAACTGTCATCTGAGTATGCCTGGTTTAGGGCCTGTACCAGACAGTACAAGATGGTACAGGCCCTATACTGGGTACTTCCCCCCGTGGGAAGTTTCATTTTTTTTGTTTTTTTAGTGTTTTTCATTCTTTTATCCAAAACTCATTGCGTATTGGTGTACGGACACTCAGTACAACAGTATCATACCCTTCTGAACCATGATTGGTATAGTACCAGTACACAAAATTGTTGAACCTTGAGTATATCCACTAATTACATGTTGTAAGAGATATATTATGTATGTTACTGTAGTCACTAGTGTTACATCAAAGATGTCTAGTGAGTTCCTATTAGTATTAAGATGACATCAAAGATAAATCCTTAGCATTTTACTTTTGTAATGAAAGAACTTAATAGTCATGTATAATATACACCTCGGTATATTTTATATGCAAGTGATATTAGTTGATGAGAGTTTGAATGGAGCAAATACTAAACTTGAGTCATGGAGATATATGTTGGAAAATAAAATTTTAGATTAAGTAGGACTAAGATTGTATTTAGGAGATTTAATTTTAGTAATATTAGTAATATTAAGAGATTAATTGAGGATATAGTATAAGAGAAAAACTAACTAGATAAATGTTGGAAATTAAAGGATTTAGATTAAGTAGGATTAATATTGTATGTATGAAATGTAATTTAGTAATATTAAGAGAAGAATCAAGGATTTAGTTTAAGAGAAGTCCTGTGGATATTGTTAAGTTGGATGAACAAAAAGTACTAGTACCTAAAAGTCCTAAAAGTTTTAAGTATCTTACAATCAACATGATGGAGCTTTTAACGAAAATATTGTTCTTTAAGAATTGGATGGTTAAAGTGAAGGGAGATGTTAAGAGCTTTGTATGATTACTAAGTACCTATTAGATTCAAAAGAAAATTCTATAAGATGAACTAGCTATGCTTTTGGATCTGAGTATTAGGAGGCTACGAAGCAACATGTATAAAAGGCATGTCATTCAGATCATAATGTTGAGATGGATTTTTGAGGCAATTAGGAAATATTAAAAAAATATTTTCATTTTTAAATAATTAGGTGTAACTTTGATAAGAAAAAAATGAAGAAAATTTGTTTAAAACAGTATAGACATATAGTTATAAGAGATGATACAATTAGGATTAGTGATATGGAGAGAGGTCAAGGTAGACTTAAGAAAATCTTATTTAAAATTTGAAGTAAAGATTTAAGTCTCTTACTTTAACTAATGATATTGCATTGTATGTAACTTAGTGAGAGATGTGTAGCCAACTCAAATAATTGGGGTACCGCAGCTCATTTTTATTGTTGCAGTTTCATGTTTAAATAATCACAAACTTGATGAGTAGTCATGGGCCCTTGTTGATTGGGAACTTTACCTGGCGTAGAACTAGGATGGGTTGGTTCTGGATGGTAACAACAATCTTTCTGTTTGTCTTCCTGTTTGGCTGAAATTGTCATGATATCAATTTTTTGCATATGTTGTGTTGTATGTATACATGAGACCACGTCTCAAGTATCTCTCCAAAGTATTTATTAATCAAAATATATACGAGGCTCACCTTAATGGAGGATGTCAAGTGGTTCAATATGTTAGTCTTCCCTCTAAATATATAGACTGACCGTTTCCATGACTCGAACCATTACTTTTATTAATTACAATCACGGAAACCATTGTGTCAATCTTACTTTTATTAATTAAAATATACAATAAATAATTTAAGGAGATTATTTCAAACCAATTCATAGGAACTTTTCAAAGTTTCTATCTGCAATTTTGCCATTGTATCTTTACCTTGTTTTCATTGATTGCCTAAATGTTGTCTTCATTGCAGTGTTAATGGAAAGCTTATCCCTATGACAGAGGATCATAGGGTAACTAGTACAACTGAACGTGCTCGCTTTGCCAAATTAGGAAAACCATTAAAAGAAAGTGAAACACGCCTTTGTGGTAATTCCGTGATACTCTTATGTAATGCACCAGTTGCAAAGATTCCTTGTAGCATGGTATCAGGCAGAAAACTATTGAAGGGCCAGCTTATATATATGAATTTTATATTTAACTATTTTCTGTTCTTACAGGATTAAACATTAGCCGAATGCTTGGTGACAAGTTTCTGAAAGAACAAGATGACCACTTCAGTTCAGAGCCGTACATAAGCCAGGTTGTGGCAATTGAGAATTCATGCACAGCATTTGCATTGATAGCAAGGTAGTCTACCTTACTTCTACTTGCACATAAAATAAATATTTCTCTTGATCTTTGTTGACTTCCATATAACTTTTATGCATATTTTTATTTTTTTATAGTGATGGACTGTGGGATGTTATCAGCATGAAAAAGACAGTGCAGCTTGTCCTTCAGGCATGTAGATCTTTAACATTTCTCTTAAATTAGTATATTTTTCAGGTTTCTTAGTCCTTACTGATCACTTTTAACTTGTATTTCACAGATGAAACAGAAAAGCAATAATGATGATCAAAACTCGGCAGATATGATAGCAAACAATGTGTTGAGTGAAGCTAGAACCTTAAGAACAAAGGATAACACATCTATTATCTTCTTAGATTTTGATGCTTTGAGAACAGATTCTTGTATTACGAAAGCATGAAACTTGCAAAATTTCATGATTTTTGCAGGTCTTAGTAAAATCATGAAATTTGTCAAGGTTTTTTTTTTTTTTTTTTTTTTTTTTTTCATTTTATGGTTTTTATTAAGTTTAGTTGTATCAAAGTAGGCTGGCCTTTCTTTTACTCTCGTAATATATATAACTTTTCTAGGACAAGGCAAAACTTGATCAAGGGTGACTTTCCAAGTTTTTAGTAGATGCTGTTCCATTCCAAATCTTTCTATATAGGGATGCTAACTTAAAGCATCACTCTGATTTCAAAGCTGTAACTAAACATATTATTAGACTTCTTGCTTCTGAAGTTCAAATTGTTTTGTTTACTTGTTCTAACAGGAGTTGCGTTTGTATATCTCACATAATTTTTGTTGAGCGCATAACTCGTTTTTTAGATGTAAGCAATGGTGGTCTGTTCATTTTTTGAATGCCATGCAAGGTTGCCTTTATTTCAGGAAGTAAAAATAGAAACATCAGTCCAAATGTGTTCTAATGGAATTCATCTGATTCAACACCCAAGACTTGGTGAGAATTCTCCACTGCGTAAGAAGATTGTGCTCGCAACTAATTCCTATTGTAGCAAGATTCACGGTGTTCATCGTCTCTCTCATATTGAATATACCATTTGTATGCACATATCATAAGTGCATAAGGCTTGCAATGGATGTTTATTGTGGTAAAACGGTGCTTGTTTACTCTCTGCAATCGATTAAACTGTTCATACAGTTGTATGATTCAGGTCTCTCGTGTTTAAAATTTTCTTGTCGTGCAGATATGATGGGCCTAAACTTTAGGCATCTAAAGGAATTGTAATACAGGAAGCGTTCAAAGTTCATATCGACCTCTTATTCTTTTTTTTTTTGTTATTCTATGTCACAAGTGCCATATAAACACTATTTTTGTAGCCATTCAAGGTGGATGCTGTATCATCGGTTTCAGGACTGTAACTTTAGCAAGGAAAAAGGGTATCGCTTTTTATTTGTTTAGGTTATTGTGGTTTCCAGCAAGGAACACACTGTTGATATTTCCAAAGAGATTAGGATAAAAAAATCATATAAAGCATAGAAACATTTTTATTGTTCAAGTCTGCTGACATAAACATTTAATCTATCTAATTGCATATCGTATTTAGTTGATGCATTCAATCGAGCTATATGATACAAACATTTTTGGTGTTTCCCATGTCTATACTTAAAAGTTTGGAAATAATATATTATCTTTTTCTTTTCGAAAAAAAAGTTTGGAAATATCATATTTGTTCATTGAAATTTTAATATTATATATTTTAAATATTGATCTCTTCATATGTGTCCATCTTCGTAGGAACACGAGAAATGAGAAAAAGGTCATAATCCAATTTCATGCACTTGTCGCACGCTTGTTCTTTAATCTTTATCATCTATGGCCACTAGTAAGTTTTAAAAAATACTAAATTTTAAATACATCAAATACCTCTTATTATTCTCATCACTTATTTGACTTTTTATATTATAAAATTAAATTTATAGGAGTTATAAAAAATAAGGATGAATTAAAAAAAAAACCTTTAGTTTAAAAAAAATCTTATGAAGCATTTAGACATACCTCCACCCTATTTGTCATATATTTTTTTATCTTGAATAATCGTTTATCACTTGTGGCCTATGGGCGATGATGAGGGTGCACGAATCACCTTCTCACCCACTCTTGATACTAAGAGGGGCATGTAGGCGAAGATGAGAGAGGATTGTGGGCAATGACGAGGGGGGTATGCTTTCAACTAACATGGGAAGGTGGTATAACCAAAGGTGATAAGATGTAAAATCATTATTTATGAAAAAAATTCTCTATTAAAGATTTTGATGGTGGGGGCGTTTTATGATAGTTTTTAAAAATTAAAAGCTTTTTAAGAAATATTAATATCAATTGAAATCAACATAATTATATTGATAGTCAAATAACGTATATTAATTAGAACACAGTTTGTTTAGTCTCAAAGTAATATATATATATATATATATATAAAATATTGGAGTGATGTTTTAACCTTCTTTTTAAAGCACTAGTGAAAACATATACATTTTTCTGAATGTGGAAGAGGAAGGCCTTATATATCCATCCATAAATACTTGATATATCAGTGGAATTCACGTGGCCATAAAATGCTCGGGATACCGCTATCCAGTAGGTCGGCTCCCCCACCTCAAGCCTCTCAGAAGATGAGCAGTTCGTGGAGCTTCGTCCCCCCAACGCTCCAATCCTCGTTCCTCCTTCCCAGGCCGCAACTCTCACCATCTTTTCACCCTAATTTCAAATGGAACAGACTCTCCATTCGCAAAAATAAGGTCACTCTCCTCCTCTTTCCCACGGTTCGATATCTAGCGCTGCTATTAACCTCTTTTGTGTTTGCCCAGCTACAGGCTCCTCGATGCGTCTCTCCAAAAACTCAAAGCTCACAGCTCGACAAGTTCGCTTTGCTTCTCCAGTATGGAGCCATTTTGGCAGCAGTTAGTCCAACTTCCCTTGGGTACTCCTTTTACTACCGTCTGTCCATCTTCTGTGAAGCTTTCTTTGGCTCAGGTTGAGGCGCCATCGGCATTGGCAGTGACAGGAAACAACACGGAAGAGGATTTGGTGACGACATTGATATCGGGAGGAATCGTTGCGGTCTTTTATCTGTTCGTGATTCCGGTGAGTCTAGAAAGACTTACTTCTTTCGGATGTAGAGCAGACTCGCTCGTGTTTGTGAAAATGTGTATTGCTTTGTTTTGCAGCCCATCATCATGAACTGGCTGAGGCTGCGATGGTACAAGCGCAAGTTTTTCGAGACTTATCTGCAGTTCATGTGTGTGTTCATCTTCTTTCCTGGGTGAGTAGACTGATCTCAGTTCCTAGGAACACTTGAGCTGGAGTGGTGTTGTCTTTTCTTGTCAGCAACAATCTCACTCACAAGGTCATGTTCATGAATTAAGAGAAAATATTTTGTAGTAGTTATAGAAGATGAGAAATCTACTCGACTGAAATGCTAATGCAGCAACAGAGGAAAAATTAAATTATTTTAGGTGTTTCAATTAGATTTGAAAAATAAAATAATTGACACAGAAAAATGAGCTAAAATGTGGCTAATTAATCGTGAAACAAACCTTGAAAACACTAATTTATAGTGTTTGGCAGAATTTTTTTAGATCTTCCTCTTATCTTTCTTCGTGCCACTGATACTTATTGTCTCATAATCTTCTATAGCATCTATAGTTCTCTTTAGCACATATCATATATGTTACCTGTAGCTTCATCAAAATTGAAGATTCAGGTTGTTCAGAATCAGAAGGTATTCATTCAGTCTAATTTTGTATTCTTCTTCTATGGTAAATAAGCATTTGACTCAATTTAGATACTTGAAACCATAATGTATACTAAGCTGATACATTCTACTATGACACAATTGGTAGGGACTTTTCTACAAAGCAGACATATGGCATCATAGAAATCATTTCATGTATTCCAACTAATGAATGCTGATACCAGTTCTCTTTAATGTGAATCAAGGTTGATGTTATGGGCACCATTTCTCAACTTCAGGAAGCTTCCGAGGGATCCGACAATGGAGTATCCTTGGTCTACTCCAAAAGATGATGTCCCCTTGTATAAATCAAGATGATGTCCGTTTAAATGTTTATATCTGTGTCCACTGATATACTTGTATACAGAATCTAATGACTATACTCTCTTAAATACTCAAATATCTGTATGCCACTGTTACACCTCAACTTGTGAAATTCTTGATTTTATAGTGCAAAATTCATGTTTTTTATGTGTTCTTTGTAATCTCTAACAATTTTGTAGTAGAACAAGAAAGAACAAGCTCTAACCAAAGTACTTTCACAGAAGGAAGAGGTCTGCAGGACTGTTTCATGACCATTTACTATGTGTTTTGCTTCAATCACATATTAAAGAACAGTAAAATGTAGCCTTTACTGCTAAAACAACTGCTTCCCACTTCTCTTCCCTCCTCGTGATATATGTCTTTCAAAATTGGAATCCTGGCATGAAATGACATGGAATAGGGAAGGCTTTTAGATGAACCAGCCCTTTCAGTATTGAGTACTTGCTCAGTGCATTTTGTAGATGATGCAGTTTTTTTTCTTTTGGTGTTATTATGACTTCAGCTCTTTGGTTTCCCTCAAGACCATTCTCTATTCTTCCAAATTAGCTTTGGGCTTATAGATTTCAGTAAGAGGATGAGCTTGTTAGATCACTCCTTTTATGATCCAGGTGATTAGAGTCAGAGTTGGTTCTGAATACAAGACTTTTCATTCTGCTTCCATTGATGAATGTTGTTGCATCTAAGCTAAGTTTGACCTAGATATATACATTATACGGGAACTTCCCCTTCACTGAAAGCTATCTATGAAACATGATCTATGTCTGTATATTCTTGACAATTTTAGATGTTAAACAAATTTAGAGGTACTTTATTTAACTAAATGAGAGTTGAAAAATACAACCATGATTATTATTATTTTTCCTTCAACATTTCATGTTGGGAATTCTAGGCTTAGCTCAAGTCTCAGTGCCAAAGTAAGGAAAAATCATATCAATCATCAAGATCTTTATCAACCTAGCTAGCTAGCTAACATATTAAATAATGTTGATCATTGATCAGATGCTTATAAATTTTTTTTGTCATGACTTTTATTGCTTGCACTTCCTCTTCTTGTCCAACTGTTCTATTTCTCCTTGCAAAACCTTCAGTTCTAATAATATTTAGAAACCAATCTGCAACTTTGTTTCCTACTTCATATACATGTAAAATTTTGGCATTCACAATTCTGAACATATTTCTATTCATATTCACAGCTTTTATATACATGTAAAATTTTAGCAGTCACAATTCTGAACATATTTCTATTCATATTCACAGCTTTCCATGGAGTCTCAATCTCCTTGTTATGGATCTTGTCGACCTAATTCTATTCCTAACATGATAATTATGAGTTCTTTATAGAGACTCGATTTATCTTATCCTGATGTGTCTGTGCGATGACCCATCTCAGAATCTCCTTCAGACTCATATGTGGCAGCACTACAATGCATCATGTAGGATATTGTCCTATAATGAATTTATAATCCGAATTGAATTTAAATTATTTAGGGTTTAAATTTAGGCCGTTCAAATCACAACCAAATTGTTCCATGTACGATATGATCAAACTCGAACCGCACCGGTCCGGTCTGAGTTCGAATCCGTTTCGATTTGCACTCTTGGGAACGTTTATCGGCGTTATAATGGAGACCCGATATAAAGTAACGGCGTTACGCTATATAGGACGCATGGTCGCTCGGGTTGGATAGCTTCCGACCGATATAGGCCAAAGCGATCCCTAAGAACCGGATGAAGCCGCGGCACTCCTCAAAACTAGAGGTAAAAGCCGTAATCACTGACCTTCCCCAGAATAAGAGAAGAGAGAAGAGTCCAGGAGAAACCCTAAAAGTAGGTTCCGTCTTTGCTCGAATAACGCTTCTCCCCAAATTTTCAGGCTTGGAAAGCAATTTCAACGATTAATTTTGAGTCCATGTCTGTGGAATCTTCCCGCTTCTTCTCTCGGCGGGGGTTTTTTTTTTTTGTTCTCGTCGATTTTATTGACTTTCGTTTGATCGATTACATAGGGTTTGCTGGCTTTGTTTTCTTGCTTTTCGTGATATGGAGCAGATTTATATACTGTTGATTCAATGCAAGCGTTATTTTTTCGTTTTATGTTGTTCTCTTCATGTTATGGGCAAATTGATTTCTTTTTTCATAAAAAAATGATCTTGTGTTGCTCTATACAAGGAAATTGAATGGTATTTTTCTAGTTTCGAGGCACTCAATCTCGACGCTGCCAATTAATTTTTTGTTCTATTACTTAATAATGTTCCATCAAATCTGAGACTTCATATTATGCTTCCTGTACAGATTGTGGAAGCCACTGGCTTGATATAAATCAATCATAGACCTCTCGGTTGCTTTTCCCCTTAGTTCCAATCGAATATAGTTGCAATGTATGCAAGGAGATTGAAGTGTAGAATACAGAAGTGGGATTCTTTGCGCCTAGAATTTTGGAATTTATCTAGGTTAAGCAGAAGGGGTGTTTCCCAAAGCTCTTATAGCAGATGCAGCCCTCAAATTGATACTGATCCACCACTAAGAGACTCTCTTGTTAGAAAGTTCTGCTCACCTGCAATTTCTCCTTGGAGACAAGATATATTTAGTAGTAGGTATAGTCCTAGCATCTCATATAATTGCTGTAGATTTTACAGCTCTGAGGGTGATGGAAGTAGTGCCAGTGGCGGCAAACACGTGCCGGTCAAAGGTGCCACTAATTTTGATAAGGAGAGTACAAGCAAGGAGGATACTTTTTCGGATTCAAATCGCTGTAATGAACATGCTTGGCTCGGGGAACAGGACCAACTTGATTGGCTTAACTGTGAGAAGTTATCAATTGATAGCAAAAGGAAAGAATGCCCTTTTCTTACCAAGAGAGAGCGGTTCAAGAATGAGTTCATGCGGAGGGTTGTTCCATGGGATAAGATCAAGGTTTCCTGGGATAAGTTCCCGTATCATATTCGGTAAGTCTTTTTATAAGATCCTTCTATACTTAATCTTTGATGCTGTAACCTTTTTTATTTTATTCTACCAGTGAACACACAAAGAACCTATTGGTTGAATGTGCTGCTTCGCATTTGAAACACAAAAACTTTACATCGTCTTATGGTGCTCGACTGACCTCTTCGAGTGGAAGGATATTGTTACAGGGATTCCCAGGTTGCTTATGGAAAGCCATTATATGTGTGTTTTCTGTTGAACTTCTTATTCTCACCAATTGTGAATTTAATAATATTCGGAATCTGGATACTGTTTGTAGGAACTGAACTCTGTAGAGAAAGAATAGTGAGAGCTGTTGCTCGGGATTTGCAGGTCCCTTTGCTGGTCCTTGACAGCAATGTTCTTGCTCCATATGTAAGAGCAGAATCTGTCATCAGTAGTCACTCACCATCTCTCTGAGTTGATTTCTGGCTTGATATGAGATGTCTGACATCTCTTGCTTGTTACTTTGTGCAGGACTTTGGTCAAGAGTGTGCTTCTGAAAGTGACACAGATGATGGTCATGTGGAATCGGGAGAAGAATGCACATCTGAATCAGAGGCTGAAGATGGAAATGATTTAAGCAATGAAGAATGGACAAGCAGTAATGAAAGCAAATCAGGTGAAAGCGATGATGACGTCGATGTTCGAGCTTCTGCTGAGGCTCTCAAGAAGCTTGTGCCTTGCAGCCTTGAGGAATTTGCAAAGGTACGTCGCTAATGCTCTTGCTAAATTTATGATCAAGAAAGATGCTGTAGTTTCAACTTTCAACGAAGAAAAATGTTAATAAAGCCTGGAAATTTATTGGTATAGCTTCAACTTACAATCTAACTCTTGGAACCCCACTCTTTGAAGCTCCACCTAAACCTGCCTCATACTCATGTCAACCGTATATTGGATGACACATATTTGCTTAATTTCTTAGAAGTTTAGCATATACAAAGAATAGGAGCCAACATAAGAGATATAGATGCGAGAGAATTCAGGGGGAGTAAAGAAGATGTAATAGTTCTGTTATGGGGGGAACTTCTATTTCATTTTCATTCATGCTTATACTCTGTGGAACTACCTGAATCCTCTGTTATAGCTTTCTACTATATTCTTATTCAATCGACTTATTGATTGCTAAATTGAAGGAAGAATTTGCGAATGTTAGTTTGAGTGGTTGGTTGGTAAGGCTTTCTTACTGTGATTTTGAGTCTAATGCATGTAAAGGGCAGCTTCATAAAGCTGAAATGCATAATCTATATTGAATAGAACAATATGTAGCAAAAAATGGGGGAAAGGTGATATGGAAGGAACATATAAGACAATCTATTGGATACATAGAATTAGAAAGGTGATGAGGACAAACCAGCATTCTAGTGATGATTATAGACTACTGGACTTCAAAAATACCTAGATGATTAACAAGTTAGATTCAATCATATAACATTTAATCAACTAATTAGTTCTGACTGACTTCTGAGTCCTATGACTCATAAACTCATAACCACAGCTATTTCTTTCAGAATCTTTTGTCTAGAAGAAGTCTAGAAAACAGTTCTTGCCAAATCCTGATGTGGCAAATGGACCTGTGTTTGCTGTACACAGGCAGTAGCAGTGACTCAGGTCTGATTTGGTACCCAAGGTAAAATCTGCTCCAGCAGAGATAATCCATCAAAGAAACTTCTGCAGTATTATTATGTTTGGCAAGAAAGAAAGCAGATACAAAAAAGAGAAAGTCTACTGCAGTATTCTGGTGAAGAGAAGATAAAAGAAGGAAAGAGAGAAAAAAAAGAGAAGAGGGTGATAGAGACAAGAGGATAACAAATCAATGCATTATGCATCATCTAATTACGGTAGTATTGAGTTAATTTCAGTTTTGAGCAGATTTTGGTCTAACTATATGGCACTATTAGCCCTAATGGAGTCAGTTTTTGTTTATTTCTGGTTGAAAGTTTGTCTTATTGGTCTGTCTTGTTAGATTCACATTTAGGGTTTATTTAATGTAAGTGATTCTGGTTGAGCTTGCTTCAGTTTCACTGTTAATGTTGGGACCTCGGTACTCTTTATAGAAGGAAATTGTCTTCCCTATGCCTATCCAACTGAGCAATTTTGGATCTACCAATCAGTTGTTAATCTGAGAAGAGTTCTGTTTGAACTTTAATCTTTGGTAAAAGGAGGAAACATGTGACCCTTCCAATGTTGAGGTTGGTTACAACTTACAATTGGACAGGAGAGCTTGATACCAGTGTAGAAGCCTTTCTGGATGGAAATTTGAAAGCAGAAAAAAAGAAAAAGCAAAATGCATCAATTTGTTTGCTTCTTTCTATCTAAGAGAGTTTTATAGTTTTTTGTAAATTGGATCTACATGTAACAGGGAGTGATGTGCTATGAAAAAAAATTCTGTTTTAGAAACTGATTAGAAAAAAAAAAGAGTCACTTTAAGCATTGATTGGAAGGGGAATTTCCCTCGAAATTCTGTTATTTCACTAAAATACCCTCTTATCCTCTCAGAATTGGGAAGCTTAGAGATTATGGTTAGCTACTTGGAACATGGGGATTTGGATTCCTGGATTGTTCATGGAACTTGAAGTTCCATAGGTAAGGGCCTCATATATTCTTGGCTAAATAAGAACATGTATGAAAATTATCCACCAAACTCAGAATAAGTTGAAATTTAAAAATTCCATGTAGGGATTTCAAAATTTAGCCAAATACAAAATGAACTTTAGCATCATGGTATGGTTGCCTATTGCAGACTGGTAATTATGGTTTTAGTCACATAAACAATGTTGTTGCTAAAATTATATATTGGTCCTCTCTGTCCCTTGCATTGGCGAGAGGCTCATGTGCCGGATTGCCGTTTTTAGCCAAATACAAAACAAGGATTCTGTCAAAACTTGAAGTTTTATTTGGGTGTTTAGAAAGGTCTCAGGATTTCTAATGGCTGTACTAGACTAGACCTTAGGGTTACTGGCCTAATTATGTATTTCTTTTCTAGTCTCTTCCTCCCATCTGCCTCTAATTCTCTCTGTTTTCTTGTCACTAATTGATGATAAATTAAAACTTCAGATTTATAGGATTAAGTAGTGTGAGATAACGAGGTTAACTATATATAAAAGGAAGTCACCAGGTTTAGGGATGAAATTGTTTGGTCAATTTTTGAACTATATCCTAAGAGTCTGAATAGAGGATGTATGGTGTTTTACAAGTCTGTAAACAGCTGTATGCTTATGAAATTGACAACTAATGGCAATATAAAACAAGGGCTCTTATCAAATTTTCACTTTATTTTTATTAACTCTTTGATTACCATGATTTTATTTTATCAACTTGGTTTATCCCCTGTTGACAAAGAGGCCGAACAAGGAGGAAACAGTAGACTATTCAGTTTATATTTAGGTTATATTATATCTGATTTGAGCCCCTTGGCCGCAATTTCTTCGTATTTACTTGTTTACATTATTATTACTCTAGTCCTTGTATCTGTTCTTCTCCACAGTGATATGATGTCTTGATTCTTTTACAACAAGTCACTGTTAGGCTAGTGATCGACATTTTGGATGTCACAATTCAGAAAATGGATTGTTAACGTTCTGGATTATAAGAAGCAAAATTCCAGTGTGCCAAAGAAAGCAAGGGAAAAAGATAGAAATAGATGGCAATTACTATTGTTTGGGCTAGCCATCCTTATGGATCAACCTTCCTTCCTTACACATGTATATTTGTATATATGTGTTGTCCATGTTCCAGATAAACTGATTTCGTTTCAACTGAATGTATTGAAGAGGTTTACCATTATTGTACTATATTCTTGGACTAGTACTTTTTTTTTAATGTTCTTGTCTTTATTCCATGTATGCGATCCATTTCATAGGCCTTGATTGGCGGAAACAACGACACAGAAGAGCTTATGAAGAACAGTCAGAAAAAGAACAAAAAGCAATTTTGATTGAGTTTGACACTTTGACTAACTTGTTTTGCTTTTGCTTCAGTGCCCATGATTTGAAATGGCCAAAGGGTATATGGGTTTCTTATTGCTTGGTGGAAATACTTCTATTTTCTTCTTCACACGGATGGTTTTTTGAAAATACTACAGGAAGATCTGTGCATCATGCATTTAACCATGTATGCAATCCATTTCGTAGGCCTTGATTGGCAGAAACAACCATACAAAAGAGCTTATGAAGAACAGCTGTAGATAAAGAATAAAAAACAATTTTGGATTGAACACTTTGAGTAATTGTTTTGCTTTTGCTTCAATGCCCGTAATTTGAAATGGCCTGAGTATATGGGTTTCTTATTGCTTGGTGGAAATTCTTCTATGCCTTTTCATAAGGATGATTTTTGGAAAATATTACAGGAAGTTCTGTGCAAATTTTGTGCAAACCCAGTTGGTTGTTGATGATCTGTCGAGAAATCAATTGATTCTTTATGGGAATGTCCGATGCTGATGAATTTCAACTGATTCCGACTATTTTTAGACTGATTCCGAATGCTGTCGATTTCTTCTATTTGTGAAATCACTCTATCTTTGCTTTAGATCTGTTCCTATCCAAATTGGTCAATCCATGTTGGAACAGTCAGTTTTGATGATTATGCTTAAGATCTTGGTTGAATTTAATTAGTCAGTCATCATTAGCAGATACTTTTAATTCTGCAAATTTGCACTCTCTAAAATTTTAGTAGTGTGATTTTCTTTCTTGGCTTGGTTTTCTGCGATTTCACGTTGGTGTATGTCTTCTAGGTTGGTCGGATTATTGGCTTTAGGTTCGTATACAACAAAATAGCAAGCTGTAATGTCCCAACTATGACTTTAAGACTGTTATCTGTTTCATATTGTACTGCAGAGAGTTGCTGGCGAAGTTGAAAGTTCCTCTACATCAAATGAGCCAGATGCCACTGCATCACCTGAGCAGTCAAAAAGACCATTTAAAAAAGGTAATAAACTTAATGTCAAAAAGACCATTATAAAACTTATTATAGATGATTCAATTTCTTTAATTTCTTTTTGTGAGTTTTAAGTATCCTTACCCTCTTCATTGTCGTGCATGCTTAGTCCATTTTGTATATTCTTTCAGGGGATCGCGTGAAGTATCTTGGTGCTTCAGTTCATATTGAAGTTGATAATAGGTGCTTCTTTAATCTTTTTTCCTTCTTTTATTTCATTTAGTAGTGGAGAGAAATGCAACCTTTGTCCCTTCAGTTGATTATTGTGCATGCTTAGTACTTTTTGCTAAACATCTCATGAGTAGTTATCTTTATATTTTAACTTGGAATGCAATAGACTTTGCCGACTTAAGTGCTGGTGATGCCTTAAGTTATGGATGGAAGATCATATTATTAGTTGATACGAATATTTTGTGAAAACCTAAATACTAATTGAACTTTGAAATATATAGCTGATTGTTTATTGTGTCTTCATGATGATTGTGATTTTTGTGAATGCTTTGTCTCCAGATTTTGTTCATGTTATCTTCTCAAGACAAATTGTCTTTCTGTAAGTAGCACATCACTTTTTTTATCAGCATCTACATAGTTTTACAGACAAAGAGTTTATGACAAGTAAAAGATCAGTTTAGTGGTATACATTGCCATATTGGTTTGCTTTGTTGGTCAAAAGAAATGTTTAATATTGTTGGTCTGTGTAGTGAAATATGTGACTTGGATCATGGGAAGTTGGTTAAAACTAGGATTGAACATCCTGTAATACTGTGTATAATAGTTGGGCACATGGTTTTAAATACCCTGTGGATTGGTAGGTATGGACCGGTTTACAGTTTGGCCTATTGATTCTGACCATATAGGTTGGTTCTGATCAATGTTTAATCTTTTTATTATATTTGATGATACCAGACTATACAAGCTGGTATGTAGCCCAATAATACTAATACTATATCTTGTCCAACCTGTTGCAGAAATCTGTGGACCTGTATTTAAAACTATCGTTGGAAAGTCTCTGTTCAAATTTTGCTTCTGACATAACCTGGTTCTATTGATATATAGTTTTGGAATTTTCTTTGTGTTGGCATGTGACCAGCTTTTGTTAATGAGACTGATACTTCATGTTGTATTCTGCTGCCCTTCTGGTTTTCAATTTTGTTTCTTGGAAATATGTATAGTTATCACTTAATATATACTTGTTTTTTGTGAGGAAATTATGGTTCTCTTGTGATCTTAAATATCAATTTTTAGCTTTTCTTCCACCTGTATGTAGGTTACTATGTTCAAGATTGGCACCTCTTGCCTAAAGTTACTTTTGACTATAGATTTCACAGTAATTTTTATAATGCTGATTCACATTGTCTACTTAGTTCTTCAAGCCATCTGAGCTTTTCTAAAATGATTATGGTAATTATCATAACCATTATAAAGATGATCAAATGGAATTTTCATTGATAGAGTAGGAACAGGCATATGCAGGGTATGTATTCAACATGTGATGCATGAGATTGATAATTCCATTCTTCTTCTTCCTTTTTCATTGTGAGATTGTTGATTCCGTTGTTCTCGATTATTGACAGATCCAGTAGCAAATCTTTCATCTTTTCTCTTGACACTTTCATTCAAGACCCTGGAAGTCTATCACAGCCTTTGTATCTACAACAGAATGTGGTTATACCGTTAGAATACAAATATCTAAATAGTTGATCAAAATTAAAATGGAAAAATAATTTAAGTGTGAATATCTTCCATAAAAAAGACAATTGATTGCTTACAAAATATCTGAATTTGTTTTTCATGGTTCTTTGTTTATTTAATCAAGTATTCTGTTCTATAACATTTCAGAGGGGGGCAGTTTAAGTGCTTATAGATATTTAATTTCCTATGGAAAAAGTTTAAGTTAGTTTTTAAGTTTTATGCTTTTGTAATAGCCCAACAATGTGAATATCTATTTTTAATTTTCAATGTGCTTCTTAGTGTAGGTAACTTAGAGAACAGAATATATAAAATTGGGATTTTAAGACGGTTAGTTTGGATTAGATTATGTAATGGAAAAGATTCAGGAATAAATCTCTTATACTGGTGAAAGCTAGGATCGTTTCACCTCCTTTATTTCCTAAAGATTGTTGTTTGTTCCAACCTTTTTAAGCTTCATCCCACCTCATTGAGCTACATCTTTATTAGATTCTAATTCTTAGCATATATATCACAGGATCATATTGGGGAAGATACCAACTTCTGATGGCTCAACAAATGCCTTTACATTTGTTAGTGGCAGGTGGGTGGGTAAGTTTTCCTATGTAGCATAGGATAACTATTGGATCACATGTCGATCAGCCTTGTGCAAAAGTCATGTGCTTTGGAACTGTACCATTGTTGTCATATTTCTAATAATTATGTATCATTTTAGTTTGAGGCAGAATGCTGACGTTTCCCTTATCATCTTTACCCTTATGCTTCATGAAACCATCTTATATTGATGGCTTTAGTTCTTTCTTTGCCACAAAAACTAGAGGCCAGGATAGTCGACCAGGATTTTTGTATAGGAGGTCTTCTCTTTTGAAGTCCGAGATGGTGTTACTCACCTAGCAAATATCAATGCTCTTCTTAACTTCCCATGATTGATTGCAAGTAATATTATGAGGGTTAAGCTTGTGTTTACTACTATATACTGTTGCTTACTTGCTTACTACTAATATTATCTGATTTTAGATGCACATTTACTATGCTTTGTCCCCATCCTCTTAGATAGTCTTTTAATTTGGATTCTTAACATGTCATCTAATCTTGCTATTTTCCAGGTCTCTGTCTACTGGACAGCGTGGAGAAGTATACGAGGTCAATGGTGACCAAGTAGCTGTAATTCTTGACAATACTGGGAATAAAGTGGAGGAAGAAAATAGTGAAACTACCAAGGAACAAGATGCAAAACCATCTATTTATTGGATTGACAGTATGATTCTTTTCCACTCTAATATGAAATCTTCTCATTAATAAGTGTTAATATTTGCTGCATTTATAGATCTGTTTTTGATCTCTTTCAATCCAACCGCGTATAATTGCATAAAACCTGTAGAATCCAGCTAAGCTTTATTATTTTTTCAATTAGTTATTTGTTCTTTAACTGGTCCAAGGTACTCGAAAGATTAGTTCATACTTCATAGCCTTGGCCGATCTCTAACTTTGACATGGTTCATTTTGTAACATGTTCTTCCTGTGGTTTACGATATTTGCTGTAGCAGCAGCTTCTAGTATAAGGTCGACCCAACAAACAGGATGTCGATATTGACGTTCAATATTTATTTGATCTCATGATAAACTCTGGATTTTGTTTATTTGATCATAGGTTGTAATGTAAAAAAACTTATGGATCTTGTTTTGAAATTCATAAGTAATAGAGAAGAATACTCAGGAAGTTCTTCTAGTGGAAGACATTGTGACAGTGTAATTGGGTTCTCACCAGCAGCAGTTTACAAGGTGCTGATTTCTTAAACTCCTAAAACTGAAGAAATCACTAAAGACCCTTAAGAAGTTTGAAGATGCCTTTCTGCCCTTCCAAAATATGAAATTTTGCATATATCCTCCTGGGCTTCCATGCATCTTCACATCCTTTTGGTGAAGGATTATTTCATTATTACTTGAAAAAACCATTGAAGAATTTTAGAATTGAAGTCCTAAACATGGCATCTCTGAGCTGACTGCCTGGATGAACTGTATTTACTGTAACATGTACTGGATGATTAATTCTGCATTCAGAGGGAGGTGGTCATGCTAGTTATTATACCTAGGAACAGCTCATAGCACACACTAATCCTTCATGTGTTCTTTTGTGGTGTTCATGTACCAGGACACAGATGGGGTAATTAATGAAAGAATTCATGAAGTTACTCTTGAAATGTTGATTTGCTTTGTTCTTGAATGTTTGAATATCTTGTTAGTTTCTTGTTTCATATTTATAACAAAAGTTTTATATAACCATCTATGCTTAAGCGCAAAACCCTCAATGGCCAGGATGAGTCATTATTAACCTGGCCAATCCACGGCTAGAATGAATTAGAATGAGCACAATTTGGCAAGTAGATGCCATGCAAATTTGAGAATTTGGAGGGTTTGCATTCCTTTTTAACTTTTTAAAGGTAATTATTTAATTATATGTACACATAATACATGTTTCCATATATGTAAGCATGCACTGGAGAAGCTATTAAGTTGTCTGTGTGATAAGGAATCCAAAGAGATGTGGAGAAATTCTATAATGACAGAATATTGGGAAACAATGTGAGATGTTTCTTCATTATTATGATATAATGTGCAAAACAACTGCATAATAGAAATGTTCATTAAGTATTAACATGCATTATACTTGAAGTTCCTTTTTCATATGTATGATTTTTGCTGTTGTCTCAGCACTTGAACTTGTATTTACTGAAATTGAAAATATTGGTACTTTTTTGTGTGACTATTTAATGCATTGCCTGCTAAACTTCTTGTGACCTTTTCATATGTATGATTTTTGCTGTTGTCTCAACACTTGAACTTGTATTCACAGAAATTGAAAATATTGGTACTTTTTTGTGTGACAATTTAATGCACAGGCTAAACTTCTTGTGACCTTTTTCATATGTATGATTTTTGCTGTTGTCTCAACACTTGAACTTGTATTCACAAATTGAAAATATTGGTACTTTTTTGTGTGACTATTAATGCATTGCGTGCTAAACTTCTTGTGCTTCAATTTTACCATTACCATGAACTAGATATGCTGCTTAGGTTGCATGACTTTCAATCAAGCGCATGAGTGTAATGAAATCATCGCATTCACAACCAAGTGAAACATTTTTTTCTGTTCTTTTCTAGTTCAGGATATTGTGCATGATCTTGATACTCAGGCAGAAGACTGGTACATAGCGATGGAGGCACTTTTTGAGGTGATATGTTTATTGCCTTCCATTCGACTCCTCATTGGTTACTTATATACCAATATATAAATATCATTTTTGTCTATCCTGATATCTTTGTGATTAACCGTTCAACTTTCGTATTTATCTTTTTAATGCACCATGATGGTTACAGTTGGTTCCCTTAGTTTCTTTTTGGTACTTATTGTTATTGTTTATATTCATCTGCAGATTTTACCATCACTACAACCAGTTATCATTTATTTTCCAGACTGTTCTCAGTGGTTGTCACGGGCAGTTCCCAAGTCCAACCGAAAAGAGTTTATCAATGAAGTGATGGAAATGTTTGACCAGATTTCAGGACCTGTTGTTTTGATCTGTGGACAAAGCATAGTAGAGTCAGGGTCGAAGGAGAAAGAAAGATTGGTAAGATCCATCTACTAGGGAAATACATTGAGATATCCTTCTTTTCTGTTAGATATTTTGACGATTATCCTTCTTTATTTATGACTATTGAATAGGCACTTGTCCTGTTTTAAAAGAACTTTCTTCCCTGAATTTTTTTTTGGGACTTATGCAGACAATGTTGCTTCCTGGCCTTGGTCGTGTTGCTCGTCTGGTATTCTTCCCTTTTCTTTGTCTCATTGTTTTTGTTTGCTTTTTTAATTTGTTTTATTTCAGCATTTCTAGAAGATATATTTGTAGACAGGAATAGCATATTATGTTTGAAGTTGAAACTTAGAAATCAGAATAGAAAATAAATCGCTTTGCTGTGAGCAAAACCAAGACATTGATCAGTTTTTCAGTTAACCTATAAAATCGAACTTATTTTTACCTGTAAGCAAGTTGGGCCACTTCTGTTGTCAATTTTAGAATTTTAGTTTTCAAATATGAAAGAGGTGCTTGCTCAATGCCCAATGTAAATTAGCTTGGTACAATATTTGGTGACTATAAAATTCAAGTGCTGAGGTGAGGTGGATATATAGAGTTACTAGGAAAGATAAGAAAGGAGACATTTTCCTTTGTGAACAATCAAATATAGTTTTGATTGATGATAAAATGAGAAAAAAATGTTTAAGATGGCTATATATATGTTCTGTACTTAGAAGATATGATATAATTACTACTAGTGATACTAAGAGAGGTAAAGAATGTCATAAAAAGATTTCTCTAGAAACTATAAATAAATATTTAAATACTCTTAGGATATGACCTTTAAGATATGATTTAATGGTGGTAGAAGATCCATGTGTTGAGCCCAAATCATTGATACATAATGCCTTTATGGTCGTTGTTGTGTAGAAATTTGGGGCAGATTTATAACCTTTAGCCCTATAACAAAGATGTCATTCTGATACCATAAGTTTGTTGGCCCTCTAAAGATTTGATAATACATGATCGAGACTATGACCTTTTTTAACTATGTGTGATATATATTACTGTTATGAGGCCTCATAACTGCATATTTCATAAATTTCTAGCAGTTAAATCAACTATATTGAAAGCAGAAATATTTCATTTTTGTAACGCAACCTTACCTGTGAATGAAGAGGCTGTTTCATGACACAGACACCCAACACCTGGGTTTCTAAGGAGCCTGGTGAATTGGGTTGCTTTATTTCTAATATTTTGCCTGTGTGCCATTTTTTCAAAATTTTCTTTTCTTTCTGTTTATTATCCCTTTTGCTAAAGTGAACTGCCAAAGTACGTCTTGGCTCCTGAAATACATATTGTGAAACAAATCCCAAAATAACCCTTTCTACTTTCATGGCCCATCGGAATGTTGTTTTCAGAATAATCTGGTAAACTAATTCTGCTTTTGTTTTCTAGAGTACACCTGTAAAATTTTGGACTATGTACCTGAAATATCTATTCGATCATACCAACATATAAAATTTGATTGGTTTACCTCATGTTACATTTTTACTTGAGAAATTAACAGAATCACTCTATTGAATAGGAAAGTCAGTCAGAATCGAAAAGAAAACTAGGTGAAAAGACATAACAGATTGTTGATTTGGCTACACCTATAACTACATGATTAATTCCTGTGGAAATGTAAGGGAGACATGGCTTGATTGAGAAGTTTTAGATAAATTTTCAAAGAACTTTTGATTATCATAAGCCAAAAGCAATTTAGAGTAGCCTGAAAATTTTGATACAAGTCATGCCATTGTCAATTGGAAACGGTGTGGGGTGCGTCGAGGTTATGGCTACACTGTGGCTGTGTTGTGACTTGATCTGGCCAACTTGCATGAGACATGCAAAATCTGTATTCACCAGCTCAAGTCAAATTTTCAAATGAATGTAGCTCGACTTCAATGCTCCCTTGTTTTCATTGTTTAGTTTTTGGGTAAAAATTCATGATATCATTCTTTGTTTTCACTTGTTGCAGTGGACAAAACTTCTATAATCTAGCAACTTATGATGTAACCAGTTAGTTTAGTTCATTGTTTGAGTTGATTAAATGATGGTTGTTGCATCTGATAATCGTAATTGGTTTGGTTATACTAACGATGATCGTGGATTTTATTTTATTTTTTCCAGCCCCTGCCATTGAAGCGAATAACTGAGGGTTTGGGAGCAAGTAAATCATCAAAAGAAAAAGATATATGCAAACTTTTCAGTAATGTTATATTTATTCACCCACCTGAGGTATGTAGCAATATATTCTTTTTTTGTTAGTTTGTCTCACCTACCAACACTTGAGAATCAAATCACATTTTAAAAAAGTAACTACCACAATTTTCAGAGCTTTTAGTTTCTAGAAAATAGTTAGACAAGTAACACTATGATAAAATCAAAAGAAGTCAAAAGAAAGTCCAGCTGACCGTGTTAGTCATTGGACTTGAACCATCAGGTCTTGTAGTTTGGTTCTTAACATTTGATGCCTTCTTATAGTGGAGGATGTCCTTGAAGTTCAATTAGTTGGTCATTTGCACCTCAGCGCTTAAAAGTTTGACAATATAGGGAGAAATTCAATAGAAGTTAATGTTATTTTCTTCATTTAATTGAATTACTTTTGTTGGGCAATGGTCTAAAAGTAAAGGATGTTGCTTATTCATTCTTTTTTTTATAGAACATCAGATACGATTTAACAGTGGTCACCAAAATTGAGAGAAGATTTGCATTAGTCTAACCATAGAGATAAAGGACAAGTCTCAACTTCTTTATTGTCTTTGTAAATTGGCATTTTTACTTGCAGGAAGAGGAACAAATCAGAATATTTAATAAACAAATTGAAGAGGACCGAAGAATTATCATATCAAGGAACAATCTCATTGAACTCCATAAGGTGTGCATAATTTCAAGTTAATCTATTAGCTAAACAGTTGGAATTTCTTAAATTCTAAAGAGAATTTGTCAACATTGACTTTTCTGATTTGAATCTTGTTCAGATATCTAACTTATCATTTTGCAGGTTCTTGGGGAGAATGAGATGTTGTGTATGGATCTTTTGCATGTGAAAACTGATGGTGTAATCTTGACGAAGCAGAGTAAGAAAGTTACTGAAATATTATAACTCATTTTTCTTATCATGTACTAAAATTAAAATTTCAGCCTCTCATTTTCTGTGGTGTGTCAGAATATCCCGGCTGTTTTTATTTGTGTTCTCTTGTGTGTGAATGTGTACTATTTTTGAATAAGAACACCAATAAGAAAACTTAAAGTTAGAAGCATGTAAACAGAGTTACTTTTAGCGTGATATGTTGAATTTTATTGCATTAACAAGCAACCACAATCATCTCGTGATCCCTGTATCAACAGGTTTGACATTTTAAGGATTTTAAAGTATCTTGTATGGGAGAATGACATTAGATCAATTCATTTTGATGAGTTCTTGACGTATCTTCAATTTCGTTTGAAGTATTTTAACTTTTGTATCCATGCAATCCATCTGTTGCTCTTTTCTAGACGAGGGCTGTGTTGCCTTATAGTTCATATCTGGTTAATCATTGATGTTTCAATTTGATAGCTGTAGTGAAACTGAGTGCTTGGCTTGAGATCGAGCTTTAGTATTTTAGGAGAGCTTGAGCCAGCTCAAGCTCGACTCATTATAAGTTTGTTTGACTTGTCAAATGAGCTTGGACTTGTAAATGTGATGAGCCAAGCTTGAGCCTGATCTCAAACTGTTCTAAAAGCAAGCTATTCTTTAGTAAATCTTGAAAATATGACTAATACAGTAGATAAGGTCAGATAAACACAATGACAAAAACCAACAAAATGAAAAAGAATAACTACACCAACAAAGAATAACTACAACAAAAACAGCAACATTAAAACTTCATGTATATGTTTCATAATCCATCATAATATGAAGCCATGATCTACCATGCATTCTCGATGATCATTTCTTCTCAATGCCATCAACTATTGATAGTTTCTTCTCAATTCGAATGTAAAATGCACAATGTTAGCTGATTTCTCAGTATTTGAAGATTGAGGCAACAATATGATCATATAAGAAAAAAATAAGAAGTCTTTTTTGCTTTTGTAATATTTTAATTATCATTAACCAGATATGTCAAAACACATTATATGCTTATTGATTTAATAATAATTGAAGGCCACACCATGAACAACTATTTGTGACTTGTAAACAAGTTTCTAGTCATGAGCCTATAAGTGATCTTGTTAATGAGTTTATAAATGAGCTTATTCATGTGTCTATAAAAGAGCTTGTTCACTTTCTTATTAATAGGTTAGGTCATGTGTCTAAAAGAGTTGAGATTTTCCACATTCAACATTGGCTCATTTAAAATTCAGTCTTTGGATGTAGGATTAAATTTTGGTTCATTAACCTTATTGAATGGGCTGGAGTAAGCCATGAATGAGTTGAACGCTGACATACTTGTGAACAATTTGACTCAGTTGCAACCTTAACTATGAGGAATAGTAACTGCTTAGGTTACTGCATATTTTCTTATACAAAAACTGAAATCGGCAATGGATGAGTTAAGAGTAAAGATGTTAAGGTCAATATTATGATGTTTATGGGTACTGAAGTGATGGGACCAAGGTCTGCCATACCGAAGCGTACCGCCCGTACTGGGCGGTATGTATCGGTCCGACAGGTTTCTGGTATGTGGACCGCTCGGTACTGCTATAGTGCTACAGTACTATACTGTAGTACTGCTGCAGTATGAAAAAAAGTAAAAATTGTTCGGTACACCAGGGTATACCGCTCGGTACGCCCTGATGTATCGCCCGGTACACTGGTACCGTACCATACCAAGCTCGGGTCGAAACGTCGGTATGGTACGGTACAGCGAACCTTGGATGAGACTATATCTTCCTCTAGAAGAAATTGACTATAAGGGTAGCATATGTTGTATGGATAAGTGCTCCTTACTTTGCATAAGTTGATTGAGGCAATTTAGAAAGCAAGGATATAGTTCTAGCCCAACTCATATGAGTACTTTCATCTGACACTGAAGAATTTCTTGTTGGAGGGGATTTGAAGTTTATCATGAAAGTAAAATGCTTTTGTTATTGATGAAACACCTTTAATCTGCAATCTCCACTACAATCTTAAGATGAACTTCAGTTTATGAAAGTCTATTTATAGGTTACAAGGTTCATGAAAATAACATATCTACTTCCATGAGTAAGATTGTGTACATTGATCCTCTCTAAACCCATGCAAGTGGGAGGCTTATTCATTGAATGCTTTTTTGTGCTTGATGGTTAATTCCCTTTTTGATCTTATAGATTTGACAGTGTATCAATGCGTCAATATTTGGTTATGTTTTCTTGTTCTTCTTTCTTTAGCCCTTTCCCCCGAATTATTTTTTTGTCGAAGTATACATTCTTTACATTGGGATTAGAACATCTTGCTGCTTACTTAGTTTTGCTTAGTTTAAGTATCTGGAACTTGTATTTGTTCAGGTTCATATAGAAGTGTTGGCTCATAGTTATCATAAACTTCAGTTGCATTAGACACTTTATGTTTCCTGTACTAATTGGTATGAACAGATACATTTTTTGCTTTTCTCTGATGTTCACAGAAGCTGAGAAAGTTGTGGGCTGGGCTAAAAATCACTACCTATCCTCTAGTCTTCTTCCCTCCATTAAGGGTGATAGGTTGATGATACCCTCTGAAAGGTAGCTACTAACATATGTTCATTATCTTAATTTTTTTTATAAGTTTTGGAGATTTGACTTCTTTTTTTTTTTTGAGTTGCAGTTTGGATATTGCAATTGCAAGATTAAAGGAAGAGGAATCAATCTTCAAAAAATCCTCACAAATTCTAGCGGTATTTATGTTGCCCATCCATTCTTTGTGGTCTTGGTTCTTTTTCTCAGGGTGAATATATATGTAATATGTTATTTTTAGTAACATTAGCTGGTGGTGACATTTGATTTCACAATGAATATATCTGCTTGCAGACTATTACCAAGGACGAATTTGAGAAAAACTTTGTCTCAGCGTTAATTCCTCCAGATGAAATAGGTGTAAAATTTGATGATATTGGTGCCCTTGAAGATGTGAAGAGGACATTGAATGAGCTCGTGTCACTTCCTATGAGGAGGCCAGAACTCTTTTCACGTGGCAATCTATTGCGGGTAAATCCTCTCATTAGCAAAATATGGACCTTCATCATTCTGCAGATCTCCTTTGCTTTTGTATTTTTCATTTTCCCATAGTAATCATGCCTCTCTTCATTTTGCCAAGGAGTCTGGACGTCATCTTGATGTTTGCTTGTTTAACATTTCTGACGGATGTGCACTGTATTGGAATATCACATTTAGCTGACTTACAATGGTTTGCAAACTTATTGTCAGCCTTGCAAAGGGGTGTTGCTGTTTGGTCCTCCAGGTACAGGAAAGACACTTCTTGCAAAAGCACTTGCAACAGAAGCTGGAACAAATTTTATCAACATTACAAGTTCCTCACTTACATCTAAGGTATTGTCATTTTACTAAGTTTCAATTACCAAGTCCTTTTAAGGATAAGTTAATCGATTAAACAGATTCAATTGTTGCCTATGGATTGGGTAACCAATGTTTCAAATTAAAGGTGTGCAAACTGATCAGGATGTATTGGACTTGAATCTGCATTAAGAATATACAAATAGGCATGATTTCTCACAAATTAAAGGTGTGTGAACTGATCAGGATGTATTGGACTTGAATATGCATTGAGAACCTACAAATAGGCATGATTTCTCTCATCCATAGTTTTCCCAAGTTTAATCTCATTATGATCATCGTCTGAGAAATGTCTATATGTTGTTTAGACTTTAGATATCATTTTGAAAGTTACGTTCTAGTTCAATGCATGCATAAAATCTTATGGGCTTGCACTTAAGTGTTGCAAATTCATTATTGGTTTTGAGCTTCCATTCAGTTGTGATTTTAAGAGCAAATAGCAGTATCTTCATTTAAAAATCCCTGATTTGGTTCTATTTGTGTTTGTCGAAGTTAGTTTTACTAGTTATAGCTAGTTATATCAGGCCAGTGTTATTTTAATTACAAATAGTAGTTTTGGGTCCTTGATTGGTGCAAGGCAAGGGTAGACTTCGTTGATGTATCTTGGATTATTGGGTCATAACTTCGCTTAGAAGATCCCAGAGTGCATACTGTTGATGCGTTGGAACTTGACACTTATGTTGCCTCTCAAAGAAGCTGAATTTGCATGAATAGTTCAATGCCAATGTTAAAGAAGAAAAGATAAAGTTCTAAACCACTTTGAGTAATTATTATATTCTTTGTAACTTGTGTATAGTAACTTGAATTAATTAATGAGATTGTTGGCAGATTAGGTCTTGATTGTGTCAAACATCTATAGAAGAAGAGAAAGAACTAGTAAAGATGATATGGTATTAACCCACGTGAATCTACAAATGCTATTGAGTTCTAGTTACTGGTTATCTTAAGTTGTTCTTTCTTACCTTGTGGCCAAATTCCCTGGAGCTCTTTCCCTATCCCCTCTTCTTGTTCAACATATTCGTGGTCACTGAGTTGTGGCTCTGTCTGAAGTAATATGTTCTGCTGTTTGGTCAAGTGCCAATCCTGTATTTTTTGCACCAAATGTCTTCCCTCAGTTATCTGGCACAGGTTAAGAGAGAGATAAGTTGATCTCTCTCTCTCTCTCTCTCTCTCTCTCTCTCCCTCTCTCTCCTTGCAGTCCTAGATTGACTAAAATTGTAGAATAGTTTCAGGGTCATATCAGAGAAACTATCTGGCTTTGAGGAGAAAGGCACTGTATGGAAATTTTTTCAGAAAATTGAACTTAATAAAACCTGTAGCCTTTTCTACTAATCCTTGTTCAGCTGTTCTTCTCTTATCTTTCTTGTCACAGTTCTCTTCTTGTTCTTTCTTTTCCTACTGTAATCTTTTTTCCTCTTGTAATCTGTGTCTAAGAACTATAGAAATAGTTACTATTTGCTTGTTGAAATCGTACTGATATCAGCTAGATTCATCTGTTTCCTCATTTTGATCTCTGAATACTAGGGGCTACAAAAGTCTCCTGTGAAAGCCTTTGTTCAACGAAGCGTCTCTTGATTTTTCTGTAATTGAGCTAATAAAGTATTTAAGCAGGTGTTTGCGAGCAACAAATTTTACTAATCTGACAACTCCAAAGAAATTGGAAAAAGAGATCTAAACCTTGATAGATCCATGAAGCAAATACAACTCATGGATCTGGCAAGACGATACCAAAAATGATGAGCCAAAAGGATTGTGTGGCCTCAGATGTCACCCAATTGGCAGAATAGGATTATTTCCTACTGCAACAAAGCAGTTGTAAAATCTGGATTATTTGATTGATCTTGATCCTCTGATCTGGATCAATGATTCGATGAGTCAAAAGTTTCCACACCAAACCTCACTGAAGGAACTTTGGCATCTTCTTTTTTACAGCTCAAGAAACTCCTGTTTGTATGCATAAAATGATCTCAGGAATCAATCAGGACATTTGTGAGGTGATCATATCTTATTCAGCATAACAAGTGATTTGGAGGCAACTTGCTGTCCTTGATCAAGACAATAGTCAAATTTTAATTAGAACCTGAGAGGATTTTGTAATATGAGATTTGCTCATATATGATAGCAATCAGAAGAAAACTTTGGGAAACTGCATTCCTAAACTTAAATTAGAAGAGCAGGATTTCCATGATTAATAAATCTTGAAGTATACTGGGTTATTAGTTGGCATCAATCTTTAGGAAACTAAATTGTTCAGATTGCTGTTGCACGAACAATTGAGGAAACTCTGTATGCAGTCTTGTTCAGTTTTGCTTGGGGAAAGATAACCAAGATCAGGGACAATGCAATGTGTGCCTTTGTTTTCTGATCAACTCTTCCTGGGGTGTCCATGATTATATGTATAATTAAATATATTTTCACTTGCACTGCCAGAAAATTTATTTGACAGTCTATGAAGGCCAAGATTTTAGGTTTTTATCCTAGTCTTTTGAGATGAATTTATAGTGGGTTATGTGTAGCTAAGGTTTAGTGTGGTTGACTTCAGGTGTTTAGTGGTAGATTGAGTTTGGGGCTAAAAAGACTACGTTTGGGAACACATTTTATATTTTTACTGTGCATTTGCAGAAAGAGCCTTAATAGAATGTGTAGTTGTGGAATGTTTTGAGTGTTTGGTAAATGATGATAAAAGATGCCTTTTAAATATGCATTAACATAAGTGTTATTTGGTAAAATTGTTTTTCAAAAGTTCATCGAATATTATATGACAAATTTATCATTTTAATATTTTAATATTTATTCAAAAGTGAATACAGATTTTTTATTTAAATTAATAAGTAAATAAATAAAATAAATGAATACATGTAATCTTACAAAATTATGTATGGCCCTGATTTATAATAAATAAAAAATAATCATATAAATGAATGCAAAATAATATTTGAAAACAAATAAATAAAATTTCATCTTATAGAAAACGTAAATTGTGTTGGTTTCTCACTAAATAATGTTGGTAATATTGTGATTTTAGATAATGTTATAGTCTTATATGGTATTTTGAGAATTTGAAAAGTTACATTAGCATCCCGCAAATGCTGAAATGATAATCCTACTCTGAGGTAATATTAGCATTTGAACATTTGCAATGTAATATCTAGGCCAAATGTAATATTAACATTTGCATTGAGATCCTAATGCACATTTCAAATGTGTTGTCAAATGCACCTTAAGAAGTTCTGCAGTTTAATGTCTATCCAAACAAGGAGTTGTGTAGTTTGGTTTGACGTGGCCGCATGTATCAATTTATTGTTCTGTTTGGCTGCACGAAACATCTATTGTAGAAAGAGTCCTTTATATATGTGTGCATGTGTGGGTGTTAAAAATTGTGTTTTAGGTGCCAGTATATTACGGTTCTTTAGCTGGAGAGAGTATTTTATGATGGTTTTACCGTTTTGGGAATGAAATTTAAACTGACCATTGGCTTTTGTGGAGTTTCTTGTCTTCTAACATTTGCTTCAACCCTTTCTATATATATTCCTGTTCTTTCTGCTATCATACTTCTCTTTAGTAACCAAATCACTATCAGGCCAACCACAACTGAAGATTTTTGCCATCACATGTAGCCTCTGATGAGATGAGCTTTAGGGTTATTATGGTGTACTTTTGTATTCTGCTTGTCTGACTATCTTATAACTCATGAAGCATAAAGTTTACTTTGTCAAGAGGTGTCTTGCTCTCTTTATCAATTTTATCTTTATGAATTGTGGGGGAAGTTATAAAATTACATAATTGTCAGTTGTTTTCTTCCTTAAGTCACTTTATTTGATATTCCTCTTCCTTGAATACAGTGGTTTGGAGATGCTGAGAAGCTCACTAAGGCTCTTTTCTCATTTGCCAGCCGGCTTGCCCCTGTGATTATATTTATTGATGAGGTAGGCATTTTTTGACTACAGACCTGTTTATCTGCTTAATTTGTTCATATTCCTTCCCAAATTCTTTATGGTACCTGTTTCCTTTCCTGCATGTTCACTCTACTTGGAAGGTTTTTCATTTATGTTGTCTCTAAATAGGTTGATAGTCTGCTTGGAGCTCGAGGTGGTGCTTTTGAACATGAAGCAACAAGAAGAATACGCAATGAGTTTATGGCAGCTTGGGATGGAATGAAGACGAAGGATAGCCAGAGGATCCTTGTCCTTGCTGCTACAAATCGTCCATTTGACTTAGATGATGCTGTAATACGGCGGTTGCCAAGAAGGTAATGAGAGAGAGACCCTCAACATATGCAAATTCTGTTTAGAATTGTTTTTTTTTTTAAATTTCATGTTAAGAACAGGTTGGTGGATGCTTACTTGCAGGATCTATGTGGGCCTTCCTGATGCAGAGAATCGAATGAAGATTCTGAGAGTACTTCTTTCTCAAGAGAATCTTGAACCTGGCTTTAGATTCAATGAACTTGCCATTGCAACTGAAGGATATTCAGGAAGTGATTTGAAGGCAAGTTATTTGATATTGTTGCACCTTTGTGGAACTATGATTGCATTTCTCACACTCTTCAAATGCAGAATTTGTGCATTGCAGCTGCTTATAGGCCGGTTGAAGAATTTCTAGAAGAAGAAAGGGAGGTGGTGATCTTCTCCTCAGTTTTTTTTCACATATCTTTTGTTTTCTGATTCAATTTGTTTTTTGACCTCCCTTTTGAAAACAATCAACCATTTCTGAGTCCACTGACTCCACTCTAAACTACTTGCTCAGGCATTCCATTCATCTTTTTATATTCCTTCTGTTTGTGTTTTTCTGTATTTGTTCCTTGGAGATCCAGTACATCCTGACGCTATAACCTTTTCTGTGATCAGAGAGGTAGAAGTGACACAATGCCTTCGCTAAGACCACTGAAGTTGGATGATTTTATTCAAGCAAAATCCAAGGTATTAAAACACAGCAAATAGCCAAATATGATGGTTTAATAACTTTAGTTCTTTATTCAGTTTGGTAGCATATTTTCCAATATCTAAATTTCCTTCTACAATTAGGTGGGTGCTTCCGTAGCTTATGATGCCACCAGCATGAATGAACTAAGACAATGGAATGATCAATATGGGGAGGGTGGGAGCCGAACAAGATCAACATTCGGATTTGGGAATGCTAGTCACCGACGATGAAGTATCTTGTATTTCTAAATGAGACACCTCTCTTCACATTTTCAAATCCATGTAATCGACCATCAAAGTATACTACGCATCTTTTATAGGCATGCTAGTTCCTTTTTGGTTCAATCATACTAATTTTAGGATAGCAGCATTTCTTTATTCGGAGTATCTATTTGTAATCTTAAATTGGTTCGTCTCCTCAACATAAACGATAGCAAATGCCTCTTTTACCCAATAGGAGGCCTTTTTTCTTGGGTGTTCTATTCCTGCCCCAAACATAACCCCTTGAGTCAAAGTTCAGTGTATTCTCATGCTGATTATTCTTTTAAAATCATGACTCCATTGTGCTGAGATTGCTCGTCCTTGTAACTACCGATGTTTTCCTTTCAATTGATGTGATATTACAAGTGTATTATCATGGATGTGACTGCCTTCATTGCTTATGCAGCATCTTTATATATGTTGTTTGCTTAATGGATTTTGTTTAAATCAACACGGCTAAGGCATATTATTGTTGGGCAATGAACAGATACAAAAAGCATGTTCATTCTTGTTTCATTTTCTATTGCAGTCGAGTTTTACTTGTCATTTATGTTGCCTGGATTAGAGCTCATTACCACTTGGTTTCCTCGAGTAAGTTTGAGAAATGTAATATATCAACTGTTTTCTATTGTGCTGCCTGCCTATAACCTATCCAGAGGAATGGAATTCATGGCACGAAACACGAAGGAATTATTAGCATGCACACATCAGCGGCATGGCATCCGCACATGCTAAGCTGCATGTTCTTATTGCCCTCCCTAAAATGGTCCCAAGGTTCCTTAATGCTGTCAGAGATGTCTTGCTGTCAAGAGAATATAATTCTGACTTGTTAGATTGGATAAATGCGAATACGTCTGGTGGGTGCACATGTTGTGTTTGGAAGAACCTCCTCCGTTTTGTCTCTTTGGTGCATGAGAAGATTACATGCTCGTGTCCAAATCAAGAATTCCAAGAAGTGAGTTGGATGAATACAATGTATCGGAGTAAAATGTTTGTTCTCGATGGATTAGTGTGATTGAAGCCGTATGATTGTTTTTCTGCAACTCGGTTGACATGAGCAAGATGCGTATATTTCTAAGAAACAGAGGAGGGGGATAACATGTATTGTCGCCATAGATCCTTTTCATACTTTCCTTTTCATGAAGGCTTGCAAGTGATGTGTTTATTTTATGCCGCCCACATTTACCAAAAGTAATTTTCCATGGATTTAATGTTACTTTTACCTCTTTCTCTTATCTCTTTTCTCTTTCAAAAAAAAAAAAACAAAATACTTCGATAGGATGCAATGAATCTATATTATTCATCTTCGATGCGTTCTTGTATAGCCCCCTCTCCTGCATCAAATCTATGTCGGCTTGATCCCTTGGTTTGAAATTATGATTTCCAGCATCATTTTCTACACAACAAACGACGACCTGAGCTCGACCATCCTTCATCTTCTGAAATTTGAGTCCGTAAAGAAACTTTAAATCATCTTCAACTAAATCCTCAGACCGCAATCGACCACGACGTGACAAGACAATTGCGACGAGAACCATGCAGCGTCTCCCAAGCCAACCAGAGAAGGGCGGGGGGAGAAGTATTGCTCAACAGCTCAGCCCACTCAGTCTCCAACATGTAGAGAACAGCTCGGCAAAGCATGATGAGCATCACTTCCCGAGTCCACCGAGCTATCTCCTGGTACAGTTGAAGAGCTATCTCCTGGTGGCCGTAGTCAGCCACCGCATCATGAATCCCAGGGAAGAAACGAGAGGCTAAACTTGGCCGAGATCGGGTCCCTCTCCGTATCATCACATACAAGAATACAGAAACCATCCACAAGAAGCATCAGAGTTGAAGATTTTGATGAGATGCTGATCTAATTCTATATCCTTTGCAAGTAATAAAAGAAGCATCTTTGACACGATGTGATGCGGTGCATGCACGAGAGAATGCCTTCCGAAAACATAGATCGTCTTCTCTACGATGGAGCAAGACACTTGGAAGATTCCTTATCTTGGACAGGTACAATGATCCCTCCCTCGATCCGTTGTTGGACACCGAAGTATATCCGACATCGATGTTGGTGGTATGCGAGACTGACATCGATGTCACGCAACCGACCAAACAAATCCATCTTAACTGCGGAATCTAATGACTACGTTGCGTGCGCATGTTTGTAACGACGTAAGGCCATGGATGGGCAGTCTTACATGTGCAGGCAACAGTGTAAGGCCATGCGTGGGGTCACGAAAGCAGTCGGGACGACCATCGACTCTCACTTTATTCCTAATATAATAATACTATCGTATATATTTACAACTCGTTAAAGGCAAAGGAAAAGATGGGCTCTCTCTCTCTCTCTCTCTCTCTCTCTCTCTCTCTCTCTCTCTCCAACTTAGAATCAGGTCTTGTCCACGTATATAAACATTGTAGGTGATCAAAAATGGGATTTTGATACGTAGTGTGACGCAGAAGAAAGAGATGATTTCTTGTGTGTTGGACTTTGTGACACTATCTAAAGAAAAAGGAAGCATGAGGACGTGTAAGTGAGACTGATACAGTTTAGACTGATGGGAACCTGCTTGAATCTTACGTCTGAAGATGAGTAGTAGTGGGACTTGTGTTCTTCTTCTTCTTCTTCTCTGGATTTATGCATTGAGATCTGAGACGATTTGATGGAAAATGTTGTCCCAGACAGAGGTACTGAGCGGGCTCGGTGGGCATCGAAACGACAACCACCCTGCGACGGCGGTGGCGGGCAGCGAGCAACGGTGGTGGTGGTGGGGGCTGCCACGGACTGGACTGCCAGACGATTTGATGTATTATTGTATAAGGCGCCTGATCTGCTCCGCCAAGGTGCGAGCCATGTCCGCCACCAGCGGTTGTCCGGTCCGCCGGGGCGGGGACAAAAGCGCCTCTCCTCGTTGTTCTTATTCCCCTTGGCCCTTCCTTTTCCAGTGGCGGTTCCACGATGCCATCATCAAAGCAGCAGTGGACGGGCGGGGATGGAGATACACATCCCGGTAGCTGCAGCACATCATCCTTCTGTAAAGTTAGGTCATCACCGGCCTTGTCTAAGGTTGGTGCTGCAGCAAGTGCGAGTGGTCGTCTGCTAATCAACTCCAGCTTGCACGGACACCCAGTACAGAGTCCGACTTGCCGGCTTGCTCGACACCCGTTCTTTAGTCCTTCTCTTTGGTCTCCCGCCTACAAATTCTACCAAAGATCAACACGAACTACATATATTCACATAATGCTAATCCATTGCAGATCGAAAACAACAGTTCAGACCCATCTGACATCCATCTTACTTTTGGCGCCATCATCAGTTGTCGATCCATGATCGATCTGACCTAGGAAAGATCGTCACGGGGGTTTGGACGTTTCCCATTAACCAAATGAAATATGTAAAGCGAGGAACAGGTGACGGTCATATACTAATCCAAATGGATCACTAGTGTTAGTTTCCTGTCGAGATGATTTAGGCTGGTGGCGGCGAGCTTTCTCTGCTTCAATGGTTGCTTGACTTGGCTACTTTCCAATCAAAAGAAGAATCGTCGCTCAGAAAAGTAAACGGTGAAAAGTGTGAGATAGATCTTTAGCAGCCACTTGAGGATCTTGGAAATGCGTCTCCAGCTCCATTTGCCATTCCATGTTTTCGTCTGCTGGTCTCAGTGCCGGCAGGAGCTAATTTCTTATGCCCAAACCTCACTCCACAATCCATCACCTTAATTTTGATTACGACTTTGGTCATTTTATTATGAGATTTACATGCTTCAAATGCTGACTTTAATTCCCAGTCTTCACCTCTCGATTTAATTAGAGTTGCTGTGGCACCCAAAGAACACTCACCGGCAAGAGGTCAATCAAAGCACAACTTTTCCATGCCACCGGAATCTAAATTGGAACTAAGTATGTGACGCCATGTCATCCTAAGGTAGGTAAGATGACATCTTTCCATGTCACATGATACACATGCTACAAGTTTATCATATAAATATTGACATATTATTTATGATGGTCTATTATTATGACCTGTAAACATTCATTGTACATTATCATAGCAATTCAGGAGGATATGAAGATCAACATATTTTAAATCTTAAAACCAGCATCAATTTATGATGTACATTTTCAATAATAATAATAATAATAATAATAAAAGCCTAACTTACACCTCTCCTTTCTTTTGGTTGATTAGAATCTCAAAAGTAGGTTAGCTTACAATATAGATTAAGGGTTCTCTATGATATATTATTTCTATTAAATGATACATTTTTTTTCCCTTAAAAAGAACATTCTATGGGAGGTGATTATTATATATATAGAGTTTTGTATTCCAAATTAAACCTTTACAAGTGTTTCCTTCAAAACTGCAACAAAATTCTCAGATAAAAGCATTTAAACATTTTCTGCTCTAAATTTTATTAAGAATCCATAACATTTGATAAATAATCCAAGTGAAATTGTAGAATCACTATGATAATGACAACATTAAATCCAAACAAATAATGATTCTATAACATGTTTGATCAATTTTTTTGAGTAATTAAACTAATGATGCCTTTACTTAATTTAATCTAAATTAAATCAAAATTTGAATTTTCTTGTCCTCCCCAACCTTTAAAACACTTATCTATGCTTTATAGAATATTATTAGAACATTTACTTATCCCTTTTGCTTGAGCCATTGCATAATTTGTTTTTTGACTGAATTTTCTTCTGATTTAGCAAACTGTTTCACAATTACATTTATTGGACAATCTAATTTTCTTTGTTTATATATATATATATATATATATATATATATATATATATATATATATATCTATAAAATTTCTAAAAAACTAGTTCAGAGAAATTAATCTTTCCTTGATTTGGCCTTCCTTCCATGACACTATTAATAGTATTCTGAATCAATTAAGAATGCAAATAGGGTTTCCTTTAGTGGGATATATATATGATCCAATCTGTTCAAAGAAGAATACAAGTATAGGAAATAGTGGTGTTTCCCATATCAAACCACCAACTTAGGGATTCCACCTGAATAATATCCCACGTATGGCGCAGATGCTACTACTGAAACTTTTAGTGCCCGCAAAAGCGGGCAAAAACAAGTAGGATGTGCCAACAGGCTCATGATACGCTTGCGTTCCAGCGGAAGGCTGTCATCGCATATGCCAAAGGGGTCGACGTCAACACCGGCAATGGGGGACTAATGGATGGTAAACAATTCAGCTTTACGCCACCATCTTCCCACACATCGCATCAAAAGCCCCACACCACACACACACTGAGCTGAGATAGAAGAGTGATTAGGACATCCA